AATCAATGTCAAACTTATTACAGAACATAAATAAACAAGTCAACCTAAATTGTAAAAAGAAAGTAACCTTTTTGCTAAGCTAAACTAAAGTTATTATCAACGCAAAGAAATACAAAAACATTTCATTTATCTGGGCGAAATAGCTGTAGTTTTCATAAAAAATCGATCGTTTTTGAATTTGCTTTTCTGATCAATAAGCTTGACTTCCCTCAGTTTTAGATTTTTAGTTAGTTCAGTTTTAATTAACCCACCCCCGACCAAAACCAATCCAAGACGCATTCTAATCAAAAATTATTAGGTGCGTGTCGAGAGAAAGACCATGAATGAATGAGTATGAATAAAAAAAGAAAGAAAAAACAGATACTGCAGACACGCAAAGGAGGAGGAGAGGCTTTTGCTTCAGAGTTGGGGGAGTTGAGCATTTTTCGCGTCTTGGAGGCGACGGTCGCGCGCATGACTCGTAAATAAAATTGTAGCCACAAGCAAACTCAGTACTGATCTTTTGGGATGCACTGAAAACAATGTATTGTATAAAAAATAATAATAAAATTTCCAATAAGGGTGTTTCAGAGTAAATAAATTACTATGCCTTGACTAATTTATTAAACAAACGTAGCTTCAAGTAGTCGAGTGAAAGATCTTAAAAAACAACTTCCGCAGACAGCATATCATATATGTATTCAAGATATTTTAAAAATTTTAAACAACAAAAATAAGTATTCAATCTTTTTAAAAGTGCTCTAATTTATTAAATTTGTATTTATAATTATATAAGTTTAGTATATACATAAATAAATTTGTAATACACATTGAAAGTTGGACAATTTGAATACATATTGTAGTACAATACTTCTGCTTCTTTTTTGTTTCAGTGCACACTAAGCTCTGGTAGCGGAAGCCAGCGAGTATTGGACCGCACAGCAGCCAGCGGATTGGGCAAGGTTAGGATCAGCTCCATCTCCTCGGTCTCCTTGGTAAATTGCCGGACTGAGTTCGGTTTTTGGAGTCTTATCAGATCGCTGGGAGGCTGCCCGAATCGAGTCCCAGATGTGCTGGCAAGTGCTCCCGATCCGAGGGGATGGTGGGTTTCGGAGGGGGTTTTGGGATCTCGGTGTGTGGGAGCTGCTACGTGGCCATTTACACGTGTGCATCCTCCGCTTTGCTTGCTTCGTGGTGCGTGTTCCCTAATATTTAAAATCGAAAAAAGTTAATTGCGAAAAATTGTGGCTGGATTTCATTTGGTTCGGTTTCGCTTTTTTGTTGCGTGTGCATGGGATAAATGATAGTGATAAGAAAGGCAACTGGAGAAAAGGTTAGCGGATACCAGATTGAAGCTGTTCATTTATATTTTTTGGCTGTGTTTAAAAAAAGGAAAATTCATTAAATGACAAAGCATTTAGTTGATATCATCTTTAGAAAACAGCCCATTTTATATTTCCAATATTATTTGAATTTATTTCCAATATTGATTCAAACAAGATATAGAAAAGAATTATTTAACAAAAAATTTAAGAAATTTAAAAGCGGTGTAGTAAAATTAAAGCTTTAAAATTAATTAAATCTCATTTGTTTTAGGTACTTAAGAATTTTAGCTCGAAAAGTTTGAGAGCTTTAAGTTAACGATGTAATCAATTGAAACCAAGTTTTGGGCCAAAATAAACAAAGTATTTAAAATGTAGTTCAAATTCTGTACTGCATGAAAGAAATGGGAGTTGGTTATAAATTGTTCATAAATTTAATGAGCCCGAATCGAACTCAATTAAAATCGTTTCCTTCATATTACCATCAAACCTTATCTCAAACCATTGATACCGCTGCTCCCATTGCATTATGTCTACTTTATTTTCTCTTCTATAAGTAAAACGGACGCGACCCAGAGCACATGGCCTTAAAGGCGCAAAAAAAAACGATAACAAGACAACAAAAACGAAGTAAATATAAAAATAAAGTAAAGTGAAGTGAACTTAAAGGAGGAACTTGACGGTGGAGGAGTCCAAGGAGGAAGGCCTCCCTCCGGCGGAGGTTACTGCCACACCACGGATAGTGGTAAGTGCCGGGCTAAATGGCTTCCCCATTAAGGCTCATTTGAAATCAGACACGTCCGATTAAAATCTCATTTCTCACCTTGTGGTCCGTTTCGACTGCAGCTCAAATTGGAGTTGGGCTCAAGCTCAAGCTGCAGCTAAAGCTAAGACTGTGACTTCCATTTCGAGGTACTGCACTCCAAAAAATATTAAGCATTCTATATTTATTAATTCCTAAATAAAAAGTTATAAAGCTTTCAGCCCTAAATTGATTAGATTGTATTTAAAATAATTTATAGTCTGTATTTATCCAAACTAATGATACAAATAATTAACACTTCACAATATAATAATAATTTTACTATTGTTGTTCACACGTTGTGTTTTTTTTTTTTTTTTGTTCGGGAACTAAACAACAAGTTTGTACCTCTTCTTAAAAATATTTTAGTACCCAAATATATATTAAATATTTAAAGTGTTTTTTACTTAAGGCATTTTTTTCTCATTTTATATCAATAAACCTTTTTTCTCCAAGTATTTTAGACTGGCAGTCAGGTATGGGGAAAGGTAGAGACAAAAAACAGCTGCAGAAAAAATCATATTTAGCAGGCGGGCAAGGCAACAACTTTAACTTGCAGTTGGGCCACCGAGGTGGCAAATGCAGCAGCTCCTGCTATTGATAGGCTGCGATAGAGCCCACTGAAGGTATTTCCCAAACATCCCGAAGGCAGTCACTATTTCACGCCTTTTTGCCACTTATTAAAATAGGCAAAATGTCTATTAGCCTTAAAGTGAGCATCCAGCTGGCAAGCCGAACCAGAGCCAGCTTTTTATGTGGGTGGCTAAGAAACCTGAAAAAGGGGGGAGTGGGGGGATAGGGATGGGGCAAGTACAGGTAACGTGTCATGCTGCCAGCTTGGATTCTCATAATCATTTGGCTGGCACAACTCTGTGTTTGTCTTTCTCCCAGATGGCGATCTTTGTGAGCTTGATTTTCAATATCTCTGCTGCGATATCAAGGACGAGTTTTCTTGGGGAATATAGTTTAAGGTCTAAAAAGTTGGGAAAAAAGTTTTTTTAGATTTTTTAATGAGGAATTGAGGAGCATTCTCTAAGTTAATACATTTGTAAATACATTTTACAATCTTTAGAAAGTATATTTAAATACAAATACCAAATTTCTAGTACGTATTGTAAGACTCTTACTTTCGAGCTTTTTTTAATCTCACAAAATTAACCCAAACGACCCCATTACCATTATGGTCCTTCTTCCTCACTCCTTAGAACCATTAAAACCTTAATAATTTTCTCTGGTTTGTGCATCGCGATAAACACGCAAAATCCGCTCCACACACTCGACACCTTTTTGTTCTGGTTTCAGGTCCTTGTGCGAATGGCCAAAGGAGACTTGAGCCAAACCACCCATATTCCGCAATGAATCGGATCCGGATCGGCCGTTGTCCCCTTTGGGCTATTTAAGCAAATGATCAGCAGCCACAGAGCGAGCTGCCAACACGCAACGCGGCAGTCTTTCCCCTCCTCCTCCTCCTTCTCCTCCTCCTCCTCCTCCCCCCTCATCCTCACCCTCATTGCGGCTCCTCGGCCAAGTGTGAATTGTTTCGTGCCCAGAGCAGAGTTGGCCAGATAAGTTGCAGGTAAGGCCAACAAAAACTTTTTTTAAAAACACCTATTCTAATACTCTTTTACACTTTTTTCATTACTTATCAATACCATTTTTAACAATTTTATTTCGGTTGTTTCCTGAAAAAATAAACAAAGAAATGTTGTTGCAACATACGCTCCTCATTTTATTATTTACATTTATTTATTTTACTTTTTTGGAATATATTTGTATGCTTCAAAATTATATAGGCAAAAAGCTCATAAAGAAAAGTTATGTTTCCTGGCTCTAATTCCATTACAAAAAACATATTTAAATTTAAGTTCAGGTCTCATAGAAATTTATTATGGTAAATATATTATAAGTTTTGATTTAAAATCTTATTTATATATTTTTCAAAATGGATATTATCTAATTATTCAGTTCATACATACTTGTTAATACTTTTAAAATACTTTAAATATATAATATTAAATTGGTTGATCGTTTTCTTTATCTATATTTGTTTGAAGCTTCAGGCACACATTTCATTATAGCCGTCTAAAAGGGTATAAGGATTTGGCTCAACTTGCAGCTGCCTCACTGCAGGCTTTTTGCATACGAAAAAACTGAGGCCGAAGAAACGAGGCACCGAGGGAAATTGGCGAATTCTCTTGTGGTCTTTGGGCTGGCGTGCAAATTCTTGACGTTTTTTCCCACATTAAGTGCATTGTTTCGAAGCTACCGGGCTTGAATGTGGTTCGCTGGCTCGGTGGTTCAGTGGCTCGGTGGTTCGGTGGTTCGTAGGGCACCTGAGAGATGTGGCCCCATGCAAAACAGCTTGTTAAGCACTTGTGCCTCAAACAACAACAACAAGAACAAAGGCAACAACAAGGTCCCACATTGTGTGCCCGACTTTTGGCTTGTGGACCTCTTAGAGCTCAGATCTTGGGGCTTATTAAGCAAAGCAGAAAAAAGAGCGAAGAGAATGGCTTATAAAAAGGTAGCAATTTCCGCGCTTAACTCGATCACGCATTATTATCATAATCAGTTTGGACAAGGCGGAGTTGCACTCGGGGCATCATTATCATTATCGCTATCAAACTTGCACAGTGAAAAGATTTTAATCTCTGATGCACATTGTGTTTGAAAATTATAGAAAACTAAATATCACCTTCTGAACGGATTTTTTTAAAACGTAATGACAGTTAAATAAACATATTTAGTAAAAAAGGTAATACATACTTTTTTTTTTATATAGGCAACCATTTTTTGAATTGATGGTTTTTTAGAATGTCGAAACATTAAAATATTTAAAAGCAAACTTAAGATGAATGTTTTATTTAAATGATAATGTGCGACTTTACAAGTTAGCCTTGACTTACTTAACTTTACTTTTCTAATGGAAAAATTTAAAACCGTTTTGAAAAATAAATTCGGAATTCCATAGGAATCGTTTCGGCAAAATCAAAAAACAGACAACAAGATAAATAAAAATGGATGAGGAACTAGGAAAGTTAGGTTGCGCGATTAGTATCTTGCTGACCATTGTTATGGCCGCCTTGGCGTACTTGTACATCTATCAAAATCAACTACATAGTGGTGGAGCCAGTCTTCTCGATATGAGAAAGCTGTACGCAGCCGAACTTCCGGACTTGCCACCAATTAAGCTAACCTTGGAGCAGTTGCTTAAATTCGATGGAACTCGATGCGATGGAAGAATTTTGGTGGCCCTAAAGGGAAAGATTTACGATGTATCGAACGATTTGCTAGATTTCGGGTTGGATGGAACCTTGTCTCATGTGGCCGGCAGGGATTTCACCCAGTACCTCAAAATGATTATGGACCTTCATGAAACCGAAATTAACTATATTGATCGGTGGGAAATAATTCTGCAGAAAAATTATTCATGTGTGGGCATAGTTATTGATGAGCTTGGCAGTCCGCTTATCAAATCAGATGAGGATTTGGGAAGTAATAATTTTCAAAATACAAAAGAAGTCGAAGAAGTCGAAGAAGATCAGATGGATGTTGTGCAAGAAGCAGAAGTCAGCGAAATTCCTTCGGAAACTGTTGTTTCCATATAAATGTCAACGATTTTTTATAGTCAATGCATTCTAAAAAAAATATAGCTGTATTCACTCAATTATTTGTTAATTAGTTTCCTTTATCTTATTATTGCACAAATGGCACTCGTGTGACGTCTTTTGGCAGGAAGCGAGCTCTTTAAAATTGCTGAAATGTATTTTTACAGACACCCAAGCATTTAATGCTAAGATCAGGAGAATGAGCCTGGGAAAAATCGAACGAGAGGGGGTTTCATGTACTTACAAAAAACTAGTTATTTAATTTACCACAGATAATCTTTATTAAATAATTAATGCCGTATTGCAATTTATGTAAATTAGAAATCCTTTTTTGAAAAGCCAAAATTTAGTGTACTTTTCTGTAATAGTTTTTTCTAACCACTTCTAAAAAAGATTCAACTTCTTAAGTACAAATTTCTTATGAGTTTTGTTTCCTTATACATCCATTTATTCTTTCGTAGGAAGTCAGGAACATTTCTTATTAAATGCAAGCCCACTTATCCCTTGCAACAGCCCACACATATTTTGAGTAGCTTGCCAACCTAAAACACGAAAAGCACATTACTCATACGCCCTGTGGCGGCCTTCTGTTTAGCAAAATGAAATTTCTCTCTCATATTTCATGTAAAGAATCGAGAAGCAACTACAAAATGAACTGTACTACACACTCCACTTGAAAATTCAATAAAAAAAAGAAACGAAGAAATTGATCAAAATTGAAAACGGGCAATCGCTTTGACCTCCCTCGAATTTCTGGCCCTCTCTTACCAACGTAAACAAATATAGAAAAGTTTGTACGTTTTCGGAGCTGCCTTTTGGTACAGTTTGGTACGGGCTCATAAATATTTAAAAATTAATTTCCCAATATGTTGAGGCGGTGTGGGTGTACTGGTCTGTGAGCGATTTTTCAATTTCATACTTAATTTTATGGCATAAATGCCAGGGTTTCAGTTGGGTGAAGTAGGAAAAGGAGGAAATATTTGGCTTATATAAGCTGCCATCATATTTCAGAGCTCCACAAGGGTTCGTGTGTATGTAAGGGGGTTCTCAAAGGTGCAAAACTGGCGGCCATCGTAATTATATACGACCTCCCACTTCAGGACAGGGAAACGCCTTTTATATTCTAAAACTTGCACACATGCATCGGCAATAGATTTTGTATGTAGAGTGGGTTCAGATGGAGAACTCCCAAGAAATACCTTTCATATGTAGCACTTTGCTCCACAGTTATCGTATTTTATGTGCAAGTGCTTCGTTGTCCTGGTCGCAGGTCCTCTTTTTCGGGCTGCCATGCACACACCCTCCCCTTTCCCCACCACCCGTTTTTACCACCCCCTCAGGTCATGTAGTTTTGCAACATTTTCTGCACATTTGTGCAGTTTTTCATGTTCCATACTCTCATGTGCACCAGCCAGGATATGAAAATTTCCCAAGCGCAAGGAACGAGTCCTGCAGACTGGCTCAGTGTATGCGAGAGCGTGTGCGAAAGAGAGGCACGGCGAGCGGAAGCGAGACAGACTGAGTGCATCTGTGTGCGCATTCAAGTTGGGAAAATTGTGCACTTACATTATCATAATGGAAATGCTTTTGACTTGAGTGACCAGGGTTGTCTAAGTAATCGAGAAAGTTTATTTGAATAATTTATTATAAAATAAAAAAAACATACAAACTTTTTTCAATTGAAATTGTTTCAATTATTCGTACTACCCAACACTATAAAATACATACCAGGTATACCTTTAAATCTTAATTTAAATACTTAAAAAAAACTTTTTTTATTGTATCGTTTAATTTTTTTTTAATGTAAGTGGACCTGAAAAATTTTGTTTTATTTTGTAGCTTCTAAACAAAACCCTTTATTTGAAAAAAATTTTCATTTTAATATCTGGGAAGCTTATAAGGATAAATTCAAGCTTATAGTTTGCGTGAAAATAACTACATACCTTGAACCAATTATTATTATATTATAACAAATATTTTGCAAAAAAAATTTAAAATTTTTTGTCAGGAGATAAAGTTCTAAGATATTTTAGCTATAGGAGTATGGTATTCTAAACATCGGGACATTGAATATGGCGGCAACACTTTTGTAAGCACCTCTATCTTGCAACTCTGTACGTAAATGCATGCGAAGCCAACTGTGCCACACTCCCCCCAACCCCTGCCTCCCCCGACACACACATATGTACTTCACCCCACTCCACTTGGAAGCCCTAGGCAGCCATTGTATTCTGATTGTGCGCCTTACGGCCCAGGACTCCTTCAGGGCTCCTACATGTGAGTATATATGTGTGTGTGTATGCAGGAGCGTGGAGAGATGGAAAAATATTATTTTTCATAAATTTTAAAATATACCAGGGGCAAAACTGTGCAAGCGAGAGAGAGAAAGCGTAACTTGTGTGCTTCTTTTGTCCTGCTTCATCTGTGTATAACGGTAAATGGCAGCCATACATGGCTATATATACACATACAAACATATATACATCGAAGGCAAAGTAGAGGAAAATGTATGCAACATTTTACAATGCAAAAGCCATTTACTTGGGCAACGAAGAAAAGCCAAGGGAGATGGAAAATGAAGAACCTGAGAAAGAAAGAGAAAAGGACATCTTAAGTGTGTGTAAGTGTGTGTGTGTGCGAGTCAGTCAGCATATGAAAAATGAAAAGTCACAACTGCGAAACGGAAAATAAGAAAAGAATATCGCTGAAACACAGCCTTAGGTTAGGAAAAAAAATATTTCTCCTCTTTGTTTCCCTATATACAACATATTCCACCCGCAAATACTTATATACACATAAACATTATGGGAAACTTTCAACTTTTATGTCGCCTCGTCCTCTGTGGGTAATGTAAATAAAAAGAGACAGGAAATGTTTGCGATATGTATGAGTACCCAAAAAAAAGGAAAAGTGCAAAATTCTAAAAGTTTTCACAGAATGTGGGGAGAGTGGATGATATGGCAGGAACCATAACTTAGGGAGCCGTCAGCTTAGCTTTGTAGGTTGGTCCTTAGGTGCTCGCCCTTCAATATGAAAAATGAGTCAAGAAAAAAAATTGAAAATGGGGGATGGGCGTATACTTTCAAGTTTTATGGGGCGTATACGGTATGCGTAGAGTAAAAAATTAGAGCCAATATTCATGGGGTGGGTGCTAAGACATAAAAGCGAAGGCTTTTCTAATTTAACTAACTTTTATTCAGTAAGTTGAGAGGTAGTTTAACATTTAAAAAAACTCAATTTTATTGGTTATAGTAGACAAAAAAGAAAAATAGATTTCAAGGCCAAAAAACTATTTCATATGAAATTAAGACTTTTTGAATATGTCAAGAAAATACATAGTTTACACACAAGAAACAATGCAAAATAAAATTTAGTTTTAATATTTTTCAATTATCCATCTTAACCACATTTACAAATATTATCCTGGTACCTTTTGAAGGCATATTTATAGTTATCACATAAATAGTTTAAGAATACTTCCCAGAACCTATCCCCACAACTATCCCATTTTCAGCCCATCGATTAGTTGGACTTAACCATCCCGACACAGCCACATCTTAAATGCTTAGAAAACAGAAAATAAGAAAAAATAGTGGAGAAGAGGAAGTAAAGGGAGATGTACAAGAAACCAAAACACAAGCAGACAGGCAGACAAGTTGAATATAAGTGACAAACCAAAAATAAAAGGGCCAAGGAGGGAATTTCCTCGGCGCTAATCAATGAAATTAAAGTTGCGGCCAAGGCGAAATATCTTTAAGGACTCACCACAGAGGGGGCGAAAAGCAAAAGGGGGAGTGGCACATATAGAATAGTGAGCGAGACGCTGCCAACTTTAATGAACGGAAATTAGCAGTCGCTGTTTCCAAAAGAAAAGTCAAAAGGTAAAAGCCCTCTCGTTCTCTCTTTTTTTCAGCATCTGTACGCCGCGGCGAATTCGCACACACACTCGAAATGAAGCGGCGAAAGAGCGTGTTTGTGAAGAAGAGCGAGCATGCGCCACGGAGAGCGCCAAAGCTCCAAGACGATTGGCTGCCGGCTGCCCACTTTGAGAATGTGTGGGTGAGTGGGATATTTCCCCAACAAGATTTTTACCTCCTCTCCCTCTCTCACTCTCTCGCTATTCAGGCATAAACAAACCATTTTGAATAAAATCAACAGCAGCGGCAACAGCAACAACAACATTGTTGCAACAATGTGGATTCCAAGTTGCCGAGCGAGAAAAATCTGCTGATGGTGATTCTACACTCAGAAAATATATGAATATTCAAGAATATAAAACAAATGTTTTTTATATTATTTTTATGACTTATGTTGGCTGGTTGAAAATGTTTTCATTTAAATTTACATATAAATTGCAATGCAAATATATAAAAATAAATGAAAAAACTTGTTTTATGTACCTACTATAGGAACTTTTTTTAAGAACTATTCTATATTGCCAAATCTTAAACAATACCTATTTTATGATCATCATTGTCAAAAAAAATGTTATTAGTTTAATTTAATATATGTATTTAGATTTAAATATTCTTTTATCTTTTATATTACTTTTACCTTTTTTATTGCAACGCCTGTTATTGCAGCCAAGTAGTAAACTAAGTCCGTTTTTTTTAGTGTATGTTTACTAGCTTCTGTTCCTGCTTCTTCTTCCATTTATTCAGCTAGTACTGCTCTTCTTCTAGCTGCTTTGGCCTGGTCAAGTTGCATTCAATTGCAGTTTTTCAGTTGCCACTCCGTTGGCCGTTTGTCGGTTGTCGTCCTCGCGATTTTTTCTTGTTTTTTTCCCCGGCTCTTCAACTAGCTGTGTGTGCGTGACAGCAACAACAACCTTCTGAGGACGCCTCTTGTAATTATTTTAATTTATGCGTTTATCGCTTTTTGCCTTTTGCCGCCGTTTTGTGGCCGCTTCATCGGTTTCTGTTGGTTATCCTACTGCATTTGCTTTTTTTTGCCTTGACATTCGCATTTTGACAGAGCAGCGAATAATTCTCGGTTCTGCCATCATAGCATTGCCGATATTTTTGTACTTCGCTGATTTTTGCGGGTTGCTCCACGGGGCGTATACGTAATGTGAACAGTGCTGTGATTTCGGACAAGTGCAATGCCGTCGGAAAATACTGATTTGGATTTTAATCCTTCTTCACTCTCATTACAAAAACATGTCGTATTTGAAATTGGAAAAACATTTTTAGAAACATTTTTAAGCGAAACAAAGTGTTTGTTTAATATATTTTTTTTATTTCTTAATTTTCGAAATAGCACTAACATTGTCTTAAGCTGATAAAGCTCTAAATACTGGAATATCATTTTATCCTTATCTTATCGTTCCCAGGCACTATATTTTTATTTAGACAGAACTAAAGTTATATATTTTAATTAAATCGTATAAGCACACAATCTCCAACCCAAAAAACTATTTAATGGACATAAATGTATTTATTGTTCAACGAATTAGTTTTTTAAGTTTGCTTGCGTTATTAACAACAACTACTTGAAATTTGTATATAAGCAATTCTCTTTTGTATTTTGAGCCTGTACACAAGAAAGTTTATATTTTATAAATCCAACAATTTGTATGCCTCAGCAGCCATCTCTGTCTTCCGTATCGTTCCCTCTCTTTTTATCGTTTTGTGTCTTATGCAAAGGAAATTTTTATGCCGCTCTAAACTACAAATCAACTTAGGAGTCCCCATATTATTTCTCCCCTGAGCGAACAGAAGCGGCAGCAGTCAATACATACATAATTCGAAATCCGATAAGAGCCACCCACCTATATACATATACATATAGGACTCGCACACACTGGCAACGATATCCCACCCACACAATACACGCTTTTGATTTTAAAACCTCCTGCAAAAAAAAAAACAGCGAGAGGAAGAAGAAAGAAAAACGAAGTCAAACGCCCCAAAACACCCACAAAACGCCCCCTCCACCTGTTTTATAGTCCCCCCTTCCCTTACACACACACACACACACAATCGCAGGCAGACCAATACACTCGCACACTCACTCACTCTCACTAACATCTTCTATAAAAAAAAGTATTTTTTTGTACTCGCTTGACATTTTGTGGATACGTCGGTCGTCGTCGGAAGTCGTCGCGAACTTGGCTTCTTTTTGCTCTTTCTCTTTTCTTCACTCCGTGTGTTTTTTTTTATACTTTTTGCCCATATCTCCTTGCGCGTTTTTTTAAGTCAGTCGTTTGTCGGAAGTCAATCAAAAAGCGTGTCTCGGAGAATTGTCCCAAAAGGCAGAGATCACCGCACCTCACCTCCCCCTTCAGAAAACGCAGAAGGGGCGTGAAGCTGTCGCGATTCTCGTTGGCAATTACAACCTATAAAAGTGTGGCAAAATAAACAATTAAATTATAATTCGTGACAGGAGAAAAAACGTTTAAAACAATAAAGGGAAAACCAGTAAGGAGGTGCGCCATCATCATCCAGTCCAAGTAAGTTTACCTCTTTTTAGGACCATTTTGAGTGTGTCAAGGAGCTTGTCTTGTAACGCCCACACTCAACTGGATCGATGGATCTGCAAGATGGATCAGCCAGATGAAAGAGCCAAGGGAGGGGAAATTGTTTTTAGTGGCTTGTCAGATTCTTAATGAGCTTTCCCATGAGTGTGCCTTTGCGTCCTTAATTGGCCATATGTGTTTGGGGGCCAACAAGTGTCCCGATTTAGCTGACTATTGCAGTAAGACAAGAGAACTTTCCTAAACCACACTTTTATTTACTATTACTAAAATAACAAAGGAATAATTCTCACTAAATATACCCATATTTATGTTTAATTTTCATTTGTATCATTTATAAATAAAAAACAAAGTATAATTAGGTACTAATCAAGATAAATATCACCATTGAAATTTTTAATATTTCAATACAAGTTTAACAATACCACAATTTATTCAATAATTAATTGGTGACTAATCAATGTGCTTTCGAATTTCGTCCTGGATAGCAAATAATCCCAAAGAGGGTTAATTAAATATTTTTTTCAAGTGAACTGAAAGCTAAGTAATCTTTATATATATATCTCCTAGAATTTATTACTATTTCATTTATCGAGCAAATTAGTTATTACCAAATTAACTTTTAACCAAGTATTTTTCGTTGAAAGCTGTTCATAAGGAATTCCTTTCTAATTGCCTAAACATGAAGTATAAGCATTAAACCACATGCTTACTTCATCTTTGATATCCCGCATATATTTTTATGGTGTTTTAACTGCTCCACTCCTGGCAATGATTCGATAATCACGACAAACACAATTCCTCAACCGAAAGTCGGGCAAATCACATCACCGTACTTCGTTAGCGCCTATCTTTACAACCGAACTATGTACTGCCAATAGAAAATTATGAAAACACACATTCCAAATTGGAGACAAACAATCGCAATGTTCGGTATTATACGACAGGCGATACGATCCCAAGTTGGGTAAGCAATTGTGTTTAATTTTAAAACAAGATAAAGTTAAACAAAAATAGCGAAAGCCCCGATATCGGTCGACTATGAAATTACCGACTCGATTGGGAATTATTGAAAGTAGCAGTGGGGAAAAGTGACAGCATTTAGTCGGCGTTCACTTTGATGTGGCCGGTATATCGATTCTTGGCAATTGGTTGCTGACATGCAAAGAACATAATTTACCGACTGGCAAAATTGATAAACAATCTTCGTGTGGCACTTTGGCTCTGGCCAATTTGCCGTCGATACTGACAACTCAATTGATTTGTTTACAAGTGCCATTAATGTTAGTTACCCATGCCGCCTTTTGCCTCTACCATATATATGGTTATGTATGTAAATAACCATTTCCATAAACTCGATGCACTTTTCAGCGCCGTATCTTATCGGCGAGGTGACTTGTTGTTCGGGGCATTTGATCGTCGTCGTTGTTATTTTTCTCCGCCTCTATGAACTTTAATTTCCCATTTCTATTTCCTTTGATTTCATCGCCACAGCAAAACTCTGATTTTTTTACTCCCACCCAATTCTTATCACATTTGACTTCAATTTGTTTTCAATTTACAACAATTTCGTTTCAAACCATCAAACCACATTTGGTAAATATGTCTGTCACTTTTTACTTTTTTTTTTTTTTTGTTTGCATAATAATACAAAGTTTAGGTTTTAGTGCCTTTTATGGTGTCTACTGCTGTAAAGTTTTATACAACCACTTTAGAGTTGTGGGAGCTGATTTCACAGGCCATGGGAAAGTTTAAGGAAATTGTTTGAATTGAATTGAAGGGTACAAAATGAACTTTTTGAAGAGTGATTCGAGTTTTTATATACTTAGCACTTAACTAATTTGATTTTATTTAAATTAGGGTGATGTCCCTAATAAGTTTCTTAGATTAAAAAATAAAGACCTATCCTATTTAGTGACCCATATTCCCACAATTTCCTATCAAAATACAAACTTGATAATCGCAAAAAGCCCAGACAGAGCGGCTTACTCATGAAGCACTTATTAAACAGAACTAGGTAATCTAAGTAATAAACTTGCGGGCAAATATAAACTCAAATTCAAACCAATTCACTGTTTTCACCTGAAACGTGATCCAATTTCCAAAAGTTTCTTAGGGGAAATTCAATTACTTCCTCTATCGAAACTCAAAAATCGTAGTGTTGTGCATTTAATAACCACTTTTTAAAATGCACTTTACAGCAAATTAAGCTTTCAGCAGAAGAAGACACTTTTAATTATCGACCGTTTGCAGGCAGGAGGCAGGAATATATATCGCCAGCGGTCCATGGGTCAATATCATAATCTGAGACGGCAACCGGAGCGGCAGACAAGTCGCCACAGGCAACAAGGAGCAGTTGGGGCAGCCATAAATCAAAGCGACGCAATTTGCTGCTGACGAACTGCAACGCAACAGCAGCAACATCAACGGCAACAAGAGCAACAACAGCAACATCGGTGGTAGCAACAACTATGCCATTACTGCTGGCAACAACACTCGCCAACAATTCCCATCATCAACACTTGAGCTCAACTTCAGCAGCAGTAGAAGCAGTAGAAGCAGCAACAGCAGCAGCAGCAGCAACCATGTTGCTGACGTCGCAGACAGCAGCAACTCATTGCCTTGCAACGGCAACATCGGCGGCAGGTGTTAATGTTCAAATTACCGGCCAAGGCGTTTCAGCCACTCTAGTCAACGATCAACTGCAACTGCCGGCAATGGCAACATCGGCGGCTAATTATGCCGCTAACGTTGGCCATTTGAATGGCTTTAACCCTAAAGACAACTGCCCACCAGTTCCACCCACCAAGGCGGCATTTGAGGGATTGCTCCGCCTGCCGCACATCCAAGTCAAGCAGGAATTCATGGAGTCTCCCTCGGAGGGGCCCAGCTGCAGCCCCATGCTCCACCAGCAGCAGGCGGCAGTCGCACCATCAGGTGAGTGGGAATCGAGAAATGTCGTGGGTTTAATATCACAAAGAAAGAAAGGTGTTCGAAAACTTGGGTAAAATAATTATATTATTTATAATGGTAAGGGGATCTTAAGAAGAAATCAATAATAGTAGATGAATAGTTTGAAATAGAAATAAATCATTTGATACAAAGAACTTTAAATAAGAATTCAATAATCTATTATATTAAATAAAAATACATCGCCGAAGAAAACATTTTGCAGTATTTTAATAATAATAATACATTTGCCCATCAATACTTTAGTAAGCCTTAAAGCTTTTTTGAAGTAACAAAACCATTAAATTAAAATTTCCAAAACCTTGAGATAACAAAAAAAAAGTATTTTAAGGAAATTTTATATAACAATTAAACAATTATATAACAATTAATCTTTGAATGTCAATAATTAACAAGTATTAAGAATGTAATGAAGAATCATTTAGCATGACAAAAGCTATTTTTTTATTTACAACGAAGAAACTTAAGGTGAATAATGAAATCACTTGTTCACAAAATTAGCCTAAGTTGCAATTTATAAAAAAAATATTTTTATATAGATGCTTATTTCACCAGCTAAGTGTACAGGTTACACTTTGCAAAACATTCTCAAAAACTTTCACTCTCACTACTCCCAGAAAAAGGTTTAACCCTTTTTCCCCAACAACCTCCCATTTTTCCCTGCCCCAAAGCCTCCCCTCAATTGCATATGTGTATTTAAAAACCCGTTAAGTGAAAAATGAGGTATTTACAACGTGTTAACAAGAGCACAGCCATTTTTCATGGCCTTCTGCCCAAGAAACAAGCCTCAAGAAATGGGGGAACCCTTTTGCCAAAGAAAAAACTCGTGCCAAACGCATGCTTATGGGATTTTCAATTTTTTATGCATCGAAACAGATTTCATTTTTTATTGGCAAGGGGTGGCACTCATCTTGATAGAGTTGAACAGAAAAAAAGGATGCGACACAAGGGACTCAGAGACCCGAGACCCAAGCTAATATTGCAACAGGAGCAAGGACGCCTTGTGCCACGAGTGCGAACATTTATGAAGATTGAAAGGGTTGTCAAACACTTCATCCGTCTTAAGGGACAAGGACAAGAAGACCACAAGGGGTTAAAGTTGCTGCCACACATCCTGTTGCTCCTTCTGAACGCAAAAAAGGGGGTTGCAACATCTTGTTTTCTTTCGATTATTGAAATTGCCATTTTGCCGTTTGATGATCTCACTCGAGGGACTTGAAAAACACCTTCCGTGACCTCAATTGTGCTTGAAGAAAAAAAAACCCCAATTTACCCATATTTAAATCGCACTCATTACCATTCATCTTCATATGTAAATCCATTTCCTATGCTCCAGCTCGGAAATGCCCTCATGACATGCAAAACCCACAAAAAACCAAACCTCTTTAAGTGCGCAATTATCAAAAATTTAAAGTAAAACAATGGGATGAGGGCTAAAAACGAATAATCTTAACCAACACGCGACCGGAAATTAAAGTCGATTTAGGCAAATGTAACCCACCGAAGCTGGTTTCTTTGATTAGATTTTCTGTTAGATATTCGTGATATTCATCTAGACTCAAGATCGTTAGCATCTGAGGCGATCCATCACCCGAGTCTGAGGCAAGCTTCCCATTACGATTTGAACAATAATTTGCCATAAATGAGGCAGCCTCATACAATGATACAATGGCATAGAAACTTATGGGAAATGGTCTAGCAAATACAAAGTGGATGCATTCTTTAAGTAGAGATAGACAAGCAAATAGATGAGAACCATTAATATAATATTAAACAAATTAAGTTGTATATATTTTTCAGTAGTTTTCTACAATAAATAAGAAAATATAATAAAAAAAATAATTTAATTTATATAATTGGTTAAATAGGTAATAAAAAAAGTGTGCTTATTCATTTATGTTGAATTTCGACTTCTTCAATTTTAATTTGTATCTTAAAGCTCGAAAAATTTTTTTAATGCCAAAACCTACTGGACATACTGAAATTAGTGTTTTTAAATATGAAACATTTTTTTTTATTAATGAAAATTTCATATATTTTATTTATTAATCACAGGTATGCTCTGAATAGAAAATGACAAATCGTATTTTTTCGTTGCAACTCAATAATTCTATAAACATGCCATCGAAAAGAGAACCTATTAAAATGTTTTGTTTACATTTCGGTCAATTCAAATCAAGATTTGGGGAAGTAACATCGTTATAACCCCATTTTCCACATAAGGGTATTCAAAATAGGTGCAGCTCACGCAGCAAGTGCCGGAAATGCAAGGAAAAACAAAACACTGGGCCGCATCCTCTTTCCCCAACTTCTGCTACTGGGAATCTATGGGAACATAAGATCGGGATAACAAAAAGGGAAACGGCGTTAAGAACTCAGACATTTCATTCACCGCCGACTTGGATTTATCTCGCCAATCTACACCGGCGGAGAGCCGACGAAATGTCAGTCGGAGATGCTCAATGCATCGCCGCATGAATGAAAATAATTATGATAATTGCAACTGCCACGAGATCGGATGGGATAGTCTACGAATTGGTATTGGTATAGGTATAGGGTTTTGAGTTCCCAACTAATTGTAGGCTCGCTGGCAACCGCAGAAGCAAATCGTTGGCTGCGGAGTAGGAAAACTCAATAAATCCATTGTTGCGCTTAATTATTGTCGAAATTCAAATTGAAATGGTTTCGTTGGGTTACCTGCCAGCGTCTATACTTTATTTTTTTTTTACCTGCTCCATCATCATTTATCTTCCCGAGATGCGCGAAATTTGAATGCTCAACGACTGCACCTGATCTCTCTATAAACGCATCTCCATATGATCTATTGTACATCTCCCCTTTATATATACTCGTATATTAATATAAAACATTGGGGTTTTCTTGTGTGGAAATTAGATCCTATTTGGCCCAGCGTGTGATTAGCGCGTCCCTTTGATCTGCAATGATGAGCGGCTGTCGGTTGCATTTGATTTATATTCAATCGAGGTTCTCTGACGGAACTCAGACAGGTTCTGCTCTTCTCTGCACTGCGCAGCAATTAAATTCAAATCAAACATTTATTTAAATTTTATGCACCGGTTGGTGGTTGATTGAATTGCATTGAACTCGGATTTTCTCAGCTACTGAAGATGGCAGCGATTCGAGATGGTTGGTGTTTGCTTTAATCCTAATAGAAAATTTATAAAAACAAGTACTTTTGATATTTTATTATTGATTCGGATAGTTGTTACCGAACAAATATTTAAAATACGCGAATTCGAAAAAAAAATTATAAAAAAAAAAAATGCACAACTATTATTTGACTCCTTATAAAATAAAAACTAAATATATTTGTCATTATAAATGTTATAATTTAATCTACCTAACGAATGAAATAATAATTACATTGCTATATTTGGCAACATAGGTGCATTTTAATTATATTCTTTAAATTGAAAGAAACTGGAGATATTTTCTTTAATACAGAATATCATTGTTAACATCTTTTGATTAGGTCAAAGTCATTTTTGGTAACTAAAATTTACAATTTGTCCAATTCGTTAATTCTAAGAACATTTTCTGCTCCCCCGAAAAATATTACATTATGCAATTCTGGCATTCTCTGACTTCTTCAACCCTTGCTGAACCAATTTTAAAGAAACCGAACCGGAAAGGCGTCAATTAAAGAAGAGCCGACTAATATTCCCCACCAAATTATGCATCATTAATCAATAAATGGTCACGTTTGGTGGAATGATGCCCCAGCTGACGCCGTCACATCTTCACACCTTCCACAGGGAATGTTGAATGATAAAGGAATTGCCGAAGGAAAAACCTTTGCAACAGATGTGAGCTGCACCACTAATATCATTTTAATCGCGTCAAATTAAAGGTTCAATGAACAAACAAGTCGGCAACATCGAAAATTCCCATCATTTTAAGATCAATATATGGTAAACAAAAATTGTATTAGGAAGGGGAAATTATTGCTCCACAAAAACAGAATGAAGAAGAGGTTCTTTCGGATCGCGTAAGGCAGCTAAGAAAATTAGATTTTTAATTAAAATAATTTCATATGCAATTTAGATAATCGTTGGCGAAAAAAAAAAGAAAATCCAGCAGAAGCCATGGGCAGCCAGCATCCCAGCGATCCATTCGATCCATATGCGATTTGTTTGGCTGCATTTTCGGTTGGCCTGCGTTTTTTTTTTTTTTTGGGTTGGGGACTCAAACTTTCGGAGCTTGAGAGTTGGGGCGTTTACCCATGGAGGCGGACGCCGGTCGCGGCCAAATAAAATGAAGCACATTTTTTATACAAATCGAGAGGAGGCGGCAGCATCGGCAGCAGCAGCAGCAGCATCCGCAGCAGGTTGCATCAAGATCCGCATGCACTTGCCCCGCTCCAGTGATTCTGCTCCTGCTCCTGCTCCACCAGCTGCGGTGGTGCTCTGCCACAAGGAGCTCTGCCACAAGGAGCCACCGCAGCTGAGGGTCAGAACGCTCACGCACCACCGGCAACAACAATTGCAAAATATTTAAATTGATCATCTCCATTTAATAAAGCCAAAGGTTCAACGGTTGCGAAAAAACAGAGGTGGCTGCGTGACTATTACATTTCGGGGAAGCACAACTAAACCTACAATAAATAAATACCTAAAGATTATTATATTTCTATTAACCATCGCAGATCAATTTGGTCTCAAAACAAAAACTACAACTTGAAGGTTAAAATTAAAAAAAAAAAAAAACTACGCTTTATAAACTATTTTTTATCAACTTTGCTGCAATATAGACCATTAAATATTAAAAAGGAATTCTTACCATTTTAATATATAACATTTTTGTAAAGGAAAATTATATTGTGTATTGATTATAATTCGTATTTTGATATTATAATTATTATATCTTATTATTCATTATTATAGATATATTTTATGTAAATATTTTCGAAGACATATAAAATATGCATAACACATTTAAAACTAAATTCAAGATAGAGTGTTGTATGGAAGTTTCTTATAAAAATGAGTTGTTGCGCTGCCATAATGAATCTTGATGTTTTCAAAAATAATTTGAAAAGATTTTTTTGATTTTCATCCAGTCACTCACGTTCCTCTCACGTGGTCATATCCATTTGCAACTTCCACTTCGGCTGCCCATTTTGCTTCCTGCTAAGCTGAAAAAAGTTCTTAACTTAATTTCGCAACGATTTTCATAATTCACCATGAACACCCGACTTGGCAGCTAGTGCACCGATGGATTCCTGCCTGGATCCCTGGCCAGTGCAACTGTTTTGGTTTTGGTTTTGGTAGTTTGGTAGTTCGGTTTTCAGTTCCTACCTGGCTGTTGGACGGGCTAAGCTTTTAAACTTTTAGCCTGGCCGGCGACGACGCCCCTTTTGTTCAATTTCTGCTGCGATGGTGGAGGCACTCGAAGATGATGACGGAGCTGCAATGATGATGATGAGGACGGTGGGTCAGCCAGCTGGGTTGCCGCGGAAAGGGGTGATGGGTGAAGGTTGAGGACGAGGCCCGAACCGAGGTGGATCTGGCATTATTGGCTAAGCGGCGGAAGCAGGTTGCCGCGGCATAAAGGCCATTCTGCATGTAATTATGGAAACATGGTTTTGGCAAGTTGTTTGCACAGTGCGCAAAGTCACAGGGTTGTCAGGTCAACACGAAGAAAATTGGTGCAGCAAGGAAAGTTATAATAAGATTGAAACGGAAATTTATAAACGTCGAAGAAGAATAAGAACAAATGATAAAATTATAAAGCAACGGCAAACTGAAATTTTAAATTGTTTGCTTTAAAAGAAATGTAAGCTTGAAAAATAGTAAAACATTTAATTTTTTAGTATCAAACTATTCAGTTACCAAAAAATCCACCCAAAACATAAAACATCTTTTAAAATAATTGAATATAATTGAATGAATTTGAAAATTCATTTATTTATTTTTTTTACTTTCTTTATACTCGTAATAAAATATTGAGTATAATTTTCAATCAACATTTACTATATGGTTATCAATATTTTATTTATAAAAACAAATAATTTGATTTTAAAAGTTTCTAGGATTAGTTTTCATGATGAACCCTTTTTAAAGGTACCATTTTATTTAAAGGACTTTAATTTAATCAATTTCCTTAAGGTTGCCTGACAACCCTTAAGCTTGGCCATATTTTCCGCTATTGCTCCAGTCCCGTACATCACCCACCCAGCCCGGAGTGCCCCCGCCACCCCCTTTGCTCCCAAGGAGCTCCCCAAGCAAGTTGATTTTTTATTACGCCGTCTACGCCTTTCGAATTACCAGCGACAAGCCCTCTTCTTGGCCATGGTTTACATAAACGGAATTAATGCGACTTAAAAAAGGGAATCGAGGTGGTTCCAGAAAAGCGGGAGGGGGCGGAGACCAGAGGACCTGAGCCAGAAGATTACAAATGAAGGCTAATTTGACTGGTCCATTGTGCAGGGCAAATGCAATTATGAGATAGAAGAGCAGTGCAGTCTAGAGTTTCCCAGCCCGGGAGATTTCGCAATTTGATTTGCCCAGGAAGACCACCTCCACGATCATTTGTGTGATGTGGGTATACTACGTAAAGTAGAGGATTGCACTTTGCATTTGCCCAGTGCACAAAAGCCATTAAATTAATGATCTATCTGCAGTGTTGGATTTTTACGACCTGCCAGGAGTCAGGACTCCCGCTGCGAGGATGCAAAAGGCACCGGGATCATTTACCTGGCCGGCTAATAAGAGACCTGGCGCCGAAAATCCATAACAAATGCACGAAAATCCGTTAGGCCGCCGCTCCGAGGGTATAAAGATAAGCCCGAATATCCTTAAGCAAATACACATCCTTATTTCGTATGCAGACTGCACCTTCGATCCAACGGTTTGGCTTCCTTTCTGACTTCTGGCCGAGGATCTCGTTGGTTTTGTTCTCCGTATCTGACTCTCAAGTGACGACTAATGATAGTAAAAACTGTTTTTCTTTTTGGGAAAAACAGAACATGCCAACGGTTTTTCGGCCGAAGCCTCACTTTCTGCACCTTTTCTTTTCGGCCGCTGACTTTCTTCTCGGCCTTTTGTTGCACCTTTTGTTGGCCGGTCGAAAATGCCATTAATTCGTAATGAGAAAGGTGTCATCGTTGCAAAGTCAAAAGACAAATATTGCCAGGACCCGCCTACTATTTCGAGATCCCATCCCCGGTGGGAGGTTCCTCCGGCAGGTTCTGCTTCAAATCAATTAGTACTTTCCACTCTGTTCTATTCTATTCTATTATATTCTATGTTATTCTATTCGATCGCCATCAGCTGTTCCAAGTGGGGGGCGTTGTTAGTTTAGTCCATGAAATATCGATTTTATGCTAGCAGAAGAACCACGAAATCGCTGATTGCCCTCAAGAAGCTAGTACTTTAACTGAGTTAATAATTTATTTCCAGTACTGGCTGCCTGAGTTAATAAAGTCATTATTGGGGCAGGCTAATAAATGTTTTTTTTTTCAATTCCCCACTATATTTAAAACGGAATAATAAACAGAAAATAAATCACCTTCCTTCCAATTAATCACTTATAAAAAGCGTTTTAACAATTATGGCTCAAAAAAGTGTAAATATTGTTATGATTTTGAAAGCTTCATAATTTTTTTCTTCCTATTTAATTTTACGTTTTTGCCTTTCCATAAATTTGATTTTAAAAAAGATTAAGCTTGCATTTATTTGTTGCTAAAGTTGTTTTGAACAGTTGAAAACACAAAACAATTCTAAGCTATTTTCAATAATAAAGTTTAGTAAGCATAAAAAGTTAAAGACTGAAAAAATTAAAAATCAATTATAACCATTGAAAAGCAAAATGTTTTCCAATATTTTTGATGTGATAATGTGTATTTAAATACGATAATATAAACAAAACGAACTTTAAACTTTACTAGATCAATTAACTTTATATTATTTGCCATTTCCTAAATTTCGCCACCCCAGACCCAATAAATACAACCAACTTTTTTTCTTTTTGTACACCTTGAACTTTATTTCACCAGACCACGCACTTTTTGAGGGGATTCATCTCGGTGCCCAGCTTGCAGTTGAAGGCCTCGCTGAACTCGGGCATGTTGCTGAGGGTTCCCTGAACCCGAAACTCGTCGTAGGCGTGGACATCAGTCTTCAGTCTCCGGATCTTCTCGCCATTATCCTTTCCATTGCACCAGGTTTGGGCGAACTTCACGAAGAACAGCTGTTTGTTGTTGAAGTTCACACCTCTGAGGGGTTTTTCCAACCAAGCCTTGTCGCCAGTTTTCCGCTTGAAAGCGTAATATGCCATTCGGGTGCCAACATTATCGGCTATATTATCGCCGGATGTTAAAGTGCCATTGGTTTGGACTCCCATCAATATGAATTTATTGTACTGCGACTCCAAGCAGCGATATCTTTCTTTGAAGTTCCTCAAGGAAGCTGAAGACCACCAGTTGGACTTCTTGCCATCATAATTGTACTGATAGCAATAGGAATCGAAACCATGGGCCATTTCATGACCAATGATATTACCAACTCCGGCATACTTTAGAACATCTGGGAAGTCGTAATGGTAAAAGGGCCACTGGGCCATTCCAATTGTGATAAAAGCCAGGTTCAGAAAATCTGCATAATATGCATTCACGGTTCTCGTTGGCATTAAAAGTGGAATCAGGGCTTTATCCACCGATCGCAAACGAACTCTAGCTCGACTTCCCTCCATTATGCAAAGGTTTTCGAACCAATTTCCAGTCATATTGATATCATTATAGACTCCATCAATCACCTCGCGATGTTGCAAATCATCGGTGTAGCCAACTAAAATATCCATTGAAGCCAACTTGGTTTTTGCCTGCGAACGAGTTTCGTCATCCAGCCAAGTATGATGATCCAAGAGCTCATAGAACGTATCCTTGATGTCCTTGGCAACCCTCAGGATATCAGCACGTCTTTCCTTATCGAAAACCTTACCAATAAACCAGGGCAGCAGAGCAAAATTAAAATAGGTCTCCGACAATGAGCGACATTCACTTTGAACTCCCCCGATTTTAGTTAGAGTTTTCCACAAACCATAAAACTTGAGCAACTCCCTCATTTTCACATAACTTCTCAATGTATCGAGGTTCGTTTGCTCCAGAAAGTAAACCAAATCGTTGACGTTATCCACTTGATTGAGCACTGGCCAGTGTGATTCTTGACTGCCATTGAAGGCCAGTTCAAAAAAGCGAGTCCAATTCAAGCGATCGTGTTTGTGTTTCGCCAGGAAATCCCTAAAATTTAATTGCTCTGTTTCGTTTCGCGCTTTTGCCAAAGAAATCAAATTCCTCTCGAATGCTGTGAGGTTGGCAAAGTTCTCCGAAAACTGCTTAGCTTTGTCTGTACTCGTATCCAAACCAAAATCTCTGGTCATGTTTTTTAGCTGCTCTTCATTTATAGAGGCTAAAACTTTAGTGGGAATTGTCAAAAGTAAATCAAACTTTCGCGAGGAAGTACTATAATGCACTTTTAAAGGCAGCAGAGGATATATATCGTACTTTGACATAAAGTTTATGTACATCCAATCATAAGTGGCATTGCTGTCCTTCAAACGATCCTCTTCGAGGTCCAGAAAATACTGATAGCCCAATGACAAGTTGGCTTTCACTTCCACACAACTGGCGAAGAATTGCTTGGCTTTAACCTCCGCCGATCTGGTGCCATTAACACCCAGATCCTCCAGTTCCCGTTTAGTGGCATTCTGCAGGAATCCCAGGACCTGTTCGTCGATCTTCTGCTGGATTGCGTGGAGGAAGCTGGTATTCCTGGCCTGTTCCGGAACCAATTCCGCCTTTTTCCAACCGCCGCAGCTGAATTCGTAGAAGTTCTCGCAGGGATCGATGCTCCTGTTCATGGTGGCCAGCAGAAATCGGCCATAATCCTCGAGAAGTTCCTCCCTGTGATTCGTGGCAGGTGGCAGGGAGAACAGATCGTTGGCCGCTACACTTCCGACCAAAATAAGCGATATTAACGTGGTCCACAGAGCGTTGACCATGGTCCAAACATTTGAGTAAACACACAAACACACACACTCAAGCGATTCGAGAGCCGAGAGCAATAATTAAATTTGAGTTGCGCGCCCGGCAGCTGACAGAAAAGTTCTAAACTTTTTTGGCAACGCGCTTTGGCAATTTATACAATCACGATCTGGCCAGAACCAAAACCCAAAAAGGGGGCAATCGGGTCGAAAAGGGGGCAGAAACACACGCTTCAGTGGCTCAAGTAATACAACACACACTCAACACACTCGGATTCACCACAGAATTCACATTAGTGGAACAATTTATGGTTCTAGCGCTAAGCGAGCGAATCTTCCGCACAAATCTTGGCATTCTTCAATTAACCGCAATTCTCCAAAAGAGCCCTTATCACTCTAGAAAGCTCCCGGTGCCCCAAATGCCGATTTAACTATTTTATCGCTCTCCGGAGATCGCATCCCAAAAAAGTGTTACTCTTTCGACTCTTTTCGGAATTGTTTGTTTTTGTTTTTTTTTTTTTTCTGTTTGTGAATGTCACATGTTAATGACCCCGATCCGAAATAATCACCGCAATTATATTGCAAACATTTCTAAATGGTTTTTAACTCTCTCATCTGCTGGTTTAATTTTTTTCATACGTTTTTAATATGGTTTTTTATATCGCTTTTTATGTGTTACGTATCTGTCTGGGAATAGACTCGTTACATCAGTCACTTGGGCGGGAGAAATTCGCGGGGAGGAGATAGTGGTAATGGCTCTCGGAATTGTACCAATTTTAAAAATAACCAGACAGATTTTAGGCTCCGAAATAGTTTTAGATTTCAATTTAACATCGGCGAGGCAATTGACACCGTTTTTACGGAAACTTTTCACCGGCACGTGTAATCAAACTTTTAAAATAAAAAGTTACACCCGAAAACAAAGTGCAATATTTTATTGATGCATCATACATCTTTATAAATTTCAAGGAGATCACTTTAATTCAGTACCAAGAAAAATCTACCATTTTACGACTACTTTTTATTACATCAGCTGCCAGCTGAATATTTTAATAACCTTTAAGACTTCACACAATCACCCAACTAGATTTCATCGCCTGCTGTGTGGTCCAATTTCTCAATTAAAAATATTTCCAAAGAAAAATCATAAAAAAACAAACTCATTTCGATCAACCGAAAAAGAGATATTCAGCGAATTTCCTTCGCAGGCATTGCGTAATTGAAAATGCTCAAAGGATCGAAGGGAAGAAGTGGAAGAAGTGGAAAAGGGGAAAAGCCAACTGCCAATGCATTGCGCTCCTGTCACATTTTTCCGTGGCTGCCCCTCCCCTTTCCCTTCCCCCGCTTTTCACTTTTTCTAATGTGTTTGCCAGCCGGTGCATGCAACAAAGGGGCACAAAGGATAAAGGATATTGCCGCAATGGAAATCAAAGCGCATAGGATAGCAATAAAGAGAAGCCAGGTAGAGCAGGATGCGCGTTAATCGCCATGTTGCAGGTAAATATAATCGCACAAGGCAACAATGCCCAATGCCAAAAAAAACGAAGAAAAAAAGCGGGGAATCCTTTGGAGCGCCTTCGATTCGGTTGAAACAGCTTGCGGGGCTTAGGATCCTTTGGCCAAAGGATGCGCGGCATCAGTAGCAAATTGAGCCTGAAAAAAGGATTTAATGTTCAGTTTTTTAACAATTGCGGCTTGTGCGGCTTAACCAGCTGCTCCTTCGATGGCAACTGTGCAAGCAACGACTCCTCTTTTTTCGGTCCCTTCATTTGATTGAAACTTTCACCTTTGGATCTTCATCTTTCAGCGAGAGTTTCCCCCTTCGCCAGATTGCATTCTGTAAAAGGACCTTGACTGGCACGAGCATTCAGGCAGATTGACAGCAGCGGCAAAGGAATCGTTTAGCAAAAAACAGGAAGCCTTTCCAATAATTGAAAGTCAGCTTTCCATCCCGAACCGCCCTCATTTCATTTTCATAATCCATGGCACGCTTCTCATTTAGAGGTGACATTTTTTGTTTAATTAAAAGCCAAAAAACCTAAAAAAATTATAATTACTATATTTAAATTTCAGGCGTAAAAAGTTGACAGACGATTTTATTTTTTCGAAAGAGAATAATCATTAAAGCTTTTTATGATATTTATAAATATGCCAGATTTTGTAATATCAAACACTAAATAATAAATATTAAATCTTTAATTTCATTATTAATATTTATCTATAACCTGAGTTAGAATACTATTTATTTATTTAAATTGTTAGAATCTGAAAGTAGTAAAGTTTGGTATGATGCTTAGAAGATTTTGCATTATTTATTCTTATTTCTGTTGTAAAAATAAACATATGATAATTTAAAAGAAAAATACAATTTTAGTCCACATTTGTGTAAAAATAATATTTATCACATATTAGCTAGAACTGTATTGTTTGGCTCGAAAGCAGCTTAGTTGCCAACACAGCTCGCATCATATGTTCCTGCACCATTTCCGGTCTGTCAACCCTTTTTTGCATCTTTAAGATGTCGCGTGGCCAGCACAAGCCGAAGGGGTGACAGAGGGTTAAATGTTAACTAATATTCCCACTATGGCTCTGCTCTATAAAAAGAATCCGGTTCAATCTGTGCCGGCGAAATAGAGGGGAAATGACTTTCCTGCGGCTTTGCCGGCTTTGTTCTACCTGACCCCCGGCCATAAATCAAATTAATACCCATAACATCGGCCTGATCCGATCTGACTACTGGCTTCAATCACAATTATCTCGGGCTCGTGATTCTCATTATTCAGACAGTTTTTGGCGCTCTAATGAACATTTTGTGGTTGCCTTGCTTCGACTTCGAGCGGTGGCAATTGTATCTGATGCTTTTTATTTTTGTGCATCATTAGCCGCAGGTCAGAGTTTCATTCATAAAGTGTTCTGTATTTTTATGTTGAGTGCTGGCCCATAAATGATCGACAATGAAGTGATCATTTTCCATACAGTAGCAGTTGTCGGCGAGAAAATAAATGCTGGGTCGGAAAATTTAAAAAGAATTTTGTAAATTAGCTTTGCGGCTAACGTGGCGCTTACATTAATGTATGGATAATTTTTTCTAATTCAAAAATTTTGAAGAATTCAAAGACTTGCACTTATATATATTACATTATTTATTCCATTATTAGTAGGCTTTAAACTTAACTGTTTAATTTAAACTAAGGGGAATTACTATATTATGTGATTATGTACTGGTGTTACTTTTCTTGTTTCCTATATCTTAGTAATCAACATCATATAGTAGACGTTCAAAATTCATGAGCATCCTTTCTAGAATGAATTCCCCTCCCATCCGCTTTTCCTCCATTAGTAGTCTTAAAACCAACCTAATAGAGTTACTCCATCGTTCAGGAAAGGGCGTGTCATTCAGCCTGATGACGTACAACGCCCACACATCGATGAACAAATGTTCGGATTTCACTCCCTCCGTTGCTTATCTGAAGACTATAAAATCAAAATTATGTACAGATTTCATAATCAATCAAAGTCATAAATGAACAGATCGACGAAGAACAAAAAGCTGATTGAAAAGTGAATACGGCGAATATGGCGTACAACCCCGCACTAAAAAAGCGGCGTAACCAAATGTTGCAAGGGTGCAGAGGTGTAGAGGAGAAAGGGGGTAGGGGTAGGGGGGTTACGAGGTGGAAGGGCGTATCAAAGTTCCATAATGATGAGTAATTGATAGTGACATAAACGGTTTCCATTGGCAATATGCTTACGGAAGAAAGGGGTTCGAGGGATGTTTACTATTCGAGGGGTGAAAAGCCGGCAAGTGTTGATAATGATATCGAAACCCCTTTTTTTACCCTTTTTTAGCCCATTTTATCGGCACTTTTTCGGGCAAATTCTCACTTCACTTGGGTTAGTCTATGAAAATGCAATTGTTTAACCCTTTTTTCCGCTTTCACTTATTTCCCCGTGATTTATAGCGCTGGCTACAAGCTGTCGTGGCAAAACAATATTAAATCCCTGGTATCTAAGGCCCGCCGATGGCATTGGATATCATAATTACAATGGCAGGAGTGGAGATGCAGGAGGAGAAGGGGAAATCAACAAGGATGTCGCCATCCAGCAGATGACTTCCTCATGTGGCGATGGCCAGACATGTCTGCCACTCGCCTCGTATTTTGGCATGGATACGCTGGCATCTGTCAAACAGCGGCAGAAATCCCTGCCAGACTTTCTAATACCGCTGCACGAAATTATGTTCCAACAACATCATTACCAGCAAAGGACAATGGGCACATTAATTAATAGTCTGCCACCGGGATTGGTGGGGGTGTATCCACCGGCCAAAGCAGAGACGTTCAAGTCGTTAACCCCGCCGAAGGCAGCACAGCTCCACCAAAACCACCCGAACCATCAGAGCCACCAAAACCACCAGCATCACCAAAATCACACTGGCGACCACTCGTTCGTCCGGCATTTCCACGAACGGGATCGCCTCATTCGGGAGCACCAACTGAAGCAGCAGCAGTTGCGTGACGAGGAGGAGGAAGTCCTTCAGGAGCAGCAGCAGCAGGAGCAGGAGCAGCAGGAGGAGCAGGAGTGTCTGGTGGTGGAGCCGGGGAAGCCCCGGGTGGCTTCCTCTGAGCTGGAGCATAACCATCATTGGCATGGCGTCGTTTGCTCTGTCAATGGCCATGCCACCAAGCAGCTCCACCTTGCCCCACCGAAACTGGCAGTCGTGCCACCGCAGCAACCGCCAGCCGGGGATGTCCTGCCACCGAACTCCACTTCCTGCTCCACCACGGTGGTGGTGGCACCACCCAACGAGCCAGGCATTTACGAGCAGCCAGCTTCAAATGGTCGACATTGTCGTCCTGCCAACAAAGGTAAGTTTTATGCTCAAATTAATTGTTCAGAGGGGAAGAAAATCAGGGGAATGGGTTAGTTAGTCAGGAAAATGGGTAAATCATAATTAATATAAATATTGGAGTGTTTACCAGAGAATCAGATTGGAGAAAACCATTTGATTTTGAACTAAGTTTTTGCTTTTTATCGAAGTTCTTAACATTTCTAGCAATTTTTGAAGGAATAATTAACAGTTTATACAGGGAAATCCAGTTTATAAATAGAACAATTTTACCCTCTTTAGCTTTACTCTCTTTGATAGTATTAAAAATATATCGAATCGAGCAATTTTAATTCTATTTTATTCGGATGAAAGCTTAATAATTTTTATGAATATTTGAATAGTGTTTTCCTACAATTATCCTTTTGCTTATTAATTGGAATATTAATTCATTTATACAGTTTCTATTTTTGTTATTTTGTTATTTTTTCAACGTTGTGGAATCGTATTTGACAAAAAAAAAAAGAAGTAAGTTTGTAATTCCTCTCTTATCAGTTGAAAATTTAGAGAATTCCTTTTTAAATGTTTATTAGGGCATCCCAAATTAAAAAAAAGGAAATTTTATCTAATAAAGCCACATTGCCACCGCATTTCCAAATCAAATTTAAGCTAACCCAACACCAAGCACTCCAAAGTAAAAAAATAATAAAACGTAATCCAACTCAATTACAAGCTCTCAATCTAATACAATACCTTTCCACCTATAATCAACCCACCCAAAAAAAGGACCTTAGAAAAGAAAAGAAATGGAGAATGGTCCCCCCTCAGAATTACCAACATACAAACTCCATTTAAAATCACTAAAATATTAATACATTTTACAAAAGTGCGAACAAAATATGCGTGAAAATTCTCAAGTGCACCAGCTCAACCTTTACAACTTTATTTAATGGAATTTAAAACCACTTTGTGCGCCCAGTGCTCAGTGGGTGGGTGGGTCATTTGGTGGGTGGTTGTCGCGTTGTTCAAAAAGGTTGCTTGCGGCGCTCAAAAAAAAACCGAACCACAATTGCATGAGGTAACCTTTGACAGGGTCACAACAAAAAGCGAAGAAAAGCAACCACCCCGCCCCGAGAAAAGCAGACGGGAAAATCCAGAAAGGAAAGCTCTGACGCAAACTGGTGTCACTACCAACTGTGACCCGGTACTCTGAGCAGCTTATGGCCAATTGAGCCCCGCCTCGGGGTAAAAAGTCCGCCGAGGGTGGCCGTAAATCCAATAAAAACGCTTTACAAGCTGTAAAGCAAAGATCATAAATCCATTTTTGTTTTTTACCCACCACCTCGATTTAAATGCGATTTACATTCCTTCGCCGACTCTAAAATGGTTGCGCAGTAGCATAAGGGTTACATTTGCATAGATTGATTTCTGAATGAATGAAATGGGTTTCGAAAGAAAATGGTTTTTAAAAGAAAAGAATAAAGAAAATCTCTTGTCCCATATATTATGGATTTTATTCAATAACTGAATGTTATTAAAAAACTGTTAATGCAACTAATAAATATATAATGATGGTCTTTAAAACTAAAGTTCTACAATAGAACCATTTATTTTTAAATTTTTATTTTAATACCTCCAATACATTGAACTTTATTAATCCACTGTGACAATAAATAATAAATATTTAACATATTGGGAAATATTTTAAAATTACCTAAGCTATCTTAAAATTGATGGAAAAAGGGTTTCAAGGGTTTTGTACTTTTAAAGCTATAGAAAGTTCTCAAAACTGTCAACCGTTACAAAAGAAGAACCCTCTCGAAGCGACGACGTTCCCTCCAAAACTTTTCAACTCTTTCCATCTGCTGACCCAAAAATCTTGTACAAAAAACCCACAAAAAATAGCGCGCCAAAATGGTAAAAAGGAACCCGATTAAAGCGAGTGCGAATCGATGAGGAAACCCCAGAAACGGAAATCAATAGAGGAAAGAAATAGAGGACAAAGCCGCCTCTAAATGTCCCTTTACTTCCGCATTTGTAGCGCCGCATCTTCCCTTCTTCGATTATTTATTAACGTTTATTGATTTCGACTTGCCCAGCGGCAATCTGCCACAGAAAATCGCTGTCAATCGGCAGTGCAACCCTTCGCAGAAGACCGAAACTCAGATATTTCGACAAAAAATAATGAATTTTCTCCACTTTTTTCGCCGAACAATGCCGAAGAAAATTGCGCGCCGTTTTTTGGCCCAGAAAAACGAAGAAAACGAGATAGACTCAAGGGTAAAAATTGAGGATCACTGTCAAGGATTACCCGAGATCTTCCACAGCTTAGCTCTTCGGCAAACTCACGAGGGGTAGCAACCCCTTGGCGGCAGCTACCTAAGGGTGAATGTACCCCAATAATGCGTAATTTTTTAAGGTAAAAATATCTCGAAATTGAAGGAAATTCAAATTGAACAAAGGCCAATTTTTTGGGTGATTTTTTGTGCGATTTTCGTCTTCGGTTAGGGTGAGAAAAAGGCACAAAAAATTGCGGTTCCTTTTTGCCTACTTTTTTTTGGGTTTTTTGGGTGCCAGGACTCTGATTAAGTACGGGATATCTAACGGAATTTTCGCAAAATTTTCTCACAAGTTTTTTGGGTGAAGAACTATTGATTTATGTGCCTGTTTTTTAACCCATTTCGGGTATAGAAAAATATATGTAATATGAGGAAAAAACCGTTACATTTCTTTAAAGAAAAACTGTATTTTGACGGTATAGTTTTCACATGGAATGCAAAAAAATTTTTAATTAATAGGATATTTTAAACTGTTCCATTTGGTTTTTAGTTTACTACGTTTTTTTTTTTTTTTAGGTAATTTTTTTGAAGAACTATACATTTTTGAAATATGTATTCATAATTTAAGTTTAAAAATGTATTTTAAATGAGTAAATTTTGACAAAATTTCCCTGAAGCAAACTGCGTCATGATTTTGCACTATAACGCAAACGAAAATCCATAAAACCCATGCAGAATCCACCCAACAGCCGAGAAAAGTACTCCCCAAGCAAAACTACTGGCCCCAACCACTTAACCTCCCATTTTCCCCGCCCCAAAAAACACAACTAACTTGAGGACCGAATGCTAGTCTCGTCTTATTTGCTTAACGCAAATTGGTATGTCATTTTAATGCGTTGCAACAACAGCAATGGCAGGACGAACAGCGACAGGGAAACGTCGGAGTTTTCACAACCACCCGACATTGTTTGGTTCCGGGTTAGTGCTCCCACTTCCCACTTCCATACTGCCGATCCTGGCGATGTCCTTGCCCTTGTCCCGTCTGTTTTCGTCATGCAAAGTGTGTGTGGTTTCCACCCATCGCAGCCCCTTTTCCTCTCGATTTTCCGGTGATGCTGCCAAGCGTTTATTTTCTTGATTAATTTCAATGCCCAAAAACTTCTATGTTGCTATGCACAAGTGTGTGTATTGGTGTGTATTTGAGTGTGTCTCCCCCTTTTTGTGTCCTGTCTGGTGTGTCCAGCGATGTCCTGGCTGTCTGAGCCGTCTGCTCCTGGCAAATAATCAAATTGCCTAGACACCGCCCAGGAAAAACGCAAAATAACCGACAGGGAAAACTATTCGCAGTGAGGAACTGTTTATCTTTTGTCTCCCAGTGACAAGTTTAATCAGCAGCAGAACAGCCGAAGCGCCAGGACCAAAAAGGATAACTATTGAAATTAGTTTGGGGGAGAATCGAACGATTGCTATTGATTTTCCCGTTTTTCCTTTCTCCCTTAAATCATTTTGGCACTTTAATATAAAGTAATGTGTAAATAGTGATAGTGAAAGGCTGTTATTTACCAGTAAATCAAGAATTTATCGTGGGAAAAAGGATACTATATCCCATAATATAAGCTTTCAAAATTATTTATTTTAATTCTTAAATGAAGAATTATGTTTTTTTTTAATTACTACAAGTAAAATATCCCGTGTATTTCTACTTTGCTGAATCAAAATACATTATTAGCTAAGATTGTAAGTCATTTACTTACTTAGTTATTAATGCAGTAAAACAATAACAACTTAAGAAAACATATTTTATTGCTTAAATAATGTGTTATTGAATAGAAAAGTTTTATATTCATAAAGAAGACATCTTCCTTAACAGTTATTTAATTTTATTGGTCCTTCTACGTTCTTTAATTGTTTTGGTCCTCGGAGCGAAGAGGAAATCGAGTCCTGAAGGCAAAAACATTAATTTTGCAGTTTTAATTAAAATGCTTGAGGCGAAACGGGAAATGGGCCCAAGTCAGCGAAAGGAAAGGAGAAAGAATTCCCATATTATTTTCTCGTGCGACTCCCACAAACTTTAGAGAAAAGCGAAGGAAAGCAAAGGAAGTGCAGTCACAGTCATAATCATAAAATGTATGCGCTGTCACCAGGGCTGCAAAGTTCCTTTTCCCATCGCTTTTCCCTCTCAAAACAAAAAAGAAGAGGAAAATCGCAGGACGTGTTGTTGTGTGGGTGGGAGGTGGAAGAAGGAAAAAGGGAAAAGCGAGAGAGCGCAACAACACTTGTTGTAATTACTCGACCAAGTCTCGGTTCAATGGCTGCGCTGATGTTTATATGAATGAGTTTTGTGTTTATATAATCACACCGAAATGCTCAACTTGATGTGGGTGGATGAGGATTGGATGGCCGGATGGCAGGATTCACAAAACGCAGCCATATAATTCTCAGATCTACCGTGAAATGGAAAAAAATTACGCAGTCAGGATGTTGATTTTGTAAGCATTTTAAGACTATAAATTGGTATAGACGATTGTTACTTTTTGAAACAATTTTGAAATGTATTTTAATATAGTTATAACAACTATTTTTAAAGTTCCTGCTTGTACAGAATTGATATTCCCTTAGGGATATTCGAAAAAACCTACGATGTTAGCGTGTTCTAAAATTTATGGATATTTAAATAATATTGAATCATTATAATTGCAACTTTTTTAAAGATATCAAACGATTGTTATTAAAAGTATGGAATATTGCAGGGTTAAATCACAGAGAAAAAAAAAAATATTTCTTTAAACAGAATCATTATATCATAATCATTATATGTTCCTTTCAAGGTGCCAAAATATAAATTACTGTTGGGATTGTAACCAGACCCCCAAAAACAATCCCATTCAATCTGGCTCATACATAACATTATATCCCAACTGTATATATATACATATAAGCCAGACGACACCTTCGCAGGAGCACATAAAGCCCCCACTTAATTATGATTTACTTGCAACGGGGGAGAATCGAGATATGCAAAGAAATGCTGCATACTGCGCAGAAAGTCGGGAGGAAAATGCATAATACATAGGCCACACCCATTTCGCAGGAGAAGTCAACTTGTGGCCTATGCTAATGCAGGAAAATGTGGAAATGTGAAAGTGCAGGGGAAGGCAACAATGGAGTGCAGGGAAATTCTGATCGGAATGCAGGCGACAAAGAATACGTTCCACACGCACACACTGAACTCCGGCTAACGGTGCAGGGTTGAATTGTGAGTGGAAATGAGCGAGTGAGTGAGAGGCTTGAGTGGAAAAGGAGAGCGGAGAGGAAACGGGGAAAACTACCGCTGCAAATCATAAAGCATATCACACACACAAGCACAGCAAAGGCTGACAGAATGGGAGAGGCAGTGAGTGTGAGCGAGAGGCAGAGTGCACATAACGGGTCCCACAGAGAATGCAGCAAAATAAGATTCCTCCGATTTCTCAGTTTTTCAGTTGCATTCGACAAACGAAGTTGAAGCTAGACGGTCGGGTTCTCTCAACTAGCAAAAACAAAAAAAATACAAAACCGAAGCGAACGATACGGAAATATAGGAAACCGAACGCTGACTCTCTTCCTTGTGAATGTTTCGAGTGCATAGTTAAATATTTTAATTTATAAACACTTATAAATAATACAACTGCTAAAATGATGGTGCTACAGCAACAACAACAGCGTCTCTGGGATGCAACAACAACAAATAACACAAACACAACAACACAACAATCGGCGAGTGTGGAAAACTCACCGAAAAAAGTTTGCAACCAGGAAAATGCAACAACAGCGGGACACACATGTGAGTTTTTCAGGATTGCCATGCCACAACCCGCCAGAATGGCTTTTCATAAAGTTTGGCTAGGGTTGTCGCATACAAAAAGGATTTAAGCACAGAACTGGGAATTATTATTATGTTTATTTTGTTTTTTTATTTAAATAGGAGTTTCTAAGGTCCTAAAAAGGTTTTAAAAAGCACTGTAAAAGTGTTAAAAAAAACAACGTATAATATCTTTGAAAGTTTTTAAATTATTTCTTTTAAAACATAGTACGTATTTTCTTTTATCAACCGACTTGTTACTGAGAAATTTACCGAATTAAACACAAATCCCGACCTGATTTATGGGACCTTGTACCTGTTACCCAAACTTTTCACTTTCTCGAGCAATAAATTGTACCCAAAAAAGGACTAAAGAAAGAAACCAGTGCAGACAAAGGTCACCGATGATGATTACACGCCCACACATTATCCTTAGCAGAGGGTTCAGATCAGATGGAGTATATAGTAGAATATGCAAAGGCACACACAATTTCCCTATCAGATAAACGATTTCATGGCGTTTTGCAATAGATTTGATGCGATGTCCTGCTGCTGCCGGTGTCCTTTTTGGCCAGCAGCTGTCCTTGGGCATCCCACTGTGCGAGCGTGTGATCGGAGTCCTTAGATTTTTTTTCTGTTTGCATTTGCATCCTGCAGTGTCCTTTTTTTACCTGTGTCCAAGACGTTGTCTTTTTTCTGAGGGTATTTTGCATGGAAACAAAGGAGAAAGGAAACGTTTATTTTTTTTCTCCGCATCCTTGGCATTTCCTTCGTTTTTTGGGGAATAACTATTTGCAGGCTAAAACGTAGGCAACAAAGAGAAAGAAACCAAATTAGCCACAAAAGGCAAATTTTGTGTAATTACATTTAAGCCGAAGGTGTGGCGTATGGAAAAAAAGGTAGAGAAATTCTAACATGCAGATCATGTGCACACCGAAAATCCCAGAGATCCTTTGACTAATGCCACTTGTTATCCTGCCAACAAGTGAGGTGTGAGGTCAACCACCGCCCACTCCTTAAGCCGGCCCCAATCCCATCGGGCAGGACCATTACCCAACCACAAGGACAACGCCATCGCAATGGCCAATGGGTAATCTGTATATTTATATTGTCCTGCACTGGACATTATGCACAAGGATTCCCCAAGTCGGAGCGTTCTCGCAACAATATATTGTCGTAAAAATATGTTACTTTCTCCTGCTGCCCGTTGTCCTTCTCGCCAGCAAGGATACTACTTTGCTTACGCCCCGGGGGAGCTATAAATTTAATATCTACTTTGCAAAACAAAAAACCAAATGGCACAAAAAAAGGAAAAGCTGAGGGAGGATGAGAATGGACGGTGGGAAATGAATGAAAGATGGTGAGGATTTTGGGCTGAGTTCTGCGGACACTTTGGGATTTTCGGGATTAAGTAGGGGACATTTATTTAAATTGAAAACAGATTTTACCAGATTTCATTTAGAATAAATTTAAGCTTGTTTAAAATGTAATAAAGGATGAAGTAAATGGTTTTAAAAGATTTTCTCTTGAAATGAATCTTATTTTTAAGGCACCAAATTGTTTTACAGTGCTTTTTTTAACGTATCTATTGTGTGCAAACTATTTTAAGCATTATGCAGACCATTCACACGCGGAAATGGATCCTTAAAAAACTTTACAACAGCGGGCACTCAGAGCAAAGCTGAAAACATTTTTGCATGTTATATTCGCCATAAGAAATGTCTTATGTCCGAACTCCTAATGGACTTTTTACGAGCCAGACATGAAAAGAAAACCTCCTGTCCACTCCTTGTTTGAAAAATGTTTGCCTTGACCATTTCTGTCCTTCACCAGAAGTACGTGTCATTTGCATTTAAGTGTGCTTGGCTGAGACATTATTAAAAATTCAAAAATATTTTTTTTATTTGTTTGCAGTTATGCGGCACATGTCCAACTCACCTACACCGCCCTCGCCGCTTCGATCGCTATCAGGTAAATACATCATACATATCTATATAACATAATGGCTAATCCTTGGCCAGCATTGAGGAAACATGTCCTTTTTTATCCTGCTTCTGGCTCGTGTCGGAACGTGGCTACTTTGTGGCTAAATTGATTACTCACACGACAGACAACTTTTATAGTTTTCAGTTCTTCTCTTATTTTTTTTTTTTTTTGCAATATGCAATAAGCCACGCACCCCTCTTCTCCACTGCATCCCCTTTTCCACATCCCCTATCCGCATTTTGGTTTATTTTAGGGTTTGGCTTAGGTAGTAACTCAGAATTTCCGTTGAGGACTGGAGTTCCTGGCTCTGTTATTGGTAATGAGGCATTAGGTTAGGGCACCTATAATTTTTATAGGTGCTGTTGAGGAACCAGCACGTGACCAAAGTGTGACTGAGATCGGGGCAGAAGTCCTTGGGTTAGCCGTAAGAAATTTGAGGAGTTTAAAGGGTCGAGAAGATGATATAGTAAATGGATATATGAGTAAATACTTTACTTTAAAGTGTATTACAGCATAGAAAAGTATTACTTAACATAAAAAGGCTTACAAAAATCAAAGACCAGCTAATAATTTGAAAAACTTCAATAGGTGAAACATTTTTAATATCAATAATAAAATCTGCTATAAAAGCATACAAATTTGATAAGCAAATTATTAAACGACTCGTTATTATCTAAATAATATCCGTTTGGTATGTATAAAAAACCGATTTAAATATTTCTGTATCCCAGCATTGCAATTATTTCGAGAAACCATACTTCCATTATGTTTCATTGTTCAAGTTCATTCAAACTTTAAATCCCTTTTCAACCATTTCCATGGAATGCCACCCAAAATCTCTTTTTCCACACCCACAACCATCCTCCCCCGAAAACAACCCCCACAGGGAAACAAGCTTAAACCAAAGATGATCCTGCCGAGACCCCTAAATGCTCTTTTGACCTCCACCCCCCTCACCCGATGACCCTAACACGACCCTCTTCTGTTTCGCAAACAAACAGAAATAACAATTTGTCAAAATGTAAATTTCTGCTTTGGCGTATTTAAATGATAGGCGAAGCAATTATGTAAGGACCCCGAGCAAAGGACACCAACCCCTAACGAAGTGCAACTAATCTATGCAAAAACATGCACGAAAATCCACCCCATTTGAATAAATGCGGCGCATTAACAGGGTTGCCAATGCCATCCGATAGTAGTTGACAATTAAACTTGCATTTTTATTGGTTTACACAAATTAGGCGAGTCAATCGAGCCAAGGGTGCCTAACCCCTCTCACACCCCTCTTCAAACTATTATGCATATTCAAATGTTGTCAAAATACAAAACGGGGGGGAAGGGATCTCATCCAAAAGGGTTTTATAAAAAAGGGTTGCTTCAACCGCTAAAAAACTCAAGTGGCATAACATTAGCATTACACACAAAAAAGGCAAACTGTTGATCCTGCTCAACCCTGTTTAACATATCATTTGAATAGCGCTGAGGTGTGAAACCAATTGAGGGGGCAACCCTAAGCGAAGGGTTACCCTTGCCACCTCATTTTTTAAATTCCCACTTGTTGAAAGAGATCTCCCCTCGTCTCGTTATTCAAATTGAAAGGATTTGGTTGCGTGAAGTTAATTGAGGTTCTCTGGATGTTTAAGGGGTAATTCGAAAGAGGAAGCGCGAAAAGGATATTATAATCAGCGGTTCTGATTGGGTGCTCCTTGTTTTTTTGGTGTAGTTCAAAAAACTTTACTCTGGGGCGTTTCGAGGGCGTTTTGTGTGGCATGCAAACAAGTAGGAAGGATTCGATGGGCGTGACGAGTTTTTAATGAAGGGTTAAGTGGAGGTAATGAAAGTGGAAAGGCTCGAACTTATCACTTATCACTTATGTTGCAATGATTTTAAATTGAAATTAGTAAAGAAATTTAGACCTTTAAAATAAGCGATTTAAATTAAGAAGAAAGGCTATTCTAAACTATATTTCGAATATAGAAGAGCTGGAATTGTTCAAACTCACTAAAGATTCTAGTAATAAAATTGATTTTTAGATGCTAAAGTTTCGAAACTTATTACATTTCTTGGATTTAAAAACTTATTGATACTATATTAAATTTTTAAGGAATATGCAATATTTGTAAACTCAAAACCTCTACAGATTTATTTTCAGTTTTGAAAATGGTTCTTGATCAAACTCATATGTAGATAAACTGCATTAGATTTGCAAGGGTAATTGGATTGTCAGAATCTGGCAACCTCTCCATGCACTCTCTATATATTTCTGGTTTTATCTTTCCCATAAATCGAAACGCACTTTACACTCCCTGTTCGGATAGGGAAAACCAACCCCTAAAAATTGCAGGGAAAAGGAGTACACAGAATTCGGAGTTTTCGAATAGAGGCAACACTTCATTTGTCAGTGGAAACATTCACACATTGCCATTGTGGCAGGACGAGGAACTTGCATTCACCATGTAGTCCTCGTCAGCAGGATAACACATCTGCCCCGTGAACAGACAAAGCGGCATCACCTGGTTTTGGGTTTCTACTAAAAATCGAGGCTCCGAGGATCGAGGATCGTGGATCGCTCGCTGCAGGCGCATTCCACTCACAAAGGATCACAACAATGTTTCTTTCCTTGGCATGAACTTGCTCCGAAGGCTTCTTGACTTTCCTCCTTTATTTTGTTTTTTTTTTGTAAACCTTACAATGCAACTTGGAACCCTTTTTTTTTTGCTGGTTCAAATCTCCACCCAATCGCAAGTTGCATTCTGCTCTAATCCGCGACTCGTGCATTCGAAATTGTAACGAATTTTAAATTCGAAAACCCGCTGTAAAGAGGGATGAAAAATTTTCCAAAAAGGGTGACAAATTTTTGACTATGGCTAACCCTTGGATGATTTTCGATTCTGACTGGTTCCCAATGCGTTTCCAATGGCTAATTTTATTACTGCGTATTCAACTTTCGCCGTTCTACATAAAGGGAGTCATAAAAACAGCTGCCCACATGCAATTTATTTGCAAAGTTCGAACGCCCGCATTGGAAATTTTATTTTTTGATACAGTTCCTAATCCCTCGAATCGAGTTTTACATGGGGTTGAATCCGCTTAAAACTATCAATTCTCTTTACTTCTAAATCGGTTTAAAGCGCTTAGTTTTTTACATTTTTTACAAATGTTTTAAGTTGATTTTAGATAGGAAGTCGAAAGCAGGGGAGAGTATTTTAAAATCATAGTGAGAAATACTTTTCATTTCTAATTTATTTTACTTACTTATGTAAATATTATAGTTTTGGTTATTACAAAGACCTTTTGTTCATATTTCTCCTGTCGGAAGTTTCTAACTCATTATTTTATTCCTCATCAAAATCAATAATTTTCCTTTTGAAAATTATGAAATCCGAGCTCCTTTCGGCGATGTAATGCGCATTTATCGGAGACAAAGGAGCTGGCTTCCTGTTTGACTCCGCCGTGGCCTCTGATGTATGGCTATTTTTCAATTATTATGCATGATTGGGTTTTCAACAAGGATGTTGGGGGAGGCTGGTGGTTAAAGGGGGGAATGAGGAGTGGAGGCCACAAAGGCAAACCCTTCCGCTTGAGCGTCTATCGAAGCTAACCGCAGGACGCAGACTTTGGACAGGATGGTGAAAAAGGATGAGCATTCAATTGGAAGATTGAATAAAATTTGCCTTAAAAAGACTGAACGAAGACTGAAGAAAATGGTTTAGAGAAAGTCGGAAAATTAATACACTTGGTAAATGAAGGGAAAATGCATTAGGAGAATTAATACATTTAATTTTGTTTTTTGTATCTAAAGAATAGGTAATTAAATAAATGAAAATGAAATATTGAACTATATTTTGTAATGTTTGCTTATTAAATATTACCTGAAAATCAATTAATACTAAACACCATTATTCTTAGATTGTTATAGTTATTTCCTCTTTTTCAAACTTCAAAACGAATCATTTAAATTCCCTTTATACCCTCAAAAATAGCTGTAGAAATATTGAAAAACCTGCACAGTCTTTTGGTTAAAATCAAATTATGCGACGCGTGCGTTGGCCAGTCCGGCTACTTGAACTTCATTGAGTTGGAAAATTGAAAAGCAAACTACCCAAAATCATCAGCTATATAAAAATGTCTTCTCCTTTCCTTGCAGATTGTGGAAAGAGCTTCGAGGAGGAGGAACTGGAGCTGGGCGAGAACAGCGAGATGCCGCAGAACCTGAGCAGCAAGCGGCAGGCCAGGGAACTGGATTCGGAGCTGGAGAACGAGGTTCTGGACTTGGCACCGCCACCCAAGAGATTAGCAGAGGTTCAGCTAAAGGAGGAAAGGGAGGAGGAGCCGGTAGCCAATGCCATTCCACCACAACCCATGGGTTTTGCTCCCGAGGAAATGCATCAAGCGCTGCAACTCCAACTTCATAGTTACATCGAAATGGTGCGCCAACTGGCACCGGAGGCCTTTCCCAATCCCAACCTGGCCACCCAGTTCCTGCTGCAGAACTCACTCCAAGCACTGGCGCAATTTCAAGCTCTGCAGCAGATGAAGCAGCAGCAAAGGGAGGATCCCCTGCCCAACTACTCCACTCCGCTGGCGAAGTCACCGCTGAGGAGTCCCTCCTTGAGTCCCGTTCCCCGGCACAGCAAATCCCAGCAGCGAACTCCACCCAACACCATGAGTGCCAACTCCTTGGGATTGAGCAGTGCTGTGATGACTCCAAATACTCCCAGCATGCAGCAGCAACAGCTCCAGCAGAGTACTCCAAAGCCAACGAGTGGAATCACAGTGGCCTCCGCCATGGCAAAACTGGAGCAGTCGCCGGAGGAGACCACCGACTTGGAGGAGCTGGAGCAGTTCGCCAAGACCTTCAAGCAGCGCAGGATCAAGCTGGGATTCACTCAAGGAGATGTGGGTCTGGCCATGGGTAAACTCTACGGCAACGACTTCTCGCAAACCACAATCTCCCGCTTCGAGGCTCTGAATCTGAGCTTCAAGAACATGTGCAAGCTGAAGCCGCTGCTGCAGAAATGGCTGGAGGATGCGGACACGAGTGTGGCCAAGTCGGGTGGCGGGGTATTCAACATCAACACGATGACGAGCAGCTTGAGCAGCACACCGGAGAGTATTTTGGGGCGCAGACGCAAGAAGCGCACCTCCATTGAGACCACAGTGCGCACCACTCTGGAGAAGGCCTTCCTGATGAACTGCAAGCCCACCTCGGAGGAGATCAGCCAGCTGTCGGAGCGCCTCAACATGGACAAGGAGGTGATCCGCGTGTGGTTCTGCAATCGCCGCCAGAAGGAGAAGCGCATCAATCCCTCGCTGGATCTCGACAGTCCCACGGGAACTCCTTTGAGTAGTCACGCCTTCGGATATCCTCCCCAAGCTCTCAACATGTCGCACATGCAAATGGAAGCTGGTTCGGGTTCCTTCTGCGGCAGCTCCATCAGTTCCGGGGAATAGGATCATCCGGAGCCATCCTCCTGCAACTTGAACCCTGTAAATAGTCAGCTTATACTCCAAAATCTTCCACGACATTCCACAAGCCACTCTCTCCATATCAAAAGCAACAATGCCATGGATGTGTTTAGTAACTAGGTGATAGCCAGTCGTATCAGAGAAAATCCATTACGAATTTATGAGTACATATAGTATAGTTCCACACTACCTATTCGTATCTGTATGCATATAGAATCCTAGTTCCTAGTTCTAACTGTCCCCCGAATGCCATATGTGTATCTGTTGTGTCCCTATATCCACTACGCTATAGGATTCGATTCCATTCGACTCGATTCGATTCCCCCTAGTTGTATTTATCGTGTATTGACCTAGATGTGTATGTGTAACGATGTTGTTGTACGATGTCCAATTGTAAATTGATCTTGAACGCACTTAGATCTTACATCCAAAAATTTCAATAAAATTATTCCGATAAATAATTTATAAAAAAAAAAACGATTATTTATTTTGGTGCGATTTGAACAAGTAAGTAATATATAATATGAAGTTATATTATGTTCTAAAGTCAGGGCATACAGGATATAAATTAACCCGGAATGCCTTTAATCAATCATTAGATATTTGATTATTTGTATTATGTGACTGACAATAAAAACTGAAGAATATCATAAAATAGATATAATAACTTCTCTGAAATTGGAAAACTGATCTCCACATAACAAACAAGAATGATATTTTAGCCAAAGAGCTATATAGTATACATACATCTTTACTATAAAGATGGCATAATATTAAATTTTAAACGTATACAAAAAAATTTGAAACAGGTCTTCTCATTTTTACGAATTTTACTTTTGAAATGAATGAATTATATATTTTATAATTTTTATATTATTCATTTTTTATTTTATATGTAAAATAGAATACTAATACTATTTGGCACTTCTGAAACATTTAACCATTTCAAGGTGGGTTTCTACCATTATTAATATTTTTTAAGATCAATATTTATCAAAATCTCTTAGCTTATTATTCAATTAGCCAACGCTTTGGTTTAACTGCCAGTCGCGTGCCCTCCGCAAACCCACTCGAATCTCATTAGGCACTGCCTAAATAAATATTGAAATATTGAATTTCCTTGGCCCGTTCCAAAAAGCGTTTGCCAGCCACGCGACAAAGGCAAACACGACCATTTTTTAATAAACTTCCTGGCAAACGCGGGCCAAGGAAGAAAGGATGCGAAGGACCCACACCAGCAACCCCTTTTTCCCTTCTATTTTGTATTTTTTTTTTGCTTGTCGAGTGTGGATTTGTTGGATAAGAAATCACTTCATCTTTTTGGGCCCGGCGACAGTCAATATGGCAGCCCAGACAGAAACCCTTATTTGTATATCGAAGCAAGCGTGTAAATCCTTTTTTTTAGCAACCCCCAACTCCGATCCCTCATCCCGAACATCCTGCCCTCACAAACTTTGCCGAGCTCTGATTCGTTTAGGGCTCGAATCTCTAAAAAATTATAAGAGTTGGGGAAGGGAAAGGGAAAGGGTTCGGGCCATCAATTCACACATAGTTATGTCATATGGTCCCCGCTCCGGTGGTTGATTTCGGTTGTTCTTGTTCTGGTTCTGGATTCTTCTCCTGTTTGCTGTTTTCTGTTCTGGGTTTTCTGTCTCCGATGTGGGCAGTCCAAGTGTTTTATGTTGTCCCAGTTGTGTCCTTTTGAAATCGCTTAAGCAAGTCAAGTCCTCGATGGAGATATCTTAATGGAAGTGTGCCAATAAATTAGGTAAATGATGGTGCAAACGAATGGCACATATGCTAAAAGAGGGTAAAGTTTACTAAAGGATTTACTTTAAAGGTAAGAAACTCAAAACTTTGTAAGAACTATGTATTTTAAGCAGCTTAATTGAATGGATTATCTGCATATTTAGGTGTTGAATAACTTATCTCGGTAAGAAATAATATGATATAATAACGATTTTAGTTTTATAATAATGCTTCGATGTCGATAAACAAAAAATATAGCAATAAGAAAAATATGATAATTAGGTACGTTCTTTTATAACTCACTAGTTAATTTAACCTAGTAAGTTATGTTTACTGACGTCATCAATTTTTTTTATTGAATTATATATTATATATTCTTTATGCAATTATCAATTATAAATAAGAGCTTTCGATTTTAGGCTAGGAAGCTAAAATTAAAACCCAATTATTTTTATTAAAATTATTTTATCAGTTATAACGATTATTAAACTAGATTTTATTTAATTCCCACTTAGATAAAATAATACTTCAATAGTTACTCATGCAAAAAACGGTTACTATGTTTACTTTACCCAAAAGGCAATTAAACCCCCGAAATATCACGTCACCCGTTTGAAACTTGACGATTTGCTTGCCCGCAGCTGTCCAGAGTTGCGAATAAATTTTTAATCTGTGGAGCAGTGAAATCTCGACCAGGCTGCTTACCCTATTTAATTTGCAGGCCATTCGCCCACACACTCGAGCACACATCAAACGGAGGCCAAAAGGAGAAAAAGCCCATCGATGCCGGCACTCACACTTAATTGGCGAGCACTCGAATCTGGACTTTGGGCCTGGGACTCTTTGAATGTTATCAGTCCTGTGCAGACGACGTATGTCCATTCCAAATAACCAAAAAAAAAATTGGAAAAAGAAGGAAACCAGAATGGAAACGGACGCAAAATGGCTTTGAGCAATTTGGGTTTTCAATGGGGGAAAACTTCAATTGCATTGGTCATATTCAAAGTGCCTGAAAGCCTGAGCTGGTCAAAATGGGTTGATAAGCCCCGTAGGCCATTCATTCATTCATGGCTTTTCCCGGTGGTTGGAGATCGTCCGAACGAGATTTCATTCAGGTTTCGTTTGATAGATTTCCTTTGGCGGACAGGCAAACATTTGCTGCATTTGCAAATTGAATTTCCTCGCCGGAAAATGTTTCATTTTCCTTTCGCCCGCTCATTTATAACAATTTAATGAAATTTTCGAATGCGTTTTCATAATATTGTCGTGGCCCCAGCATCATTAATCACTTGCCACTTGGCAGGACTAACGAAAATTAAGTTTCCTTTATGCTTTAGCTCCAACATTTCTATTCTTTATGTTTTTTCTAGTTTTTCTGCTTAAAGTGGCTTAAGCTAGATTAAAGTCTTTTGTTAAATAAGTTATTCATTTTCTTAAACTATTGTTATTGAACCCAAGACACAATAAAAATGTATATTTTCAACACTCTTTAACCATTTAAATTTCATAAAATAATTTCAGCTTAAGGGGTTATATACCTTTTTTTTTCAAAAAAACGAAAAATTTTTTTAAGCTGAATCCTAAAGTATATCCCCTAGAGAACATTTTCCCAAATTTTTGAAGAGATCCGAATAATAGTTCGATAGGAAAACAGCGTTTTGAGGCGCGGTACGTCACTCTTTGTACCGCAACGTAAAACTTTGAATGCGATTATCTCAAAGTCGTTTTTTTCCAAAAGTGCCTTTGCTGTGACCGCGATTGCACAAGAACTATTTGATCGATCTTCTTCAATTTTTTTTTAAATATTCGTAATGATTGTGCCGAGTTCGTCATTGAATCAGTTTTTATGCGGCAATTTCGATTTTGCAGATAAGAAATTTTTAATAAAATTTTTAGAGCTCGAAAAATTAATTTTTTGAAAAAATTGTTACTGTATGCAGAAAAAACCAAATATTCTTGAAGTAATTCAATGACGAACTAGAAATAATACTAAACTAATAAAAATTTTTTGGTTTATTGATTTTAGTTGACCCGCTGGACTTCCATCGTGGTCACCGCAAGCCGCTATAACAAAAAAAGGGTTATGAGAGAATTGCCATAACTTCGAAAGTTATTTATATTTTTTAAGAACAAACGTTTGTTGTGTCTATAAAAACATGTACTATCAATAAATAATAACCTCAGTATCATAAAATAATTGCTACACACCTGAAAAAAAATCCAAAGTTCCCTCATTTTTTTCGCTCAAAAAGGTATATAACCCCTTAAGTGGAATTATTATAAGAATAAAAATTCTTTACTTCCAAAAATTAAAATCAATATATTTTATTTTTATGTTTGGTAACAGGCTTTTTATGTTATCTTTTCATTATTTAAAAATTTTTCTATTGCATAAGAAATAGAAAACTTATCTTAAATCTATTTGTTTTTGCCTAGCTTTTTTGTTCTTTTTCGAACTATAAGATACTCGAGATGTGAGATAGCAGACGTTAGTAATTTCCGATGAGTTCGCTGAAATAAAAAGTGCTCGCAAATTATATAGCGAACATATGTTAAATTTCTGCGTGATTGACTGACAATTTGGTGCTTTGAATTTCAATTCGTTTAGCGAAGGAAAAGGAACAAGGACACCGGGGACACACCCCTTTTCGCCCGACTGGAGAGAACATAAGACTTGTGCAAACATTTGGCCAAAAACAACAGCAGCGGGGGAAACACAATTGAATTACAATGAAAATATGAAATGAGCAAAAAGTAGATGAAGAAAATCGCATACAAAAATTAAGCAAACAGGCGAAACAAAGGAAAAACCCCCGAAATGAAAAGTTTCAAAAGTGTGGGCCACTGGCTCTGGCAAATAGCTCGGGAAAAAAGCGCAAATTCAATATTTGCACAAGAAACAAATGGGAACGAGGACGTGAACGACAATGCCCCAAGACAGTCGAGCAAATAGCTAAAAAAAAGTAGCAAAAAATAAAAGAAATATCCAGAGAGGGGTCGCATAAATAAAGGTTTTCAATACCCTTCAGTATACATATTTTTGAACTTACAATGAAAGTATTTTCTTATAAAAAAGCTGCTTTCTTTTCCGAAAAAATTGTGTTATATTGTTTAAAATCCAAAATACCTAACCACTTCAAAAAATGTTCAAATTGGTCTAACATAAATCAAGGAAACTTCTAAGTCCTGATTTTTCCACCCTCTTGAGACCAAAATGGAAAACTCAAATCAATGGCCGCTTTATAAAAAACTTTAAAATGGAAATTTGCATGCGACCCCCGACAGCCGATGGAAAACCTCCCCCAGAATTTTCCTTTAGCCAATTAGCGGAATAGCTTTTTGAGGCTCGAAAATCAAAGCCAATCAAGGGCGTGATTGGAAATCAACACCATCTTGGCCAAAAGGGTGGTGGGAGATAGTGGACTGGAAAACTTGATCCCTTTGACATGTTTACACATTTAATTAACTTACACGCGCCGAAAGTTTCCGGACACGACAGATAACCCCCATCTAATCACACCCAAGTGAGAACCCAACCCGCACAAAGTTCCAAAATGGGGCTAAGAAAACAAAAGGATAAAGACCCTTGGCCATCCTTTCTTTGACAATTTGAAACCAGTTCAAGTGGTTTAATCATTTAACGCACATCATAAAAATCGCATCAAGTGATTTTTATTTACACGCCCAGGACAAAAAGGAGCCCCAAAACGAACGGGGGTGGATATTTGGGGCGGGGGTGGATATTTGGGGCGGAGGTGTCAAGTGGGCGGGGTTGGGCGAACCCTTTGAAACCCAAGGTGGTTGCTAAAAGCAGGGAAAATGAGTTCGCACATTAGATAAGGATACGGTTAGTTGGTAATCATTTAGGTTGCGCTGAAATCGAAGGAGTCTCTTACAGATTCTTAATGAGAAACATAAAAAGACGAAAATTTCTGAATACAATTTCGCTTTTATAAAAATAATAAAAAAAAACCAATCCAAAAAATGATATTTTACGGCATTAGCTAATTTTAAGTACATTTTTTAAAGTCTGTGTAACCAAGAGTTCTTTTTGAAGTATTGTAAATGTAATCGAACTAAACCGATTTTATATTCTTCAATTCAAACTTTATTAACAAAAGGAACTCTGTTTTTTATTTAAAATATTTTGACAGCTTAAGCGTTAAGCACAACTATTTTTCTAAAAGTCGTTTTTTTCCAGTCTGAAAATCAAGTGATGCGTCTTATAAGCCCACATAAACTTTAAATCGTAGTTTTTGAGAGCGTAGTTTTTAAGATAGCCTAACCACAAAGCAACATTTTTTGAAGGTCTCCATAATTTAAAACATGTTTGTTTTTGGGTTGTGTTAGCGAAGTATTTAATCTTTTGTTTTTATTTTTAAATACATATTAAGCTGGTAAGGCGTGGTGTATATAACGTGAATTTTATTCAAATTAAATGCGCAACCGCATAATGGGTATAAGATGTGAGGGATTAGATGAAAATGCTTTTAGATTGATCTTGATCAGAGACAGACAACCGAAGTAGACGGGTCACAATGCTTAACTGAAGGTGTTGACCTGGAAGGAAAGTAAAAGGGTGATTAATAACCGATAAAATGCGTTGATGTGGGTAATATAACACTTACAATATCGTCGATCTTCAAGATCGAGCGAATCGTCTCCGTGGCCAGGGTGATCGACGAAATACTGACCAGCAGCGGTTGCACCACGTTCTCCGCGTAAATATCTGTGATGGCGCCCTTGCGCACATTAATACCAGCGGTTTTCTCGCCCTGGGCGTGGCGGTTACGCAGCTCCGTCACCGTAGCAATGGGGTTCAAGCCAGCGTTCTCGGCCAGAGTCGAGGGAATGACTTCCAGGGCATCGGCGAAAGCACGGAAGCAGTAGGCATCCACTCCCTCCACCGTTTGAGCCAATGCAGCCAACTGCAGCGCCATCTCGATCTCCGGCGCACCACCGCCGACAATCTGGGCGCGCATCTTCACCAGGCAACGCACCACACAGAGGGCGTCGTGCAGGGAGCGAGCAGCCTCCTCAAGCACCAGCTTGTTGGATCCGCGGCAGATGATCGACACGGTGCGTCCCATGTTCTGGATGCCGGTGATCTTGACAAACTTGTTGGTGCCACTGGCCACCTCCTCGACCAACTCGGCGCTGGACAGGTTCTCGGCTGTGAAATGATCCAGCGAGGCGATCGGACGGCAGTGCAGAGTCTTGCACACGAACTCAATGTCCTCGCGCTCCACATCCTTGACCACCAAGCACTTGATCTTGTCCAGGAAGTGCTGGGCCAAGTCAGAAACAGCATCGCTGTGAGAGAAATGGGAAATTTTGAGTACAAAGTGGATAAGAAATAGTCGAGTTAAACCTACCGCAGGATGGACTTCTGAACCAGCAGGACGTTGCAGCCAGACTTCTTGATCTGCTTGACAATGTTGAGGATGTAGGAACGCTCCTCCTTCAGCACACGATCCATGGCAGCGTAGTCCGACACAATCACGCTGTGATCCATCTGTTAAATCAGCAACAGTATGAGTATATAAATCGGTTAATCAGGAATCTAACAACTTACATCGGTCTTGGGAGCCGAGATGCAGAACTGGATGAGACCAATCTTGGCCTTCTCGATGCGTTTGGGAGCGTTGGAACCGGCAGAACGGCAGGTGAAGACCAGACCATCGACCAGCTCGGTGTCCTCAACGGTGCCACCCAGGCTGGAGATAACCTTGATGTTCTTGAGATCCACGGAGGTCTCCTTGTCGGGATCGGTGACCTTCAGCACGGCATCCACGGCAATGGGAGCCAGCAGGCTGCTCTGCTGGGACACCACCTTGGAGTTCAGAGAGGTCGAGGCGCTCTTAATCAGAGTATCGCGGTCGTTCAGCTCAATGGGCGTAGACATCTGTTTAAGGATTTCCACGGCCTTGTTGGAGCAACGCTGGAACGAGTCCGAGATGGCGGTGGGGTGCAGACCCTTCTGCAGCAGCTTCTCGCAGGCCTCCAGCAGAGCACCGGCAATGACCACTACGGAGGTGGTGCCGTCACCAGCGGCCACATCCTGGGCACGCGACAGCTCCACCAACATCTTGGCAGCCGGGTGCAGCACGTTCATCTGCTTCAGAATGGTGGCTCCGTCGTTAGTGATGGACACCTCGCCGTTGCCAGCCTGGATCATCTTGTCCATGCCACGGGGGCCCAAACTGGTGCGGATGGCATCGGAAACGGCTAAAAAAGATGATAGATTATTAATTAGACTGGTGGGATTACCTACTTAGAGGTTATTATAACAATAAAGACAACAATGGCCACAACTATATCTGCGCAGATGCGGATTTTAAAATATATCTAATGAATTATTGTGATTTTTGTTTGTTGCTTGTAAAAGTCAGCATGGCATTCAGTTTCACACAGATATTGTAGTTAACCGCATGACTAATCTGCGCCTAAACAAATGGCGTTGGCTTTATAATGTCCAATCTGTTTACAATGCGTTTTACAGATCATAAAAAAAACTGTTGTTTTAGACAGATTTAGCTTCATATATTCATAAATAGCCTACAAATATAATCTGAAAATTTAACATTTTCTGCGCTTCATCCATCACATGAGTAATGCACGCTCTTCTTCTTCCAACCAAGAAGGTTCCAGACAGCCGGCATCCAACTGCGATTTTCATTGGCCATTTGGCCAGCAATTCTGGCATAACGTTGTCATAAAACCGATTTACCAGACTTGTAGCACTACAAATAGGCTCTGGACATGCGTTTTGGCCGGATTATCCTAAAATGTTGTTTAAATTTTACACATTTTCTAACCTTTTGCCGCCTGGATGTTGGACAAGCGGACATCTGTGGGCTTGGACTTGTCCTTGAAGGCCTTCGCTGTTGGCTTGATACCGACTGATTTTGCCTTGGGAGCCATTGAACTTTAAGTTTTAGTTTTTCGGCAAAAAAATACAATAATTCCACACCAAATTCACGGCGATGAACACGAGGAAGCGAAGGAAAGAAGCAGATTACCTAGAGATGGGCAAAAAATGGTAAGACCGCTTTTCGCCTCGTTTCGCCACTGTAAATATCGTATCGTGCTGCATCACGACTTCGGTAGTTTCACTCCCTAGAGATATTTTTGGGGCTCGGTAGAGATTGGATCTCTTTTTAAAACAGGCTTACATGATTACAAAAAACCGTCAAATTTTTTTGTTTAACAATGTCTGAAATTCTACGATTTACCTTTGTTGGATAAAAATTAGTGTACCCGTATATTCCGGCGGTGTGAATGTCATTTCCGGGTGACCGTTTTCTTTAAGGTGACTCGGCTGCTTTATTTACATTTTGCTTTTGTTACATTTAAATTGAAATAATGCCGCACGGACACTCTCACGATCATGGGGGATGCAGTCATGAGGCCACGGATGTGGATCATGCCCTAGAGATGGGCATCGAGTACAGTCTGTACACGAAAATTGATCTGGAGAATACGGAGTGTTTAAACGAGGAAACTGATGGCCAAGGAAAAAGCGTCTTTAAACCGTACGAGAAACGCCGGGACCTCTCGAAATACGTTCAAAGCGACGCAGATGAAGAGCTCCTGTTCAATATTCCCTTTACCGGCAATGTCAAGCTCAAGGGAATCATCATCAGCGGTGCCAACGATGATTCTCATCCAAATAGGGTCAAAATGTAAGAACGATTTTATAAAAACATTCGATTTATTTTTGTATTCAAACTTTAGTTACCCATTTTTCTTAAATTTATCTTTTAAATACAAATATATATGTCTCCTGCAGCTTTAAAAATCGACCTAGGATGACTTTCGACGATGCCAAAGCTAATCCCGATCAGGAATTTCATCTAACCCGCGACGCCCGTGGAGATATCGAATACTCACCCAAAGTGGTAACCTTCTCCTCCGTGCATCATCTCTCACTATATTTCCCCAGCAATTTCGGAGATGAAACTACGCGCATTTACTATATAGGTAGGTGTTTAAAGAATATCACCTTAAGTTGCTTTAAAAAAAAATTTTATTTAAAGGACTTCGTGGAGAGTTCACTGAAGCTCATTATCATGGTGTAACCATTTGCAATTACGAAGCTCGTGCCAATGCCGCAGATCACAAGGATAAGGCCTTCGATGGAGTGGGAAGGGCTATCCAGTAAATCATAAAAAGCCTATTTATATGGTAGAGTAAATTCACAATTTAATTGAGTATCTCTGTAATGTATATTTTGTGATGATTTAAGGCAAGAAATGTGTTTGTACTTCCTTAATATCTAAAAAATTGAGTGTTTGTATTGCACTGTTATTGTAGAGTGAAATCTTTTAAGAATATTGTGTAGGAGGCACGACGTCGGGTCCTATCTTCACGCCCATATTGGGCGCCTTATCCGAATGGATTTCAGCCGTAACTTCGGTGAAGAGTTTGTCCCACTGCCATAGATCGTCCTTCTCATTGAGACTCTCTTGGGGGACCAAGCAATCGGTAAGGATTGATAGATCAAAGCCATCAACGGCCGAAAAGGCATACTGAGAAAGCAAATCAGAATTGGCCTCCTTCAAAACTGCTGAACGTGTGGTACCGACTCTGGAAATTATAAATGTGTGTTTACTGAACTGAACGAAGTTTAGAATAGATTTTTCTTACGTGGGTGGTTCTACTATTTCGTTTAGCATAATTTCATCTTTGACATCATCCATATCTGGGATAACGGGAATATCATCCGTTGGTATAGAATTTGTAGCAGATTTGGTTTGCTTAAAGCGCTCACTGAAAATTACAAACAAAATATTTAAATACAATTTGTGCAGGACTCTAGAAAATTGAGTAACATTGTCAAACTAAAAACTGATTTTCTTTAGAAGGCATACAATTTTTAAAAGTATCTCAACTATTTAAAAAAATTATTTGAGGATTAAAATAATATATATAATCCGTTCGGAGAAAATAAAACAAAATAATATTAAGGTTCGTGACAACATAAGACAAACAATTAACAGTAACAAGTGAAAGTAGCTCTAATTTTCAGTAAAATAAAAATAAGCTTACTCGTCGAATGAATTCTTTTTAGACCTGTAAAGATATAGTGTACTTAGTGTCAAGCCTAATCAGAAGTTTATCATACGCACTTTAATCCTTTGAGTCCAGAGTCCGCCCAACCCCCCGAAATTCTCCGGATAGGTGGGCGATGCGAATCGAACTCATTGTTATATGTGGACGAAGTAGCCGTGTCCGAAGTTGTGGGCGGAGTTCCTGCCTGGACATTCAGAGTGATATCGAGCCTGATATCCTTAGATCCTTCAGCTGCCTGCGAAGACTCCTCCTTCAAGACATCGCGACTCTTGGAGCGCCGACCCTTTCTGGCCGTCGTCTAGGAGTAGAAATATGACAAACTTTTAGTTTACACCTATTAAAATATTATTTTTCACCTTTCTTATGGTCATTTTGAGTTCCTCGGCCCAGTCCATCATCTTTTGTTTATGTTTTTCTTCAGCGTTTCCAAGGCAACAAGTGGTCATGGTTACTCCGTGAGAATGCCTGATTTTCTCCTGGAGTTTGCCATTCACATCGCGATGCGATAGTTTTTAAATCAGTTATTGTTCGCCGATGACAGTTCGAGGAGCTTCAAGTTGCCAAAATAAACAAGAAAATATTTTGAATAATCACGGAAAATGCTGACGGACACCGAGGATGACTTCTTTTTCGAGGAGGATAAGATGTAAGTATTCATTTAAACCCTTTAATAACGAAAAACTCTTCGCCTAGCTTTTTTTGAGCCCAACAATCTGTTGCGATGTGCCAAAGTATCTGTTAAAAATCAATAATTTTCCCAACTGAAAACATACTGTTGAAATCAGGCCAGAACCGCTGCTCATCCAATTGGATGGCGATAATGGTCAGGTTGTCCGCCACCACAAGGATCTTCCCGAGGAGCCGGAGAAACTCTCCCCCGCTCCCCTTGAGACCACCGTTATGCTCTGCTCTCCGGCGGGCTTTTCCTCCGATTCCGGATCGGATCGCTTCGGCATCGAGTCCGCCAATAGGCAGAAATATGAGTTAGACCGTTTGTAAGTCAACTCCGTTGACCCAGAATCGTTTGAATATTATTTCACTGTGGCCGCTCGTTTTATAGAAAAGTTTACTTTGGAATATTTTTACTTTGGAAAAATTTCCATCTAAAAAATACATACATATTTGTGTGGACTCCCAATACGTTTTCTTTGTCTCAGTTCAACAAATTTAAAATACAAATTCTATTTTATTTATTTAAAAAAAAAATTTTGCTCGTAATTTTGTTTGACTTATTTTTGTTTCTTAACTTTTAAATTTTTTTTGCATTCTTTCCGAGCGACCACTGTAGTTGTACCGTAATTTGTAAAAAAAAAAAAAAACCAACAAGACTAGAACTAACGGTATATTCTTTAATTTATTTTATGGTACCACCGAAATAAAAGGATAAACATTATTTTTATTTGTGTGTAGACATCTAGATGCTTATACTCAACAATATCGTACTTATAGCTAGGCTAGCTAGTATTTAACAAAAAAATAATTAAAATACAGAATTCGAGGTGTCCTTTGGCATTCGGAATCCTATCAATTCAAATTGATAGTATCACAAAGCCGCCTTAGCTCAAACTGCCCCGATCAACAGTTTTCCCCCGAAAAGTAGTAGGTAAACTAGTTATAGTCCAATGGCCTTGCTAGAACTGGTAACATGGCTAATTAGAAAATTGCACCGATCGATGTGAGTACATATGGCAAATTGATAATAAATCACCCACACTTACATATATTATATAATATATACATACTTAAAATCATATAGCACGCGTAGATCACGCTCTAATCTAGATAGTAATTAGATAAAGCTAATATGATTATGCTTTTTATAACCTTAATAAATAGGGGCATGACTGTCACCACAAATGCTGTCGTCATAACCAAAGACCAGAGCAACTTGATTGGAATAAGTATTGGAGGTGGAGCGCCAATGTGTCCATGTCTATATATTGTGCAGGTGAGTTCAAGAATACAACAAATTTTAAAAAGTATTGTATTGTATTTTGTTTAAAATTGTTATTTTTTTCTATATATATTTTGAACCTGTATCAATTTCCAATTAAATTTTAACGTTCTCCAATATTATATTGAATATAAATAAGTTAAAATGTAACTTTACCGAATAGTCCAATTAGTTATATATTATGTACACTGTCTCCCAAATTTTAAGAATATCTTCCAGTATGGATATTTTGTATCCTTGGGATCCAACTAAGGAGCTGAACCTTTCCGCCGCCATAAGATCGGTGTAGCTTTAAAATTTGTCATCCGGCGCAGCTTGAGGAACTCGGTTCTTTCCCGCTTGAACCAGTCGAAGTACTTCTGTCTCATCTGCTGATCCATCCGAGTCCTTTTCCGCTCGTCATACAATCGACGGTATAGAGCTCGTTCGGAAGTAAGGAGATGAAAAGGTTTCGGACGGGTGTACGAAGATTCGATCTGCGGCACGAAGGGAAGGCGGTGCAGATAGTCCATGGATGATGCTGGGTTGATCCTGGGACTGAAGTTGTTCAGTTTCTTGCGCTGCTTTTGCTCCTTTTCGCGTCTGTGGAGCGCCTCCATGGACGTAGCCAGGGTGCCAGGACACCGGGGTTTTGTCACCTTTTGCAGAGAGTTCAGTTGTACCCTGCGCCTCTCCAAACGCTGATGGGATCGCTGGAAATCAGGCATTGGGCTGCTCCGGAATTGGTGTTGCATCCTTTCGTTTTTGGCCAAACGCTTGAGTTCCTTTCGCTTGTCAGTATAAACTTTTTGGAACTCACAAACCCTGGGTGCCTGATCCTTGGCCCTCTTGAGCTTCTTAGGCCTTCCCTTCTTTTGGCCACCGCCCGCCTGTTTTCGCTTCAGAAAGTCCCTTTGGGCATCCTGCTCCCGAAGCACGGCCCTCAACCTGTCATCCAACCGATCAAATCCCGGAATCAACTTCGCCCTCATCGGAGGCTCGTTCCTGTAATCTCTTACGGACCACTTACACCAGTTGGTGTTGGCCATAATTTGGTTTTAGGAGAGGCTGAAACAGTTGTTGAAAAATAATTTTGAAACTGGGAGTATAGGGCAATGGTTTACTTGATTGAAAATCAACAAAAAAAATGAAGAGATATTATAATATTTTTATTCGGTGATTTGGTCCACTTTTACCTATTGTAGTTTTAAAATTAATGAAAGTTTAAAAAATATATAATATATATTCAGATTCGCATATTCCCAATATTCTTAAGTAATTGAATACCCACTTTTATATTTTTAAACTGCAGATCTTCGATGGAACCCCCGCTGCAAGAGAAGGATCCCTGCAATCCGGAGACGAGCTGCTAGCAGTAAACTCGGTCAGCGTGAAGGGCAAGACAAAGGTGGAGGTGGCCAAAATGATCCAGACGGCAACCGACGAGGTGGTCATTCACTACAACAAATTACACGCTGATCCGGAACAGGGAAAAACACTGGACATAATCCTTAAGAAGCTAAAGCACCGAATTGTGGACAATTTGTCGAGCAACACGGCGGATACTTTGGGTCTTTCCCGGGCGATACTCTGCAATGATTCGCTGGTGAAGCGGCTGGAGGAGCTGGAGGGCACTGAGTTGATGTACAAGGGTCTGGTGGAGCACGCCCGCCGGATGCTCAAAGCCTACTATGATCTCCTGCAGACGTACAAGTCGTTTGGGGATTGTTTCACACAAATTTCCGTTCATGAACCACAACAACGTGCCTCTGAGGCTTTTAGAACCTTCGGAGAATTCCATCGCACCTTGGAGAAGGATGGCTTGGGCATCATCAAGCAGATAAAGCCAGTTCTGGCCGATCTGGGAACCTATCTAAACAAAGCCATTCCGGACACAAAGCTTACAGTACGTCGTTATGCGGATGCCAAGTTTACATATCTCTCGTACTGCCTGAAAGTCAAGGAAATGGATGATGAGGAGCACGGCTTTGCTGCCCTCCAGGAGCCACTATATCGCGTGGAAACAGGCAACTACGAGTATCGATTGATCCTGAGATGTCGACAGGATGCACGCAGCAAATTCGCCAAACTCCGAACGGATGTGCTCGAGAAGATGGAGCTACTGGAGTGCAAACACGCCATGGATCTGAATAAGCAGCTAAGAAGTCTGCTGGAGAGTTTGGCGGAACTTCACAGAAGTTTGGTGCAGCGTCTGGACTCCCTGCCGCCGCTCTTCCCCATCGAAGTGGACTTCAAGGAGACGGACTTCCAGTACAAGTCGAGCACTCTGAAGCCGCAGGAGCTGGACGACGATGAAATCGAGGCCAACAGGAATCCAAATGCACCTCCATCCCGAGTCGATTGTGGCTTTGAGGCTGTCGAGCAACCGGCGGCAATCATCAATGTAGATGTAAAGGCATCCGTAGAATCATCCGCTTCTCAATCCACCAGCGAAAACGAAACGCTGCTCAAGGAACTCGGTCTTTACGATGTAGACCTGCTATCCAATCCTCAGACCATCAGCAATCAGAAGGACTCCATTGCGGCACAGAACGATGGTTACGACTTTGATCTTTTCCTGAATCAGGCGACTGCGGCCACCACCAGTTTGGAGCGGGATCTAATGTCCTCCAACGCGGAGGAAATGGATTTGCTCTTGCAATAGAATTTTTTAGTACAAATACAAACAAATGTGTTAGATAAATATTAAATGTTCCAATATTTGGTAAAAGTATTATATCAAAATGCTTAAGGTCTTTGAATTCGGAGAAAGTTTTCATAAAAACATTTTCCTTTTTTATATTGTTTTAATTTTTTAAAAATCAAGTGTGTTTAATTGTTGGTATTTGAAGTTATTATTATGACTACACTTTTATATTTTGTGTAATATTCGATATATTAAACATGTGCTGTATTATATTATCTTTATAAAAAAGCTTACGTTTTTAAGCACTAAAGGATGGAAGTACTTGTAATGATTTAGTTTATAAAGTACTATATAAAATTTTTCTTGTATTTACAAAATTGCACAGAACTTTTTTCAAAGTTGTTTTGTTATTAGTTTTAAACTATTTACAAATGTTATAAAATTCATTCAATTCTTTATCATTGTACTACCGCATTCCCTTCACTTGATGTCTTATCCCTACAGAATAATTTGGCCATTATAGAACTTATTATATAGATTCCCGCCAAAACTATAAAGTAGCTGCCGTAGACCACGTACTGATCCCGTGGTCCTAGAGCAAACCCGACTCTCTCCACCACCACGATGGTCAGGATGGTCTGTAGCACCAAGCCCACCAATGTGTTGATGCCAAAGATCAGTCCAAAGCTGTCCTCCACCAGATTCTCGGCCACCACTGCACCCGCCACCGTGATGATAAAGAAGAACGTGGCGCAGAAGAGCACATAGTTCACGTAGGCCACCCAGATTTCCTGCGTCCTTGCTGCGTAGATGAGCAGGGCTCCCAGAACAGCGGCACATATGGATATGCCCAACATGTAGGATCCACGCCGTTTGTTGGAGTTTAGGAAGCCTGCCAAAATCGCTCCAATGGCTCCTAGTAGAGTGGCAACGGCCTCCACTCCGCCATTATACACGCTCAGGTGATCCGGAGCCACCTCTTTCCAGAGAAATTGGATGTAGGAGATTACCTAGGAAAAAAAGTATTATTTTATTATTGTTATGATTCGTAGGAGGATATTCTTGAAATTATGATTCTTTTTTCAAGGGGTTTTTGGGAGATTAAAATCTTATTAAGAACTTTACAGTACCTACTTAATTTTACACGTTTATTGAACTTTACACACTTATTAACTATTTAGAAACGTCTCAGATTTAAATATTAGGATAATTAAATTAAAATGAGATATTTTTAAAGTACATCAATACTTTATAGTTTATTAATATATACAAAAACATTTATAGTTGTGATCGTAAAAAAGTTATATATTTTTAGAAAAGTTTCCATGACTAATTATAAACATTTACAACACTTATTGATAATACTCTTAGAAAAACATCGCAACTCTAGAAACGTGTTAATCTCAACTCACCTGAATTTGCCCACATGTGGCCAGTGCCCACCAAAGGCTCCACTGGAGCACAACGGGATTGGAGTAGGATGAGACCAAGTGGTACCACAACAGGCGACACGCGTTGATAAAGGAGAACTTGGGTGCAGTTACTTCACCTCCTAGTTCCAGATTCTTATTCGATGCCGCATAGAAGTAAAGACTCCTTGGAACACTGGGCAATAGAAAGGACACAGCCAGGGAAATGACCTGGGTGCTCAGCGATATGTAGTGCAGCTCCTTGTAGTTCATGCTGTCGGTGGACACCAAAATCTGGGCCAAAAGTCCACCCAGGAACTTCCCGCTCAGAATGGCAGCTCTCGTGTGACCCGTGACAATCTGATACTGCTCCTTGTCCACCTTGGCGTACATGTACGTATAGTAGGCGACCTCCGCAGCGGTGAAGGTTCCGAAGAAGAACTGTGCCACCTGCAACATCCGCACGGTTCCCGACCAGATAAGCAGCGAGAACAGCGTGATCCCCGCCAGCGCCGACAGAATGATAACCGGTTTGTACCTCACGAGATCCGTGATCAGGAACACAATGACCAGCTGGGCCAGCACGAAGTAGGTGCCGAAGGGGTACACATCCTGGTAGACCTCCTCGATGGTCAGGTTGCCGTAGTCAGTGGACAAGTACTCCGTGACGTAGGGTTCCGAGGGTCGAAGTTCCCGGAAGAACCCAAACGTGCACAGCAGTAGTGAGATCTTTAGCCAGTTTTTCATGTCGTAAATTGCGATACCAAGTGCGCCAATGGAATCGAGTCCGCTCCGTCGACAGATGTTGTGCGAATCGAATGGTGAATGGTGTCGTAACCACGCAACGCGACGAACGCCAACCGGCAACTGAACGCGGCATTCGCGAGCGGAGACTCTCCGGATCACTCTCTGATAAACCGACTACAGTCCTGTCCAAAAGTACTCATACACAACAACCGAAAATCAGAAGCCGGTTTACCTTATAATTCCAATTGTGGTTTTCAGTGCAGAGAGAGAACTTAGTTAACAGAACCTTACTTTTAGAAATATCCTATTATTTTAATTTATACCTTAAACTTACCCTTTAAGTTTTTATTATATTTTTTGATACTACATGAGTAATAATATAATCAATATTTTTATATAAATAAAATAAATCACTATATCGTACAACTTAAAAAAAAAAATTATAACAAATTGTATTTTCCCGCAAATAATTCTTAAAAATTCCGCATCATCAAAAATATTTTTTATACTTACTGTTGACCCCAAAATTGTTGATTGCCAAACTATACATACTATATGTAAACATATGTGTTTTTAATTTGCCTAAGTTCACTGACAGCCGATACACTAAGCCAAAAGTCGTTAATTGACAAAAGTTTTTTAAAAACAGCTTTAAATTTTCGTTAGGTAAATGGAAAAAATATCTACAAATAAACAAATTTATTGATTGATTTAACAAAAAAATATATGGGTACATATGGGTGATTCCATATCAGATTTACAGTCGATATTGAGAAATTCGATGAGATATTTTTTCTTGCTCTTTATCGAAAATAAATCGACACGTATTTTTTATATGGCTCAGAAAATTTTTTTGACAAAGTTATGATTTTTTGAACTTTTGATGAACTGCCCTTTTTTTGATGACAGTCGCGTTTTCCAGCCCCAATAACTCGAAAACCGTACGTCGCAGGAAAAAATGTATAGGAAGTAAAAATTTCATCCTTCCTTCTTCTTTGCAAAACTTTCGTGAAAAAATTTTTTTAAACAATTTTTCACCACAAAAAGTTCAAATGTTTATAACAAATTCATTTTTCTCCAACTTGGACCATTTTGATTTTTTTTTTTTTCACAGTAAATCCTTCAAATTCTTCTGATGAACATACTAAAATTTCAGAATGGTATCAAAATTAGTTTTTGAGTTATAGAATTAAATAGCATTAAAAATTCATTTTATTGACCCTTACTATGCGCGCGAAGCGAATTGACGCTCGTTAGAGTCGTTGGTCGGCGCACGCCCTGAGACCGAGCGCGCGGACCGTGCATGATAATCTTTAAAATTCTGTAACTCAAAAACTAATTTTGATACCATTCTGAAACTTTAGTATGTTCATCAGAAGAATTTAAAGGATTTACTGTGAAAAAAAAAATCAAAATGGTCCAAGTTGGAAAAAATAATTTGTTATAAACATTTGAACTTTTTGTGGTGAAAAATTGTTTAAAAAATTTTTCACGAAAGTTTTGCAAAGAAGAAGGAAGGATGAAATTTTTACTTCCTATACATTTTTTCCTGCGACGTACGGTTTTCGAGTTATTGGGGCTGGAAAACGCGACTGTCATCAAAAAAAGGGCAGTTCATCAAAAGTTCAAAAATCATAACTTTGTCAAAAAAATTTTCTGAGCCATATAAAAAATACGTGTCGATTTATTTTCGATAAAGAGCAAGAAAAAATATCTCATCGAATTTCTCAATATCGACTGTAAATCTGATATGGAATCACCCATATATATATGTACTTTATTCGTTTTTTCTTGCTCCCAAATATTTTTGGCATCAACTGTTTGACCTTAAAAGACCGTGAAACAAATTGAATTTGAATTCTTTATATTTCATCAACTCTGAGTTTTTTGCATTTGCTCTAGTCATTGTTTTTCGGTTTTGCCATAAATCATTAAAAATAAAAACACATTTCCCTTAAAAAAATAAAAATCATATAAATGGTACTCTTGTGAGTGTAATTTTGCTGGAATTGCACTGTTTGCAAAGTAGCAGTTGCTTAACCAATATAAAATAAAATCAATTTCGAAACATTGAAGTGGTTGTTCCATATAGATTTATTGTCAATTGAGTGACACACCAATTGGAAATTTGCTTAACGCTCAGCGTTTAAATGCCTTGACTCTCAATATTCATAAACAAGAGAGTGCTATTCTCGATTTCGAAGGGGTAAAAATACAGCACTTGGGTTTACTGATAACTCTGCATTGCCATCTTATCTTTTTAGCCTAATCTGTGCACCCTAAATTAGATTTTCAGTACTGTCTAAATGCGGAACGGGACAGTATATCTCACATCTGATTTGATTTATAATGATTTTTTGGAGTTTAAGGCTGTTTAGATTTTAATTAAGATTGGTAATAACAAAAGTATCGCTATTTTACATCGATTAGTTATCTAGGAACTCAACATATTCTTCTTTTTTATAAAAATATGACTTGCTTTTTAAAAACGTTGATATATACAATCAAAAAACTAATCTGGGTCCAGATTTTTTAAGTTGGTTATAATAGTTTCGATGGTTGGATTTAACCCAAAACACAATTATCATTTCGTCATGATTTTCTTTTACTTTCGTTTAAGATAGTCTTCATAGAGTTTAAGAAGTTCCGGGCTAGTCCGCGGAGGCACCGAATTTAAAGCATGTTCGAAGTCCTTCCACATGACTTGCTCCGCTTCGAAGCTTTGCTCCAAGGCCCGCATTGCAGCCTCATGGCACACGGCTTGGATTTCTGCACCGGAGTATCCCTCCGTCATCTGCACCAACTTCTCCATGTCCACTTCCTCTGAAACAGGCATTGCACGCAGTTTAATCTTCAAGATTTCCCGACGTGCTTCACTCTTCGGCAATCCCACGTAGAGAATACGATCGATTCTGCCCGGACGAAGCAGAGCCTTATCAATCATATCTGGACGATTGGTGGCCGCTACAATGGTGACATTATGCAAAGCTTCGACTCCATCCAGTTCGGTGAGCAGTTGGGTTAGAACGCGTTCCTTGACGGAGGAACCGGAGCTGGATCCTTCGCCCTCCGCTCGCTCTCCGCCGATGGCATCGATTTCGTCAAAGAAAACTATGGCGGGTGCCACCTGTCGAGCCTTTCGGAACACTTCACGCACCGCTCGCTCCGATTCACCCACCCACATGGAGAAGAGCTCGGGTCCCTTGATGGACAAGAAGTTTAGCTTGCTTTCCGTGGCCAGAGCTTTGGCAATCATTGTTTTGGAGCAGCCAGGCGGTCCGAACATGAGGATTCCCCTTGGAGGCTTGATCCCCAGTCGTTTGAACTTTTCTGCATGAAGCAGCGGCCATTCGATGGCCTGCTGCATTGCCAGTCGAAGCTCGGATTGACCGCCAATATCGGACCACTGAACGTTGGGACACTCGATGAGCACTTCTCGCATTGCCGAGGGTTTGATGCGGGTAAGGGCAGACTGGAGATGCAGAAGCTTCAGAGGATTAGGCTGAGCTTGTAGCATGGCAGCATACACAAGAGTTGCCAGATCTGCTCCCACATAGCCATGAGTAATAGATGCTATTTGCTCCACTTCCTCATCAGTTAACTGGTGCTCCAAGGACTGAACAAGGCAGCGAATGATATCTCGCCTTGCCTGCGGACTTGGTGCACCCAATTCCAGTTCACTGTCCAACCGACCAGCTCTTCGAATGCTCGGATGCAGTGCCTCAATTTGTGAACTAGTGGCTAGCAGAAAGGTTCTGCTTCCCTTTAGCTGGCTGGGATTACTCAGCTGATCCAGCAGCGAGAGAAAGGCCAACGTGACGCGTTTGACCAGATCGCCACCCTCCTGTTTGGGACACAAGTTGTGAACATCCTCGATCAGCAGCAGAGTGGGATGAGGATAGTGATTATAGGCTTTTTCGAAAATTGCCGCTAGTTTTTGTTCCGTTTCACCCAAGAATTTGCTGTAGACCTCGCCACTGTTGATGCGGATTAGTTGGACATTTTCTTGACTGCGTTCCTCCGCCACTGCAGACATAGCTTCCAGGATCATGGACTTGCCACAGCCAGTGGCGCCGTATAAAAGCATTCCACGAGATACCCGGAGGCCTAAAAGATGCAAGAAAGTTTAGTTGAAGAATACATTGTCAGATAAAATTACCTGCAGGTAGTGGCCGAAAGCCCAAAGCATATTCCATAGTCTCCTCCACAAGCTGCAATTGCCTATCCAATCCTCCAATTTGGGATTTGGTTATCTTATAACTAATCTTCTGCTGCTTCTGTTGCTCGTTTGAGTTTTCGGGTAACAGTTGAAGCTTTGTTACGTTGGTAACCTGCACAAACTGCAGTGGTGTGGGATCCAAGCTCAGACCGGCCAGAGCATCTTCTACGGTGCCCTGCCATCGTTCCAAGCGAAAGGTCAGAGATTTGTTAAAGAAATTCATGTGGATTTGCTGGTTTCTGCAAAAGACTCCATTGACCATGTCTCTTTTAAGAAGGGCAATGGCCTCCTGTAGCTGTCCTGTGTTTAAAGGGACCTCTTGGCTGTTAAGATGCTTTAGGGAAACGCTGGCAGCCGCTGTGAGGCGATTAGGATCCAAGGCAGATATTTTTAGGAGCTTTCCACGGAACTGCGTGCAATGCAACTTGAAATCTATAAAAATTTTGAAATAAGATATTCTGATAGCAAGATAATTCCTTATTATAGTTGCTCCAAATTACCCTTTTCGCTCACGAACACTGTGGTGAGGAAATTTTCCGATATCGGCCACAAAATCCTCACAAGGGGCTGTTCCTCGGTGGAAGGAGCCTCCAGCACCACATGTTGGCCAATGTGCAATTGAGCCAACTGTATCGCGCCCTCTGAAACAAAGACCAGCATATTGGCATACTTGGCAGGCAGATCCTTTAGTGATTCCACCTCAAAGTTCTTCTGTTGGAGGCTTCTCGTAAAGATCGTCCCACTTCGCACAAACTCCGCCTCATTATCTTGGCTCAAATCATCCTGGCTGATGGCGGAACAAGAGCCCTCATGGTTGTCCCTTGCCTTGGAAGGAATGTGCACCCCACAGGACTCGCAGTGGAACCAACTGGCCTGATTTTTCTTGCTGCTTGACTTTGGCGGCATTTCGTTAGCCGGTTGCACGTTTTGTTTTTATTCTTCTCTTATTGTTCTCTTAGTGAAATCGTCCATTGTGAATGTCATTGTTCAGTTCTGTTAGACCATAGCGAAAAATAGCTTTATAAAAATATAGCTAGTCAGCTAGAAGTTATCACAGTAAATGATTTAATGCAAAAAAATATATTCTTGAAATATCTTGGAGATTTCATTTTCATTGTATTTAATTATTATAGTTAAAAACAAATACATTTTATTTGGTTTTACAATGTTTAAAATAATTAAATTTAGCTTCAAAATTTTTAGCAATCAGTACTGCCATTACTGGCAGTGTTGGTGAATTGGGCATTTTTTCGCTACCGGGAATGCGGCCACTCCTGCGATTCATTGTTGGCTTGTGACTCAGACTTCCAAAAGCAAAAAGGCGGAAGACGGAAATCAGGTGCGGATCACCGAGCGGATTACGAATACCCATGAACAGCGACGGCGAAGCCTCATCACTGCAGATGCCCCAGATGACGGTGGGGGCGGGGGCATCCTCGCGGGGGAAGCCAGCCAATCGCCCGGCCCCGCCCCCCTCACGGTGGCTGAGGCGGTGTCCAACACGGACTTCTACATCGGAGTGGGCTTGGCCATCTCCTCCTGCTTCTTCATCGGTTCCAGCTTCATCATCAAGAAAAAGGCCCTCATCCGTCTAAGCAGGTATGGCGAAGTCCGCGCTTCAGCCGGAGGATTCGGGTATCTCAGGGAATGGATTTGGTGGGCGGGTCTGCTAACAAGTAAGTGGAAATGTGACGACAAAGTGACTTGTTTGTGAAATATGTACCTTTGCAGTGTATTATTCTAATTAGAGTAAAGATTTTACAGCTGCTTAACTGTTATTAAACTAAAATCTACAAGTGACAAATAGTGTATGTATATACATATATTCCAAACAAACAAACTCTGAACCTTAGAAATTATTCCAACGAAATCCCACTTTAATGCAACAATTTAATATAAAAGATACTCTTCTAAATAACAACCAGTTTTACAGGTAAACTTACTGAAACTAAATAGTGCCTAACACTTAAAAAAGCTTTACAAATATTTTTTTTAATTGAACTCAGCCTGGGAATATATTTGTAATTAATTTGCTAACTTCCGGATGTGTTCCTCACATGTACGATACTTTTTTAAGCTTTTTTATTCGCAAACCTCAGTTAATGACAATATTTTTATCAATTATCTCCAAAATACCAAAAAAAATAATCTGAGTAGGATTGATGATTATTTTCAAATAGATATTCACGTTAAAGTCCAATTGCTATTTATTTGCGCAGTGCAAAACAAAGATTAAGTCATTTGTAAACATGTTACGTACAATCCTTTAGAAAGGGAGATTGTAATTACATGTGGAATAGATTGCATATGGTTAAACACTTGATGTTTTGTCCACATTCCCCATAAAGTAAAAGAGAACCTGCAAGGGTATTATCGACAGACAAACAAAACCCCCTTATCTTCGACTGACTCATTGACTCAATGTGTCTGTTTTTTTTCTTACAGTGGGTGTGGGTGAAGCGGCCAACTTTGCGGCTTATGCCTTCGCGCCCGCCTCGTTGGTAACCCCATTGGGTGCCCTGAGTGTGATCATCTCAGCCGTGATGGCCTCCAGATTTCTTAACGAGAAACTGAATTTGCTGGGAAAGATTGGCTGCTTTTTGTGCATATTGGGCTCCACGATAATTGTGATACACTCGCCCAAGGAGAAGGAGATTGAGGATCTGCAGCTGCTGTTTGACATGCTCCTGGATCCTGTGTTCATTTTGTATGTGATCTGCATCATTGGCTCCACGGTGTTCGTGGGCTGTTTTGTTGCCCCGCGCCATGGACACACCAATGTGGTGGTCTACATCTTCATGTGCTCCGGCATTGGTTCGCTGACGGTGATGTCCTGCAAGGCATTGGGATTGGCCATCCGGCAGACGCTGAATAACGGAGGCAATGTGTTTCTCACCTGGATGCCCTGGTTCTTGATCCTGGTCACCGTCACGTTTATCGCCATACAGATGAACTATCTGAACAAGGCGCTAGACATATTCAATACGAGTATAGTAACGCCTGTTTACTATGTGATGTTTACAACTTTGGTGATAGCTGCATCTGCCATCCTGTTCAAGGAGTTCACCCACATGCGGTTCGACGACATTCTTGGTGATGTGTGCGGCTTCCTCATCGTTATCACAGCTGTCTTCCTGCTGAACGCCTTCAGGGATATCGACATTTCGCTGAATGATGTGAGAGGGCTGATGCGACCGAAAATGCAGCGCGTGTCGCAGTTCGACGAGGAGGTGCTGGTCACCAGCAACTCCAAGGAACGCCGCCTGTCCTACGGATCGGGCGATATGTTCCGGAAGGCCTGACACAAGCAGCGCTACCAGGTCTAGTTGCATCCCCTGCAGCGGACGACCTGAAGACATGGAGTTTACTCCGCAAACGAAGCATTGGTCCAAATATCTGTGCATATCACTTGCCACACACATCTCATCCCCATCTATTGTTCCTTCGATCTTGTTATCCACACATTCGCTAGGCTAAGAGCTTTAGGTTTAGGCTGAAACTATATTAAAAACGATTTACTTAACAAACACGATTTGTAATTTTTATTGGCCTTTAATTGTATAAAATTTCAAAGAATATTTATATCAATATAAACCCGGAATTTATTGCTTCATTATGGTTCATTTGAAATACGAGTGATGTTTAACCCTTATGTTAGTAACCAACTTTACCGACGTCTTTTAGCAACCGGGTACCCGGGTACCCATAATTCTGAATATCAAAAATTTTGTTTATTTTATTAAAAAAATTTTTCCAAATTATTTTTTCTTAAAATATTAATAGTAAGTGACAATATAAGGAAAAAAATAGTGATGACGCTAAAAGAAACCAGAAATAATAAATTTCTATAATAAATATAAAACTGGAGTCGACACAATGGACCAAATGGTGCGGAGATACACCAGTCAACGACGATCCTCGAGATGGCCAATGGCAATGTTTTTCAATATGTTAGACATTTCTTCACTTGCGACATATATAATTTATTATAAAAATAATAAAATGATAAAAAAAAAAACGACAGAACGTCGTCAATTTATGCGTAAGCTAAGTGAGGAATTAGAATTGCCGATGATTGAAAATCGTACCGCGAATCCACAAATAATGCGTCACTTTTCAACAAAGATTGTCATTCAAAGTATTTTAGGCCATGCATTGACAGAAACAGTCATGGTAAATCCTGGTCCAGAGATTCCAAAAGATAAAACCGGAAGAAAAATGGTTATAGGATCTTGCTATGTCTGCAATGCTTTGCCAATAAGAAGACGGCGAAAGACACGCAAGTCTTGTGCCAATTGTCGCCAACCTGTATGAGACGAACATTCAGTAAATCGTGTCCAGTGTGTTCAATGTAATTAATTATATTGCATGCATTTATAAAAATTTTATTCACTTTATTTCCTATGCTTTCCACTGTGGGTACCCGGGTACCCGGTTGCTAATGAGGCGATGGCTGAAGTTTAAGCATAAAAAAAATAATAAAAAAAATAATATAAATTAAATGAACTCGCAACTAGCTTTCTTTTAAGTTAAAAAACGACGATTTGAGAGCTTAAAATGAAATATTGAACTTGCTTTAAGCTTTTCACACAGATATACCGCGGGGGGTACCCGGGTACCCGGTTACTAACATAAGGGTTAAGCAGTTGTATAATGTTTATGCAGTCACTTAAACAGTTTGTGCTTTCTAAATGCTGCATGGAAATCAGTTTACGAAATATTCCAATATTGAAAATATGACCTCATTAAAAATAATATTAATAAAATAAGATTTCGAAAACACATATTATATAATATATAGGCAACGATAGTAAGATTTTTTGTACATAGGCTTTTCATAAGAATGTCTCGCGCTTTTGTTATTTCATTAAGAAATTATAAAATTTTTTTTTATTCTTAAAACAAATTATCTCTTTTTTTTAGCCAACACATCGACCATATTAGGTGAGTACTAGTTAATACAAATAAATTTAAAAAAGAGTTGAACGCGTGCTCAAAAAAGTTCAAACTAAATAATGACGACTCCTGCGTATAAAAGTAAAAATGTATCTTAAAAGATCTATAGTTCTTTAAAAATATTATGTTATATTTTCAATGGTTTCATTCGAATTGAAGGCGAAGTCTGTCCTTTTGACTTGGGCGCGAAATCTTTCTTTTTCCCTTAACTTGTCTCATATTTACTGGGATTACCATGAGATCCGTAAAAGAAGTTCCTTTTCCTCGAATCACTTTCTTGTTGCTTTTATTTGGCTTGCTGCCCGATCCATAAAGCAAGATGCAACTGCTCGGACCTTCGGCTGTATGGAAGGAGTCATCCGACGAGTTGGCACTGTTGTCCGGTGGACTCTTCGACTTTCGGGTCTTGCGTGGTGTGAAGATCTGGGGATCTGCGATGACTCGCTGGCTGCCCTCTTGGTTGATGAGGGGGATACTGATTTCCGGCAGTGACTCCTCCCTCATGGAAATCGTACCGAAGTAGCGCATCATGGCTACAGCTTCCCTCTCCACCGTTTTAGTGTCCTCCCAATCTTCCATGGTGGCAAGTTCGCCCAATGGATTTGTGCCCGCTATTTTCTGGATCTTCTCCATCATTTGCAGACTTTCGCGGATTTCTCGACCTTTTCCAACTGTTGAGCCTTGTAGTTCATCCCGCGCCATTAGGTATTCATGGGTATTCTTTGGCATTGTCCTGAACTCCGATTTTCTCTTTTCCTCGTAGGCTAACTGGCCATGGATTAGATTAAAGCCCGGTTCCATGTCCACAAAATCGTGTTCGAACCGCGATTTGGGAACCCAAGCCATTACAGTTTGTTATAAAGACAAACTTTCTAAATTCGTTTTCCCCGGTGTTTTAGAATCATAAACGTTTTATGATAAAACAAACGTGCTTTTCATTTACGCTCCAAGAACTTACAAAATTTCAAAACATAACTTTATCGATAACGATAACCAGAACAAGTAGCTTCCGAGTGAATTGCAGAGTTGCCGCTTGTAAATTGACAACTAAAGAATTGCCTATAAACAGTTAATTAATTATTGTAAATTAGTCCATTTGACTAACAAGATGAGTTTTGTGCGCTTGATGGGGTTGCGTAATCTTCCCCGCAACAACCTTAATGGATTTTGGAAAGATTTATCCCGTACGACCGCAGTGAATGTCAATTCCTCAGCTGTCAACTTTCCGGCCGCCATTAGAACGCTGAAAACTTTTAACAAAGTGCAGAAAACCATTCTAACCAAAGAACCAATCTCTGCATTTAATCATTTTCAACGAAAGTATTCTTGCGAAAACGTTGGTAAAACCATGGAGGAAAACTGTGTGGTTCCGGATGTGATTTCCAAGGCTCCGGCTGCAACGGCCGTGGTGGAGTATCCCTGCGACATTGTCGTGAAGCCGGGTCAGGTTTTGACCCCCACCCAGGTGAAGGATCAGCCTTGCGTGAAGTGGGATGCGGATGCCAGCAAGCTGTACACCCTCTGCATGACCGATCCGGATGCCCCGAGTCGCAAGGAGCCAACGTTCCGCGAGTGGCACCATTGGCTTGTGGGCAACATTCCCGGCGGTGATATCGCCAAGGGCGAGGTCCTCTCCGCCTACGTGGGATCTGGTCCTCCACCAGACACCGGCCTCCATCGCTACGTGTTTCTTATCTACGAGCAGAAGTGCAAGCTCACCTTCGACGAGAAGCGGCTGCCCAACAACAGCGGCGATGGACGCGGAGGCTTCAAAATTGCGGAATTCGCCAAGAAGTACGATCTGGGTGATCCCATTGCCGGTAACCTGTACCAGGCGGAATACGACGATTATGTTCCCATCCTCTACAAGCAGCTGGGTGCCTAATTTTCACACAGTTTAAGACAAGTAATGACAAACCATTCGGCAGAGTTATTCTTATATAATGGCAGTTGGAATTGGAATCATAACTTGCAAATCTATTGTAAACTAAAGCCTGAAAAAAGACCCCATCAAACATCTGTGAAACATTGTTGCTGGCAATAAAATTGTTAAAGACATCGACTGCATAAACTCCAAGGAATTTCTTAATTTGTATAACTTATTTTCTGTAAACACGTACCACTTTTTCACTGCACTTCTTTTAAAAAGATATCATTTGATGGTCCGCAATGTCTTTACCTACCTTATCTTATCTGATCTACATTTAAATAATTCCTTGTAAATAGTTTTAGTGGCTATCTAGATCCATTATTTTTTCCACTTTACTTTTTTTATGGGATTGAGTTTTAATCGTCAAGCTCAATTTAGTTTGATTTCTAAAAATTAATTTAAAGTACGATTATTATCACGTTGAAAAGATTTTTTTTTAACTGCTAGAAATGATTTTCTTTTTAACAAATTTAATCCGTATGTTTTATAGAACCCCACTTAAAAGAACATCAAATGTTTGGCCCGGTTATTTATTTATTTATCATACCAATTACAATCTACTCTTTTATAAATACGATTCTTCTAGCGTCTTATAAAATTTTATGATCTCGAGGTAAATTCTTACCAAATGTTACACTCATTAGTTTTGGAGATACTTGATATAATTGCTTTTGACCATTTTGATCATTAGTGTTTTGTTTTCCCACAGAGCAAGATACACCCTTGTGGGATAGTGTTTTATTCGTTTATGCATTCTGATCTAATTACAGACTACTTCTTATAGTCAGGAAGGTTCTTCATAAAATGTATAATAAAGGTCTTTAGTACAATCTAGATACGTAATCATATAATCCATAAAATAATCCTGAAGAAGAATCTACGTTTCGCTCGGTGATGGGATTGGGTAGGCTTAGATGCTTAGTAGAGAAAGGACGTGTGATTTGGAGAGTATCCGATTTGTTTTACTCTTTAGCCGAAAAAACGGTGCGGTGGTCCTTCCATTCGGTCTCACTGATTGCCTGAAAATAAAAGTTCCAAATTAGTATCGGTCGCTAAGAACATGTAATTTTTAGTATTAACTCACCACTAGCTCATCGAAGGCCTGCTTGGCCAACCAGTGGAAGCAGGGACTCTTCCACTCGCGGGCAATGGCCTGCTGATCCTTGACGTCCTCCTCGGCGGTGGACTTGGAATTGGCGACGCTCTTGTACTTGGCCCACAGGAAGACCATGCTGCGCATCTTGTATACCCACAGGTCGTTGGGTATGCCGCGGATAATATCCTGGATCTCCACCATGTTCACCTCCGTAATGTTTTCCAGGAACGTGCGGTTCATCAACGTAAAGATCGTCTTAAGGGTGTCGTACGGCACGTCCGCATTCTTCTCGAGTCCGAAGTGAGCGGACTTGATAATGGCAAACACCACCTGCTCCGTGGTGAGCTTGGGCAGATTGGGCAGGAAGCAGTGCTCCAGATTAAGGTTGCCGCACTCCAGCAGCTGCTTGTTGATCTCCTCGCCCACGTTCTTGTAGTCCTTCCACCAGTTGCCCCACTCGTTGTACTTCTTCGACTCGTGCAGCGGTGCCCATTCGCTCCTCAGACGCTTCCTGTTGCGCTTGGCGACCTTGCGAGCCGTCTTGGCGTCGTCGGCCACCGACTCATCCTCCGAGTCTTCGTTGAGCACTATGGCCGCCTCCAAGAAGTCCTCCTCTGTGGCGTCCTGGTTTGTACTGTAGTTAAAGTTCTGCTCGAAGAAGGTTAGAGCATACGAGTCCGCCTCCGGTTGCGGCAGCTTCTTCGGCTGATCGTTGAGATACGGGATCTTGAATCCGCCCATGAGAAATCCGCGTTTGCGAGCCACTCGGCGCCACTTCTTCACCGACTTGGAGGCAGCCTCGGTTTCCACCGGTGGAGCGGGTGCAACACGTTTCTGGCCTAAAATATGTAAAAGATTTGTTTGAATTCATGGAGTTTTAAGGATAAATTGTTTTTGTAAAACAAATAGGAGATCTGCAGTTTAAGAACTAAAACTCACCGACTTGTGGAGGTAGTCCAGGAGCATTCGGTGGCTTTTGGGCCACTACGGCTGGTTTGCCAACCTGTGGACCACGCACTGGCTGCTGACCAGGCCTAACTGTCTGTGGTCCGGTTCTATTTGCTTGTGGTCCAGTTCTCTGCCCCTGTGGGAAAGCTTTTACTGCCGGTGGTCCACTTCTTGCAACTTGTCCAGAGACAGGTGGTTTCTTGCTGGCCACCACGGCAGTTTTCGGCTTGGGAGCCAGGTTGTTCACCTTATACTGATTGGGTGCCGCAATGGGCAGTTTCTTTTGGACTCCGCCTGTGATTCCCGGACGCACGTTGCCCGGTTTGTTTGGCTGAATGTTCCTTGTGTTTGCGACATTGTTTCTGCCTGCAGCGTTGACAATTGCGGCAGCAGCTCGGGGATTGTTGCGCAAATTCTGGACTGCCTTCGCAGCGGGCTGTGGTCCTGGCTTACGAACGGAGCCGCCATTGTTCAGGTTCATCTTCTGCAGCTGATTGCGCTTAGAGTTAAAGGCGCGCTGACTGGCCTCCCAGCCTCCACCACCAGCTCCTCCGCCGCCACCTCCTCCACCACCGGAGGACTGATATCCAGAGCTTTGGAACGAAGAAGACAGCGATGCCGAGTTGTTCCAGCTGCTGTTGTTGCGAGACTCGTTGAATGAGCGACTGATATTATTGCTGAAGCCGCCTCCTGAATTGTTGTTACTGTAATTGCCTCCCGAATTTTGGTTGAATCCTTGATCTCCTGGTCCGCGATTGATAAAGTTTCCCACATCGCGATTGTTGTCGAAGTTCCCAGATTTCTGGCCGAAATTGCTTTGGTTTCCCCCGCGTCCGTAGGAATCATTGAAACCAGAGCGCCGGTCATCGAAGTTTGATCCTCCTTGAGGGAAGTTGTCATTGTTGAAGTTTCCCTGGTTGCGTGGATTGTTTTCTGCAAAGGAACGGCCATCGTTTCCCCCAAAGGAAGAACCGTTGTTTCCTCCAAATGAAGGACCATTATTTCCTCCAAAGGAAGGTCCATTGTTTCCTCCAAAGGAAGGTCCACTGTTTCCTCCAAAGGAAGGTCCATCGTTTCCTCCATAAGAAGGACCATTGTTGCCCCCATATGCGGGTCCATTATTGCCGCCAAAAGATGGTCCATTGCCGAAGGAACCCTGATTCCTGGGCTCATTGTTAAAGAATCCCTCGCTGTTTCCCTGTGACTGCTGGCCACGATAATTTAAGTCTGAATTGCGTTGGTTTGTGTTGAAACTGTCTGCATTGCGGTTGCCAAAGTTCTGAGGTGCCTCCAGTTCCAGCAAACGAGCCAAGTTGCCAAAATTGGATTGTCCTCTGTTGGATTGATCAAAATTTGAGGACTGACCACGAAAATTGCCCTGGAAATCATCGCCGGAATTGCCGCCAAAGCGCTGATTGTTTGGATAAAAGCCGGAGTCTCCGGAACGTGAATAGTTGTTGTTGCCACTGTTGTTGTTGTAACCACCGCGATTGAAGTTACCGCCATCCGGACTGGAATTCCGATTAGCGCCGTAGCCTCCACCTCCAGGATTTCCGCCGCTGCCGTAATTGCCGCCACCACCAAAGTTTTGGGAATATGCTCCTCCTCCTCCTCCACCGGAGCTCCCCGTTCCGCGACGCTGGCCAATGCCGTAGGCGTCGTTCTTCAGTTGGCGGTAATCCATTTCGACTTTTGCTTACCCGGAGTCACCAAGCCGATGGACACTCTAAGCTACTTACTAAAAGAAGCTAGTTGACGCTTTTTTTGAAACCCAATTAATGCGGACTGAAAAATGCTCCCCGAATTTTTCGCAGTCTGTCAACCAGGGTTGCAAAGTAGTGAAAGCCGGTTAGTAGGGCAGTGAAAAAACATATTAATATATCGATAGCTTATTTGAATATCGAATAAGTTTTTCCGATAGCTGATTCAAATCTTGAGCATAATTTCAAAAATCTTCGCTGATTACAATTTTTAAAGTCAAACGTAGCTGAAATTGGGACGGTAGTCACAAATTGTACAAAGCTATTTCGATTTTTTCTAAATTTTATCAGAAATCGTGATTGCTGATTCCAAATTGTACCTATCAACTTTCTGAAAAAACATCAGAACCAAAATAAGGTATTCATAAAAAACCCATTACAAATATATCGAAGGAAATATTACAAACTAGATAACAAGAAATCTACCCTTTAAACACTAAAGTCTCCAAAATTAGACAGACAGTTTTTATTCATAACACTTCCTTTAGGCATTTAGTAGCTTTTGAGATTTTGGGCAAAAATAAGTAAGGAAACCATTTTTCAACTTCTGATTTAATTTGCATTTATTACAATAGCTTATCACACTGGTAATGATTCTTACATAAGGGGAACATAAATTCTGTGTGAAATTTGAGTCCTTAATTACTGAACACAGAGATGCGAATCTGGAGCATCTACAAAATAAACAAGAAAGGAAACTAGCTTCGGCAAGCTGAAGCTTATATACCCTTGCAGTCATCAAATATGTCGAACAAAATACATAAAGGCTAAACAACATCGAAGCTTTGACGATTTTTCTAATAATTTTCGATATAGTTGTCCGATTTTGATGAAATTTAATATGATATTCAAGAGTCGTTAGAAAACTTTATATTGCAAAAATGATGATTGTCTGATGAAAAACAACGATGTTATTTCTATTTAGATTTTTCGATATTTTCTATGGCAGCTATATGATAACGTTGTCGTATTTAATGAAATTTTTTCTCGATTCAAGGGTTATTAAAAAACTCCATATTTTGAAAATCATGCTGGTGGAATTAAAAACAACGACGTTATAATTTTTTTCTCATTATTTATTTAATTATTTTTCGATCATCCTCCGAGTCTTCGTTGAGCACTATGGCCGTATCCAAGAAGTCCTCCTCTGTGGCGTCCTGGTTTGTACTGTAGTTAAAGTTCTGCTCGAAGAAGGTTAGAGCATACGAGTCCGCCTCCGGTTGCGGCAGCTTCTTCGGCTGATCGTTGAGATACGGGATCTTGAATCCGCCCATGAGGAATCCGCGTTTGCGAGCCACTCGCCGCCACTTCTTCACCGACTTGGAGGCAGCCTCGGTTTCCACAGGTGGAGCGGGTGCAACACGTTTCTGACCTAAAACATTTAAAATATTTGTTTAAATTCACGGATTTTAAGGATAAATTGTTTTTGTAAAGGAAAGGGGAGGTCTTCAATTGAAGAACTAAAACTCACCGACTTGTGGAGGTAGTCCAGGAGCATTTGGTGGCTTTTGGGCCACTACGGCTGGTTTGCCAACCTGTGGGCCACTTTGCACTGGCTGCTGGCTGCTGCAGTGACCGGTAGTTTCTTGTTGGCCACCACGGCAGTTTTCGGCTTGGGAGCCAGGTTGTTCACCTTATACTGATTGGGCGCTGCAATGGGCAGATGCCCCCTTGGCCCGTTGTAAGTTCACCTGGGCTAGCTTCGTGCTGCTGTATGCAGCCATCATTGGAGCGGATGCTCCAAAGTTGGTGAAGGGGGCGGGTATTCCCCTTCACTGCCTTCCGTCAGAGGGACGTCGGCCTCCATCTCACCGTTATCGTCCAGGAGAGGCTCCTGTGCCACCTCCTGGGAGGGCGTAGGATGCTCCTCATCCTCACTGCTCACGTCCATATCGGCGCTAGGGTCCTCCTTCTGCTGCGGCCATCTTTGCCGCCTTCCTGAGACCACTCACCGAGACGGTTCCGAATCTGTAACTGAGCTGGTGCCCCTTAGATACGATCTCGTCTCGGGTGAGCTGGTCAATCCTGATGACTAGGAGTGCCCCGCCTCCATCGTTCTTCCGGGAGACCACTTTCCAGGCATCCGTCTCCAGCCTGTTCTGGCGCCCAAGCATCATGAGGAGTTCCTCGTTACTTCTTTCCGCGCTTCTGGGGCAGAAGACCGTGACATTGAATGTCGCGGGGCTGTCCTCTCCTACCCTAGTTCCTAGGGGTACGCCCTTCCACGTTCTTAACTGGGGCACAACGGCCCTCAGCCAGTTCGCTGAGTCCTGGTCCAGGCAGTCGATAAGGAGGTATCCGACCCTGAAGTGGATACCTCTGAATGCGACTGCTGTATCCCATTCCGACGTGACCACGTCGTCCATGATGGCCTCCTCCAACTCCGACAGCTCTTCACGGCTCAAGTGCATCTGTGGGTAATCCTCAGGTAACACCGCCACTCTGACTCCCTTGGCGGTCTCCGCATTGGAGGTGTGTGTGCCAGTGAGAGGGGCTGTGGAGATGGAGGATGGCTGCTTCACACTCCTTTCACCCGCCTTCGGCACGCTGAGTATGCCAGCAGGTGCCTTAGGGGGGGATCTCCTTGTCGCCGCCGCCTTCGAAGTGCAAGGCTCCTCAGGCCTTGGACGGGAGGGAGGTGCCTTTGCCTCTTTATTGCCCTCTGATTTCAACTTTTTTGGGGTGTCCGTCGGAGGGGTGAGGTTGCAGTTTCCCCGCTTACTGGCAGGTGCACTACTTTCGGCCACTGGTCGTGGCTCCTTTGCCTTTCTCAGTGCCTCGTCAGGGGTCATGCCCTGCTGGAGGTATCTGAGGTACCACTTGACCTTGGACCCCGACAGTCCTCTCCTGTTGGGGTCGTCTAGGCCTCCCGGTTGTCCTCTGGCTGGGAGGACATCTTGCTTTGCGGTAGGCCTGGTCTTCTGTCCAGCCACGGGAGGTGGGCAGACCAGCCGGGATGGTCCTGCTGGACGCGTACGTTCCCGGACTGGGACAGTTGACCATTGTGGGGTCTGTCCCACATTCAGCGTCCGTGACGCACTCCTGGCGGTGGCTGCGCTCCTGGGTGGGGCTGGTCCCACCTGGGGTCGCTCTCCGTTGAGGAATTGGTTTTCGAAATGTCTTGCGACACTCGAGGCAGGGATGTCCTGCGGTTTGTTGCCCCAAAATACAGGTCCATTATTGCCGCCAAATGATGGTCCATTGCCAAAGGAACCCTGATTCCTGGGCTCATTGTTAAACAATCTATAGTTGTTTCTCTGTGGCTGCTGGCCACGATAATTCAAGTCTGAGTTGCGTTGGTTTGTGTTGAAATTGTCTGCATTGCGGTTGCCAAAGTTCTGAGGTGCCTCCAGTTCCAGCAAACGGGCCAAGTTGCCCAAGTTGGATTGATCAAAATTTGAGGACTGACCGCGAAAGTTTCCTTGGAAATCATCGCCAGAATTGCCGCCAAAGCGCTGATTGTTTGGATTAAACCCAGAGTCTCCAGAACGTGAATAGTTGTTGTTGTAGCCACCGCGATTGAAGTGACCGCCATCCGGACTGGAATTCCGATTAGCGCCGTAGCCTCCACCTCCAAGATTTCCGCCGCTGCCGTAATTGCCGCCACCACCAAAGTTTTGGGAATATGCTCCTCCTCCTCCACCAGAGTTTCCCATTCCGCGACGCTGGCCAATGCCGTATGCGTCGTTCTTTAGTTGGCGGTAGTCCATTTCGACTTTTGCTTACCCGGAGTCACCAAGCCGATGGAAACTCTAAGCTACTTACTAAAAGAAGCTAGTTGACGCTCTTTTTCAAACCCAATTTATGCGGACTGAAAAATGCTCCCCGAATTTTTCGCAGTCTGTCAACCAGGGTTGCAACTTAGTGAAAGCCGGTTAGTAGGGCAGTGAAAAAACATATTAATATATCGATAGCTTATTTGAATATATAACTAAGTTTTTTCCGATAGCTGTTCTAAATTTTTTTTTTGCTTGTTTAACACACAAATTAAAAAAAAAAATTTTTAAACACACAAAAATTAATAACAAAAATTTTAAAAACGCACCTATTTTATATTTCTGGGCAGACATTGCATTTTGACGATACCAACCCAAAAAGGATTCAGTCTGAGTTCAATTTTTATACAGAACATGAAACAATGAATACTTAAGTTTTAATACAGCTTACCTAAATAACAACCGTTACTAGTGGTTAACTATGTCTTCATTAGCCACGAATTTTGAGCATAATTTCCAAAATCTTCGCCGATTACAATTTTTTAAAGTCAAACGTAGCATAAATTTAGACAGTAGTCACAAATTCTTCAAACGCTTTTCGAATTTTTTCTAAATTTTATCAGAAATTGTGATTGTTGATTCCAAATTGTACCTATCAACTTTTTGAAAAAATATCAAAACCAAATTAAGGTATTCTTTAAAAACACTATTACACATATATCGAAGGAAATATTATAAACTAGATAACAAGAACTCTACGCTTTTAACACTGAAGTCTCCAAAAGTAGGTTTTTATTCATAGGCCTTTTTTTATTTTTAGGCACTTAGTAGCTTTTGAGTTTTTGGGCCAAAAATAAGTAAAGAAACAACTTTTCAACTTCATATTTAATTGGCATTTATTAACATAGTTTATCACACTGGTAATGATTCATTACATAAGGGGAACATAAATTCTGTGTAAAATTTACGTCCCTAATTACTGAACACAGGGATGTGAATCTGGAGCATCTACAAAATAAAAATTGCACTTTAGAGAAATGGCATTTTAACTCGGTATTTCAGTTCCTCACCTTGCTAGTTTAATCAAATAAGGCCTGGGCACGATCTTGCTGCAAACGATAATTCACAAATTTGTCAAATACATAGCCATGTCTGTAAGATTCCACTAGGATGCGATCCTCGCCAATGTCTAGACTAACTTCCTGCAAAGAAACCTGCGGGGTAAAATAAATTTTAGCTTCTATCATTTAAGAATCAAGTAACTTAAACATACACAATTCGGTAGGTAAATCTCGGCGTGAATTTCATCAACAGTATCGTCACGAACTCTAGCGCGAAGTTTATACTGCAACTTCGGATTGCTTGCCAATTGACGACTATTCTTGATGGCGGCTGCATCCTTTTCGTTGATCTCCTGCACTAACTTTCCGGAATTGTCTGCTGGCACAGACTCAGTCTGACCGGTAATAGGAGAAGGACCTCCAGACACGGGTTGGGCTCTTTTGACGTCATCATTGCGCACCCGATGAAAGACTAAGGTGCCAATAAACTTGCTGATTGTTCAGTGCACATTGTATTTTTCGCTCATAGCCTCGGCCAGAAAGAAGTTTTTGAACGTAGTTTTCCCTTTTAGAAGCTTAACACATGATTTATTTGGCTTTTATTCCGTATACAATCTAGTGCGCATAAAGTTAAAAATTGTTCGGGTATCGTGTTACGATTTAATTTATGATTTTAAGCCAGGATAAATTTTATTGTGGTCCGGCCAGTCGATCTCGCTGATTGCCTGTAAAGAAAAAGTAATTGTGATTGTTAGTCAGGAAGATGAAAAGATAAAAAACACCTGACAACAGGAATTGATTTGAAATTCGAATGAATGTTGTTACTTGATTCGATTGAAGGACTTGTCAATCCTTTATCAAAATATTCGATTTTTAAACCATTTTTTTTTTACAATTTTAGTTGGTGCTTGTTATCAGATGCTTATTGGTCTTTAACCTCACCTTGAGCTCATCAAAAGCCTGTTTGGCCAGCCAGTGAAAGACGGGATTCTTCCATTCCCGCGCAATAGATTGAATTTGCTTTACCGTATGCGCATTTTTCGGCCCCGGACTCTTCAGAGTGCCATGGTATCTGTCCCAAAGATAAATCATGCTGCGCATCTTGTACAGCCACAGATGATTTGGAATGCCAAGGACCATGTCTTGCAATTGTTCAATATGCTCTTCGGACAAATTTTCAAGGAATGTTTCGTTCATCAATAGGAAAATCGAACGCATGTTGCGGTAGTGACTAAACGTATTCTTTTCGATGCCCATGTGCGCATGTTTAAATACCTGATTGATCACATCTTCGGTGGAAGCTTTTTTTGAATAGGCGGGAATGAAGCGGTGGAGCAAACTGCGATTGCCAAACTTCTCCAGCTTCTTGTTGATTTCGCTGCCGCACCACTTGTAGTCCCTCCACCAGTTGTGCCAATCCTTGTAGTTATTGTCCTTATAAATTTTAACCCACTCCTTGCGCATCTGGACGCGCACCTTCCTCTTGCTTCCAAGTGAATTTTTATTCGACTGAACATCAGATCGGTTCGAGTCCAGAGATTCGGTATCAGATTCTTCGTCCTCCACCTCATCCACATCGCCATCGTTGTTGGCATAAACGTTTGTATTGTAGATGGGTCTCTGCTTAAAGAAAGTCACTGCAAAGGATTCCTCCTCTGGTTGCGGCAGTTCCCTGTGATGATTGTTGATGTAGGGCAGGCGAATTCCGGCTATAATAAAGCTCTGGCCTGACACCACCCTTTGGCGATTGGGGTTTGCTTTCTTAGCCTTACCCCTACCAGCACGTGATTTGACTTTGTTTATCTGTTGACCAGGTTCCTGTGCACCAGGAGTGGTCTTCTTAGCTTGGATTGCCGGCTGATTGGATTTGTTTTGTGGAGCGGGTGCAACCAGCTTCTGGCCTAAAACATTTAAAAGATTTGTTTGAATACATGAACTTTTAAGGATAAATTGTTTTTGTAAAACAAATAGGAGATCTGCAATTGAAGAACTAAAACTCACCGACTTGTGGAGGTAGTCCTGGAGCAATCGGTGGCTTTTGGGCCACTACGGCTGGTTTGCCATCGTGTTGACCACTTCGCTCTGGCTGCTGGCCAGGTCTACCTGTCTGTGGCCCAGTTGTAATTGTTTGCGGTCCAGTCCTCTGTCCCTGTGTTTTTACTGCCGGTGGTCCATTTCTTACAACTTGTCCAGCGACCGGTGGTTTCTTGTTGGCCACCACGGCAGTTTTCGGCTTGGGAGCCAGGTTGTTCACCTTATACTGATTGGGTGCCGCAATGGGCAGTTTCTTTTGGACTCCGCCTGTGATTTCCGGACGCACGTTGCCCGGTTTGTTTGGCTGAATGTTCCTTGTGTTTGCGACATTGTTTCTGCCCGCAGCGTTGACAATTGCGGCAGCAGCTCGGGGATTTTTGCGCAAATTCTGGACTGCCTTCGCAGAGGGCTGTGGTCCTGGCTTACGAACGGAGCCGCCATTGTTCAGGTTCATCTTCTGCAGCTGATTGCGCTTAGAGTTGAAGGCGCGCTGACTGGCCTCCCAGCCTCCACCACCAGCTCCTACGCCGCCACCTCCTCCACCACCCGAGGACTGATATCCAGAGCTTTGGAACGAAGAAGACTGCGATGCCGAGTTGTTCCAGCTGCTGTTGTTGCGAGACTCGTTGAATGAGCGACTGATATTGTTGCTGAAGCCGCCTCCTGAATTGTTGTTCGTGTAATTGCCTCCCGAATTTTGGTTGAATCCTTGATCTCCTGGTCCGCGATTGTTAAAGTTTCCCACATCGCGGTTGTTGTCGAAGTTCCCAGAGTTCTGGCCGAAATTGCTTTGGTTTCCCCCGCGTCCGTAGGAATCATTGAAACCAGAGCGCCGGTCATCGAAGTTTGATCCTCCTTGGGGAAAGTTGTCATTGTTGAAGTTTCCCTGGTTGCGTGGATTTTTTTCTGCAAAGGAACGGCCATCGTTTCCTCCAAAGGAAGGACCATTGTTTCCTCCATATGCAGGGCCATTATTGCCCCCAAAAGATGGTCCATTGTCGAAGGAAGCCTGAATTTTGGGTTCATCAAAATTTGAGGACTGACCACGAAAGTTGCCTTGGAAATCATCGCCAGAATTGCCGCCAAAGCGCTGATTTTTTGGATTAAAGCCGGAGTCTCCGGAACGTGAATAGTTGTTGTTGTAGCCACCGCGATTGAAGTTACCGCCATCCGGACTGGAATTCCGATTAGCGCCGTAGCCTCCACCTCCAGGATTCCCTCTGCTGCCGTAATTGCCGCCACCACCAAAGTTTTGGGAATATGCTCCTCCTTTTCCACTCGGAGTTCCCCATTCCGCGACGCTGGCCAATTCCGTAGGCGTCATTCTTCAGTTGGCGGTAGTCCATTTTGACTTTTGCTTACCCGGAGTCACCAAGTCGATGGACCCTCTAAGCTACTTATTAAAAGAACTTTTTTTCAAACCAAATTAATGCGGACTAAAAAATGCCCTCAGAATTTTTCGCAGTCTGTCAACCAGGGTTGCAAAGTAGGGAAAGCCGGTTAGTAGGGCATTGAAAAAATATATCATTATATCGATAGCTTATATGAATATCGAAATAAGTTGTTTCCGATGGCTGTTCTACATTTTTGTTTGCTTGTTTAAACACACAAATAATAATCAAAAAATTTTAAGAACCTACCAATTTTATATTTCAGGGGAAACATTGTATTATAACAATACGAACACAAAAAAGTTTAAGTCTGAGATCTGATTTTATACAGAACAGGAAACATTTAATACTTAAATTTATTACAGCATACCTCAGTAACAACCGTTACTTATTGGTCAACTATGCCTTCGTTAGTCACGAATCGTGAGCATAATACCCACGATCTTTGACGATTACACTTTTTAAAGTCAAACGTAGCAGAAATTTCGACGACAGTCACAAATTGTAAAATTTTCATTTTTATTATTCATATTACAATATTTCGGAAATAATAATTGTTAATTCTAAATTGTACATACTAACTTTTAAAAAGAAAAAACTTTTCAACTTCTGATTTAATTTGCGTTTATTAACATAGTTTATCACACTGGTAATGATTCATTACATAAGGGGAACATACATTTTGCGTAATATTTACGTTCTTAGTTACTGAACACAGGGATGCGAATCTGGAGCATCTACAAAATAAAAATGGCAGTTTAGAAAAATGACACTTTAACTCGGTATTTCCAGTTTCTCACCTTGCTAGTTTTATCAAATAAGGCCTGGGCACGATCCTGCTGCAAACGATAATTCACAAATTTGTCAAATACATAGCCATGTCTGTAAGATTCCACTAGGATGCGATCCTCGCCAATGTCTAGACTAACTTCCTGCGAAGAAACCTGCGGGGTAAGATAGTATTTCACTTCTATCATTTTCGAAACAAGTAGCTTAAACATACGCAATTTGGTAGGTAAATCTCGGCGTGGATTTCATCAACGGTATCGTCACGAACTCTAGCGCGAAGTTTATACTGCAACTCCGGACTTCCGCTTGCCAATTGACGACTATTCTTGATGGCGGCTGCATCCTTTTCGTTTATCTCCTGCACTAACTTTCCGGAATTATCTGTTGGAACAGGCTCAGTCTGACCGGTAATAGCAGCAGGACCTCCAGACACGGGTTGAGCTCTTTTGACGTCATCATTGCGCACCCGATGAGAGACTAAGGTGCCGATGAACTTGCGATTGTTTAATATTATGGTCTTGTCCATGTTGATCTGCACATTGTATTTTTCGCTCATAGCCTCGGCCACAATTTGCAGAAAGAAGTTTTTGAACAGCTGCGATTTCTGGATCTTCACCAGGAACTTTGGATTGATGGCGATGTCGCACACATCGACGGTTTTGTCGGAGCGATCCTTCGTTTGTCTTGGCTCTGAAATGCTCATGGGCACTCGAAAAGAACCAGGAGTTGTGGATTCCAAGATGGCAATCAGCTCCTCCTCGGTGGCATCTTCGGGAGCCGGAACTTCCGGAGCCTGGCAAATGTTGATAAAGAACTTCTCATCGCTGTTCAGTTTAAAGCTCTTTACGCAGATACCTGTAGAAAAGGCAGAAATAGGAGTATTATTAATCTGATTTCAGCAATATTAAATGTAACTAATCAATGGTGATGAAGCGTAGTGGTCCGTTTCAGAAGCTAAACACATGATTTATTTGGCTTTAATTCCGTATACAATCTAGTGTACATAAAGTTAAAAGTTGTTCGGGTATTGTGTTCCGCTTTAAATTATGATTTTAGGCCAGGATAAATTTTTTTGTGATCCGGCCAGTTGATCTCGCTGATTGCCTGAAAAGTAGAATTAATTGCCATTGTTAGTCGGGAAGATGAAAAGATAAGAAGCACCTGACAACAGGAATTTATTTTAAACTCGAATGAATGTTAGTACTCGATTCGAAGAAAGGACTTTTCAGACCTCTATCAAAATATTCGTATTTTTTTACTGCTTGTTATCAGGTGCTTTTTGGTCCTTAATCCCACCTTGAGCTCATCAAAAGCCTGTTTGGCCAGCCAGTGAAAGACGGGATTCTTCCATTCCCGCGCAATGGATTCAATTTCCTTCGCCTTCTGCGCATTTTTCGGCGCCGGACTCTTCAGAATGCCATGGTATCTGTCCCAAAGATAGATCATGCTGCGGATCTTGTACAGCCACAGGTGGTTTGGAATGCAACGGATCAAGTCCTGCAATCGTTCGATTTGCTCTTCGGACAAGTTGTCAAGGAATGTTTCGTTCATCAAGAGGTAAATCGAACGCATGTTGCGGTAGTGACTAAACGTATTCTTTGCGAGGCCCATGTGCCCCTGTTTGAATACCTCACTGACCACATCTTCTGTGGAGGGTTTGGATTTTAGAACGAAGCAGTGGCGCAAATTGCGGTCGCCGAACTTTTCAAGCTTCTTGTTGATCTCGCTGCCGCACCACTTGTAGTCCCTCCACCAGTTGTGCCAATCCTTGTAGTTATTGTTCTTGTAGATTTTAACCCACTCCCTGCGCATCTGGATGCGCAACATACTCTTCTGTACAATTGAATTTGAATTCGAGTCAAGAGATTCGGTATCAGATGCGTCGTCTTCGTCCTCCACCTCATCCACATCGCCATCGTTGTTGGCAAAAATGTTTGTATTGTAGATGGGTGTCTGCTCGAAGAAAGTCACCGCTAAGGACTCCTCCTCCGGTTGCGGCAGTTCCCTGTGATGATTGTTGATATAGGGCAGGCGAATTCCGGCTATAATAAAGCTCCGACCTGATACCACCTTTTGGCGTTTCGGGTTTGCTTTCTTAGCCTTATTCGGAGCAGTTATTCCTGCAGTCTCCGCTTCTCTTTTCTGGCCTGCAAAATGTAACTTGGATTTTTATGTTTTCTTTGTGTTTTTGGTTGGTTCAAAGGTTTTTAACTGGGATGTAAACATAGTTTGGCATGTTTTATTTCAAATCCCGATTCAGGGAAGCAATGGAAATAATGCTCTCAAGAAAGAAAAATCTTAAAAGATTCAAACATGAGATTCAATAGACCCGTTGAGGATCACATTCGAAAAGCTAATATGTACTTTACGTTTGAACGTAGTGTTAAAATATAATATCAAAATATAGTAACATTTGATTGGTTCCTTAAGTTTGGGTTTAAGTAATAAATGTATCCCTTACCAGCACGTGGTTTGACTTTGTTTAACTGTTGACCAGGTTTCTGTGCACCAGGAGTGGTGTTCTTAGCTTGGATGGCCGACTGATTGGATTTGCTTTGTATCGATCCACGATTGTTGGGTGTAACACCTGTCTTCTTGTTTTTTTCGCTTGGAATGATTGGTTTGCCATCACGAACTTGGTTTGGTTTCGGTTTGGATTCATTGGGACGATCTTGAATTGTATTTTGTCGATCTGGGTTCTTGGATGTGATGCGCTTCTGAGTTGTAAGGGAATTGGATCTATGCTGATTTGCCCCGCCAGGATTGATGTTAGACCTTGGGTTTCGATCTAGACTCGAGTTGCGCTGCTGTGATCTACCTGGACTATAGTTCCTGGTCACATTTCGATCTAGACTTGCATTAGTTCTTCTTTGATTTGGACCACCAGGCTTGGCATTCCTAGGTGGCAAATTCGGTCGGTTGGATTGCGAATTATCACGGTAACCATCTCCGGAACCCGATCCGCGACCAGTGTGTTGATACTGATTCGGAGGAAAGTGGGATTTGTTTGAGCCTCGGAATGTGTCCGATTCCCTTGGGGGAAGGCGTCGGGTGTCGGTGCCACGCGAATAGTTGTTTCGCTGATTGAAATCGTCGTTTACGTCTTCATTATCGAGTTCGTGATCAAACTGGCGTCCAGTGTCGTCAAAGTTGCGATCGTTGCGACCGCGTCCATAAGAATTACGATCATTGTTGATATGATCTCTGGGGATAGGTTGGTTGCCCCTAGGGTTTCGATCAAAATTGTCTGAATTATTGCGATTAAAACCGCGTCCTCTAAAATTATCCTGGTCAGGTCCTCGGAAATGGTCATCGCTTATAACAGCACGGTTTCTATCATCATCATCATCTTGGAAGTTGTCATCAAAGTTGCGTTCATTTAGTTCATCGACTTCGATCAAATCAGTGCGACAAAGAGTTATTTGATTGTTGTTGACAATCCGTTGATAATTGCGACCGATTTGTGGTTCAGGGTTTCTGACAAACTCCTCATCCTCCTCAGGAACGTCCTCGTCAATATAGTCCTGCTGTTCTTCTAGATAGTTCTCAGGCGAGTGGAATCGCTTTCTAGACATTTGAACGCTGTCATCGATGTTGCCCCGTTGGTTATTTACCGCATTTCGATTAAAGTTGGTTTGTTGATTGGGCACAAAGTCCTGATTACCAGGTCCTCGGTTGTTGTCTATGCGGTGAGTATTTGAATTTGAGGGATTATATCTCATGTTTGGTGGCTGACCACGATTGTTGTTATTCGTATTTTGGTTATTGAGATTTTGTTCCTGGTTGCGATTAAAATGTTGTGGATTTCCATAACGATTGTTACGATTGGGCCCTTGTGAACTATTTTGATTGAATTCATCCGAATTCCGATTACTGCGGTTGAGTGCTTGCTGATTCACATTACGCTTATTTGGATTGAATTTATCATTGTTAGCATAGCGATTATTTTGATTAAACCCTTCATCGTTGACATTGCGATTAGAACTCAGCATTGTGAACATTACGATTGTTGCGATTAAATTCGGGGGGTTCGTATTTCTATTAGGACGATTAAATTCTTGTGCATTGGAATTTCTATTAGGGCGATTAAACTCCTGCTGATGTGGATTTCCGTTGGAGCGATTGAACTCCTGACGATTCGAATTCCGATTAAACTCATCGATATTTCGATGGTTTCGATCAAATTCTGGAGGATTTACATTACGTTTGTTTCGGTTGAATTCTTCATTGTTTTGATTACGATTATTTCGATTAAACTCCTGCGGAGTGCGATTGTTGCGATTAAAATCCTGCTGGTTTCCATTACGGTTGTTGCGATTGAATTCACCATTCCTGTTATTGTGACTAAATTCTTGAGAATTTGCATTTCGATTGAACTCCCCAGGATTCGAGTTAGGATGATTTCGATTCATATTATGGTTTCTATAGACCGGAGCATTTATGGGCCCAGAACTCCTATTGATTTGTTCCTGTATTGGTTTTCTCTGACCTTGAAAGTTGTCCTCATTTTGACGATTCCTCGGACGCGATCGATCATTCTTCATCGGCGAATTATCACGACTGATGCTGTGCCAATCGATGTTCCGTGGCGGCGATGGAGTGCGTGGACGTGAATCGGCATCGTCCTGGTTCTCCAGCACTTCTTCGATGGCTCGAAGTACCTCCTTGTCCACGACGTCCTGACGACTGTCGCCCAGTTCGACGCTTAGACGATATCGCTGCCGTTGGAAGTTGCGCAGATTGAAGTTGGGCAACTTCATGGTACGATTCGCCAGGGCGTTGGCCAACATCCGACTGGCGCCCAGATCCCGGAGGAACTGGCGGCGATTGTCCAGCTCGCTGTTTCCTAATTTCATTGTACCACATAAAATTAGAGATTTAAAAAAGCAGACACATTTCTGGTTAGAGCTACATATTTCACGTCTTGCAGACCAATTCCAGTCTAATATCTTATAACAATATTGGTAATTTATGTAGTGATCGCTAGAAAACATTTAATTTATCGATTACCGATTTGACTTTAATTTAATTAATATTCTTTTGGTAGTACACAAAAATAATCCAAAATTTAATGACCGAATTAAAAATCCGATTTTTGTTTTTAAAATCCATTAATGCCTTTAAAAATGTAATTAAACTGCTGACTAAGGTTGATGTTTGTAGATTTTTGTCAGTAAAGCAATCACTGCCTCTATTTATTACTGCAATAAAAAAATTAATCAAATTGATTAGATTAGCATTGCCTACAAATTTATTTTTAGAATTCCGAATATTCGGAGCGATTCCTTTTTGTTTCTAGAGAGTTCTAAACGCTTTTGTTATCCAATTTCCGAGCGATCACAGCATTGAAATATGTATAAAATATAAATATGATAGCAAAAAAGAAAATTTTGATCAGCAACTATAGAACCTTGATCCACACGTACAAGCTACCCGAATAGTTATGGTCATGCTTATGCCAATAACTCGGAGAATCCGCAGGCAAACACCCATTAAAATCCCCCCAATCGGGGTCTGATATTGATATCGTTATCATTGGGGGCTTCTGTTGCTCTTGGCACAACAAAGTGTTTAAGAGTGCGCCACTCTTGGGCTTTTTGTATCTCAGCTTGCTATACACGCGGTCGAAATAATTTCACCAGAGACGGAAAGCCCCCGTAAAGTTTGTATGCCACTTGGAGCTTTGAATGAGAGCGGCGTTATCTCTCCGTATCTGCTGGAAGGTTTTTGTTTTTTCTGGCCAAACGTGACCAACTATGGCCCTATTGTGAGAGAGTCGGGCCTTGGTTGTCTGAGTTTTAATTGATCGGTCCGAAAAAAAGAGCGAAGTCAAACCGTTTTCTATTGTATACATCGCTCTTGTTTTTTCTTTTTTTTTTACGATTTTGCCCCTCTCTGCGGCGGCTATTATCTCATTTTTGTTTTGAGAACCCAATGGCAAAACAAATAAGTTTGTTCGCCGCACTTGGCTCGAATTCAGTTGCCTTTTTAGCTCGTTGCGAGCCGGTTGTCCGTCGTTATTTTTTGCTCTGTCGCTACCCTCCATCCTCAAAAACGATCCGATTCGTTTCTATTCGACCCGATCCGTTCGAATCGCAGCGATTTTTTTCCTACGTAGAGGTAATTATAAGTGACATTTTCAGTCGCATCGATACCCCGTCCGTTGTACAGTAGTTGGACTCCGCCAAAGCGGAACAAGTGTGCCAGTGTGCGTTTGTATCTGTGTGATATGTATCTGTATTTTGTGGAGGGTGCCGAACGTTTTTTTGCCCGAAATTGTGAAATTTTCGTACGGCTCCAGAGAATCCCGCGCAAACATTCCTCAAAAAAATGGGTGATTCACTATTACAATTGTTTGATAATAACCTATAGTGTTTTGTCATGCTTGTTGCGCGATTATTTAATTGATAAAAATGTATAATTGGAGTGCACAAGGCTGTTTTTTCTAACGTTCATTCAAATGAAATTACATGGCGATAGAATATAATTGTCTCGTGGCTTCTAAAGGTACCCAATGTGCTGACGTCAGAGGCCTTGAAAGAAGGTGATTCTGTAGTTTCGACAGCTTCTGCTCGATGATAAGCGTGAATAATAAGAACCCTGAGGCTTTGCGAGCATTGAAGCAGCAACTAGAGCAAACCAGTGTGCGATAAGCGATAATATAAGGATTACGGACTGCAATTCACAACTAGAGTAACGACAAACACAATGGAAGAATCTAGTATATGGTGCCGATAACGTTCAGCTGGAGAGCTAGTAAAAGCCATTTTCGCTACAGGGAAGTTCCTTTTTAGGAACATTATCGCGCTGTGTTAATAAAGACAACCCCTGTCAAGTGTCGTTAATATTCCGTAAATAAATCAAGATTGTTTGAACGGTGCAAAGAAAAACGTGTAAACAATTTATACCGGCTGGTAGAATCCAAAGCAAACAAATAAGGCGTCAACTGAAGAGAAAAGTTCATAATTGTGTTAGTCAGAGAAAATCCGGCGTGCTTTTTTCCCTTGACTTTGTTGGAGAGTCAAGAGATCTTCCATTCCATTTCGCCAAGCATCTCATCATGAGTCGGCATTTTTTGTTTTTTTTTTTGCTGGTGAAGAGAAATTTCTCATAAGACAAAACAACTCTAGTTGTGTGCAATTGAAGATTACGTTTGCTGGGGGTTTTCGTCTTCCGATTGTTGTGTTTATATAATCGCTGCGGGAACAGGTTCCGCCATTAATTATATTTCGAACTTAAAATACCCGTTTCTGCTGTGCTAGAATTTTATCTTAAGCCGCATGCTTAAAACATATGCGTGAACGGGCAAACAAGTTTTTAGCGCCCATAAAATGTGACTAGTCCAACGCCTTTAACAAAGTTTGCGGCTCCGGTAAAGATTAGCTCTGAGTTTGTCTTTCTTTTCGGTGTCTAATTTAGTTCTTCGAGGCGGGAAAACTCGTTTTGTTGCATATTTGTCATTGGCAATGATTCGTCGGACAATAAACTATGATTTCAAGTGGGCGCAGTGAGACCTTCCACAAAGTGGCCCTGGGCGTGTAAACACTTATCTGCGAATAGCACACGATTACGAGCGGATAGGATAGATTACAAAGTAAAATACCTAACCCTCCAAACCCTCAAAAGCCGTGTTCTTTGTTTGCTCGGTAAAATTTAAATTATGAATAATTAGTTTTTTTTTTTATCAAAGATTGAACTTTTTTCGATGTCAGAAAAAGAAATGTACAAAATAACTTTGGATTGCAAATCATAAGATTAAGTTAAATTATTGCAGTATTTAAATGAGATGTTCTATTTTTAAAAAAACACAGATTCATACAAAATTAAATAACTATTAAACATGAATAGGTTTTCTTTACTTTTTAAAAAATGCTTTATAACTTGGCTTTTAAGGGTTAAAAGTTGTTAAGGACACACTTCGTCATTTGGATTTCCATCGCTGCAATTGAGATTAGATTGTTGCGATTCGTGTGTTTAAATAAGTATATTTTTTACTATCAGTTTAATAGCGCGATAACTGCTGCGCACGCCTGCTGTTCGTTGGGCTTATCGCGGGTTCACTGTACCGTCCTCAAGCGCAATCGATTGCGACGTGAGATGTTTATCTGGTTGACATGGTTCCGCACTCGCAGAGATTACAGTCCGCTGAGTGTTGTGTAGACAAAAGTGTTAGCTCATAAAGTTGGTATCATGCTCAGACGGCTAGAATCCCCGGGATTCTTCGCTGAACCAGCTGCGATTTCAGTGGCCTGTGAAATTCCGGTTTTTCCTACGAACGGCACTCACCTGCGGTCGGCTGAACAATTAGCGAGTCCCTCGGCGGAGGCTTCTGCTGTCCATTGCCGCCAGGATTTGCACCTCCAAAGAACTGGTTGATGTTGTCTTCAAACTCGTTCTGCATTAACAAATAATATTAAGTACAAATTAAAACGCGAATTTTTCGCACCCCGTTCTTTGCGTGTTTATCTTACCCGCACAAAACGCAAGTTCTGCTCGCGAAAATTGTCGTTGCCCTCAATGAAATTGGAGCGACGAGACATTTTAGATTGTTTTATTTAGCAGTTTGTCACGAATCAAACAAATTGAGAGCGGTTTTTACGTTTGCGACTGAAAAAAACACAATTTATAAAGAAAGGTGCTGTCAACTTGGTTGAAAGTCAGATAATAGTGATGGACCAGAGACAAATAATTGTTTTTAACGATGTTTTTGTGTAGTTGGCAACATCGATGGTTTCGTGATACTATCGATTAAGTTTACTGCTAGCACGTAAGGTCAAGTAATTAAAAATAATATATTTTGTAATCAAATCCCGTAAAATGACAGAAGATATTGGACATAATATAAGACAATAATAAGTCTAATGTGCAACCTCAGTAATTATTTATGTTTATTTTCCCAAACTCTTAATGTAACTGATGAGCTCAAAAAATATCGGGTGACCCGTGAAGAAGGCATTAACGCCAAAGTAGATATATTCCGCTGCCCCTTTAAAGCACTTTTTCATATCCAACTCCCACTGTGCCGCGGCTTGGGAATAAACAGCTGTTCGCCCGAAAATATAGACCCGTTGTTTCCTTGCCGCATTACAGTTACCACATCGCCCGATATAGCTATATAGCACGTACATAACCCGATTTCACGTGGAGGAAGACGAGTGACCATGGCGGAGGACACTAGTTCGCCGATGGACAGATTTTGCGGGTCCACCTTTTGGGTGAGTGAATCAATTAGCTTTCGGCTTGTATGTGGGTCAGAACCTTATGGTTTTTGTTTCACACACCGGACAGAATTCAACGGAAACATGGTATACCAACAACCCGGACTTCACGCCCTGCTTCGAGCAAACGGCGCTGGTCTGGACGCCCTGCGCCTTCTACTGGCTGTTTGTGATTTTTGACTTCTACTACCTGAAAGCCAGTTTGGACAGGAATATACCCTGGAACAAGCTGAACGTTACCAAGGCCCTGGTGAATCTGGGTCTGCTGGTCATCACTGCCCTGGACTTGATTATGGCCCTGATCAAGAAGGGCGGCGACTCGGAGTTGCCGCTCTACGACCTTGATGTTTGGGGTCCCATCATCAAGTTTGCCACCTTCCTGCTGCTCTTCATCTTCATCCCGCTGAACCGGAAGTATGGTGTGCAGACCACGGGCTGTCAGTTTATCTTCTGGTTCCTTCTCGTCGTGCTGGCGATTCCCCGCTGCCGCACAGAAGTTCGGTTGGATGCGGATCGTCAGAAGATCATCGACTCGCAGCAGCAGTCGGAGCAGGACTTCTCGTGGGAAGAGTACCAGTTCGCCAGCTTCTTCGTCTTCTTCACCTTCTCCTGCATCATGCTGATCCTCAACTGCTTTGCGGACGGCTTGCCCAAGCAGACCAAGTACCAGAGGGGCGAGAACGAGATTCCCGAGCTCTCGGCCAGTTTCCTCTCGAGGATCACGTACCAGTGGTTCGACAGAATGGCCCTCAAGGGCTACCGCAATCCGCTGGAGGAGAAGGACTTGTGGGATCTGAGGCCCCAGGACAGTTGTTCCGAGGTGATGCCCATCTTTGCCAAACATTGGAACAATAATGTGCGCAAGAACTACAAGAGCAAGGCCCGCGTGGAACCCAAAGCGCAGTTCAGCAACGGCCATGTGACCTTCGAGAACCCGCACACCGAGAAGAACGGCAAGAAGGGCATGGCCAGCATTATGCCGCCCATCTACAAGTCCTTCGGCGGCGTCTTCCTCTTCGGCGCGCTGATGAAACTGTTCACCGATACCCTGACCTTTGCCCAGCCTCAAGTCCTCAGTTTGATCATCAACTTCGTTGAGGCCTCAGCAACGGAAGCGGAGCCCGAGTGGAAGGGCATTATGTACGCCGTCCTGCTCTTCGTTTTGGCTGCTGCCCAGACCTTCATTCTGGGCCAGTACTTCCACCGCATGTTCATCGTGGGCCTGCGCATCAGGACTGCCTTGATCAACGCCATCTACCGCAAGGCCCTGCGCATTTCCAACTCCACCAAGAAAGAGTCCACCGTGGGCGAGATCGTCAATTTGATGGCCGTGGATGCCCAGCGTTTCATGGAGCTGACTACCTACCTCAACATGATCTGGTCGGCGCCACTGCAGATTGGTCTGGCCCTCTACTTCCTCTGGCAGCAGCTGGGACCGTCTGTCCTGGCCGGTTTGGCTGTGATGATTATCCTGATCCCCGTGAACGGTGTGATTGCCAGTAGGATTAAGACCTATCAGATCAGGCAGATGAAGTACAAGGACGAGCGTGTTAAGCTGATGAACGAAGTGCTGAGTGGCATTAAGGTGAGTCATCTTGGGATTAAGATTCTACAATCTAAAGTAAAGTAATTATGTACGGTCATGCTCACTTCAATTAGTTTTAAATCTAAATTTCTTTGTTTTTTTGTACGTTAATCTGAACCCTATGTACTCATTACGTTTGTAATCCCCATAGGTCCTCAAGTTGTACGCCTGGGAGCCGAGTTTCGAGAAGCAAGTGCTGGACATCCGTGACAAGGAGATCGCGACGCTGCGATCCACGGCGTACCTGAACGCGGGAACATCGTTCCTGTGGTCATGCGCCCCCTTCCTGGTAAGCTATGCCAGCCCCGCAGGGCTCTGAGTCCTCCGAGATTTCTTTACAGCTGGCCGAGAGACGTGACGAGACGTTTAGCATTGGACTAATCTGGCAAATATATGTACTTCGTGTCCGAACAATCAAAGGTTTCCCTGGTCACGTTCGCCACTTACGTGCTGACCAGCGAGGCGAATCAGCTGAGCGTCGAGAAGGTGTTAGTCTCAATCGCCCTCTTCGACCTCATGAAACTCCCGCTGACCATCCTGCCCATGCTGAGTGTTGACATAGCCGAGGTACGGCGATCGCGATGACGATGGAGTCTCAACCTTCTCGGCTATGGTGCATCTCCGCCTCTCCTCTATCCATCCAACCCAAAAAGCGTGGATCAAGAACTGCCATTTTTAGCAAAGCCTTAAACGATATTGTGTATTATCTTTTAGGTTTCATTAGTCACATTCGCCACTTACGTTCTAATCGATGAAAACAACGTGCTTGATGCCACCAAAACCTTTGTCTCATTATCATTATTCAACATTCTCCGTTTTCCGCTAACAATGTTGCCCATGCTGATCACCAACCTGGTGCAAGTAAGTTACGCTCGATTGCAATACCAAATCCTACGACTTGAGTCGATCACAGTGGGGCTGAGGGATTATATAATATATATATTAACTCTCGGTGATCCCCGGCCCCACTGTGATCGGCGATTTTGTGCCGTTTTGTGATTGTGATTTATGTTTATTTACTCAATTTGAATTCTTTTTTAGCCAACCCCAATTTACAGAGAAAACGTCCCCTAACCAAAGTTCCCCTCCTTTTCATTGATTCCTTGGATTCATTTTTACCAAATTTAAAGTCACATTATCTAACTCATTTGGGTTTTAAAGTTGTCCGAACCAAACCAGTTTCCATTTGCCACATATCTGGTGGTGGGGTTCCCTTTCCATCCGTTTCAATAGCAACCATTTGTTTGGGTTTTAAAATATGCCCTTGCAGAGGGCATTTGATGGGAAATTAATGATAGGTTTAATTGAGTCATGCATATTTGTCTGTTTGTCGAGAAGGAAATATGGAATTTATAACTATAAATGATTGCTTTAAATATGCAAATCATTGGCTTGAAATTGGTTTAATTTGAATGTTTTGCTACACCATTTGAAGTATTTGTTTAATAGTAAAACCCATCTACTATCAAATTCCTTTGAACCCTTTCCTTTTATTTATAGGATGCACCTATCTCATATCCTCAGCCCTTTTGTTCTGCAGGGGTGTATAAAACCCTCGGCCGACTTCGAGGATCTTCCCCTTTCATTCAGTTTTGGATTTCTCCCATCTCCCCATCATATTTTTCCTTGCCCAAACCCTTTACTAACATATTCTGTGTATCAAAATAAAGTATGTTGTGCAAACTGTTCTAACCGATATCCCATTTTCCATGTGCGAACGAATAGACGCAAGTTTCTGTGAATCGTATAAACAAGTTCCTGAACAGTGAGGAACTGGACCCCAACAGCGTTCTCCACGATTCTTCCAAGCGTAAGTTTATACTTCTTACTTTTAGATACTTTAAACTAATATTATTTTTATATTTACAGCTCATCCCATGAGCATTGAGAATGGCGAGTTCTCCTGGGGCGATGAGATCACCCTGCGCAACATCAACATCGAGGTGCACAAGAGCAGCCTGGTGGCCCTGGTGGGCACCGTGGGTTCCGGCAAGTCGTCCGTGGTGCAGGCCTTCCTCGGCGAGATGGAGAAACTTGCTGGCGTTGTCAACACAGTGGGCAAGTTGGCCTATGTGCCGCAGCAGGCGTGGATCCAGAACGCGACGGTGAGGGACAACATCCTCTTCGGGCAGACCTACGACCGGAAGCGTTACAACAAGGTGATCGACGCCTGTGCCCTGCGTGCCGATATCGACATCCTGTCGGCGGGAGACCTCACGGAAATCGGTGAGAAAGGCATTAACTTATCAGGTGGCCAGAAGCAGCGCATCTCGTTGGCCCGCGCCGTGTACAGCGATGCGGATCTCTATCTGCTGGACGATCCGTTGAGCGCCGTGGACGCCCACGTCGGCAAGCACATCTTCGAGGAGGTGATCGGACCCAAGGGCATACTCGGTCGCAAGTCACGCATCTTGGTCACGCATGGCGTCACCTTCCTGCCCCAAGTCGACAGCATCTACGTGATGAAAATGGGCGAGATCAGCGAGAGCGGCACATTCGATCAGTTGGTTAAGAACAAGGGCGCCTTCGCCGACTTCATCATCCAGCATCTGCAGGATGGCAATGAGGAGGAGGAGGAGCTTAACCAGATCAAGCGCCAGATCTCCAGCACCGGAGACGTCCCTGAGTTGCTAGGCAGTGTCGAGAAGGCCATTAAGTTGGCGCGCACCGAAAGCTTGTCGGATTCTATGTGAGTAATTTAAAATAATATATTAATTGTGTTGTAATTATTGTATGTATTATACATAAAATTAAATTTGTATAATATCAACTTCAATAATTACAGAACTTTCTTATTATTTAATTATTTAAACTCCCAACTAACTTATTGAATTTCTTTTTCCCAGCTCTGTTACCTCCGCTGATAGTTTGATGGGAGGAGGTGGAAGTCTCCGCCGGCGGACCAAACGCCAGAACTCCCACGATTCCGTCGCCTCGGCGGCTTCCCTGAAAAAGAAGCAGGAGGTCGAGGGCAAGCTGATTGAAACTGAGAAATCGCAGACTGGTGGTGTGGACTTCGCCGTGTACAAGCATTACATCAAGAGTGTTGGCATCTTCCTTTCGGTGGCCACATTGGTGCTCAACTTTGTATTCCAAGCATTCCAAATCGGCTCGAATCTGTGGCTCACTCAATGGGCCAACGATCAAAATGTTGCCAATGACACTGGACTCAGGGACATGTATCTCGGTGTTTACGGTGCATTCGGATTCGGTCAAGGTAAGTCCACTGTGATTCGATTTATTTGGATTATTCTTCGTTTGAAGTTATCCTTGTTTCATGTTCGTTTTGTCCATTATGTTGTTTTAAATTAAGTTGTGTTTACTTTAATTGCATGTTTTTGCTTTCTTTTATTCGTTTGATTTTTGTATTTATGTTTTTACTATTTAAATATGTACAAAGATGGTATCACATGGTGAAAATAAATTATGTATAGCTTTACATTAGGTTTCATATTCTGAAAATATGTTGTGTAACATTATTATATACTGCGCTTTAAAATGTTTCACCCATTTGATACCATTTATGTAAATATCTTTTTTTTTATGTTTGGTTTGGGGTTTTCATTTTTGTATTGCATTTTTGACTGCTTATAACTTTGGCGCCAAGAGAATACATGCTGCTCAGCTACCAGTAGGCGGCTTTTATTAGTCTTAGACCCGATCTTAATCTTAACTTGGGCTTACCACAAAAAAAAAAAAACGCTTGAACAGCACACAAAGCTAAAAACACTAACACCTCAAACTAAGTAGTTTCGATATTGCTGCACGCTTAGAAAACTTAACACAAAAGGCTTTCTGAATAATAAGAACTATGAATTTTAACTGTATCCCATACAACAATGTTCTGAACATCGAAAGACAGTTTTGTTAATCGATAGTTTGTGATCGATTGTTTTCGTAATCAGAACATTAAGTTTAGTTCACCTAACTTACGGTTCTCCTTTTGTGTGTGTATGTTTGTGTGCGTAAATGTGTTGCATAGTTAATTTGATTAATTTCCTTTGCAATATTATACTTTGTAAATAATTTCTGACCCCACCTAATGCTCGAAAACCAAAAGCAATAATCGACCAATAATCAAATAAATCGAAACGGTACAATCGCAAATTCTAGTCGCGACGAACTTCTTCCAATCCCTCGCCATCTCATTGGGTTGTCTCAAGTGCTCACGGGTATTACATGAAACCCTACTACACTACAATCTCCGCTGGCCGATGGAGCTCTTCGATACCACGCCGCTGGGACGGGTTGTCAATCGGTTTTCAAAAGATATCGATACGATCGACATTGTCCTGCCACTCAACATTCGTGTCGTCCTTCTTCAGGCATTCATGGTAATTGATTGGATTCGGTGCAGATGCCTCGGCATATGCCTGTAAAATATTAACCCGTGCACGGCACTCTATAATCGATCAGGAATTGGATCACTCTATATCATGGTTCGGCCTGGCTCATCATTATCATCACCACTCACAATATTAATGATACCCATAATAACACTAATCCGTGCTCCTTATTTTATTGTGTATATTTTAAAATATTTTTGAAGTACTAACAATTTAATTTACAAAATGAAAAAAGTTAGAAAAAGGACGCAATGATAATTTGTATCTTAAAAAGTTAATTTATTTTTTGATCTTTGAAAAAGGTTATTTTCAATTAATAGCTTTATATACATTCTTATTCGTTTAGTTCGCTAAATTCAAATTTTTTTAATGATTCAACCCGAAAATTATGGGCAAATGCAAAGTAAAGTAGGAGCACGGATTAATTTATATCAATCGTCGGTGGGCAAGAGGTTTTGTGGCGGTATTTGGTCACTAATTGAAATACCCGTATCTCTTCGAAGTCATTGGAGGATACCTCTCCACCCTGATCCTTTCGCTGGGCTGCGTTTACAGTGCCCGCTACATGCACAACGTCCTGCTCCAAGCCACAATGCATTGGCCAATGGAAATGTTTGATATCACGCCTCTGGGCCGCATTGTGAATCGGTTTTCCAAGGACATTGACACAATTGACAATACCCTGCCACTAAATTTGCGGTTCGGCATCCTGCAATTGTTTGTGGTAAATATCGCAGGATGGTATATTTAAAAACCAAAGTCCCCAAATCATAAGCTGAGTCAGTTCTTCTCTTGGGTTGTCAAAGTTATTGTCTACGCTTTCGCCTAGTAATTCAGTTAAATACTAGATAGAATAGATTATAAGATATAATTTAACTTTTCAGTTTCCTCGTACTTCTTTTGTTCGCTCACTCTGGCCCTTGGGTGCATCTACTGCTCCAAAATTCTCCACGAGGGGCTGCTGAAGTACGTCTTCCGTTGGCCCATGGAGCTGTTCGATACCACGCCCCTCGGCCGAATCGTCAATCGATTCTCAAAGGACGTCGATACCATCGACAATGTCCTGCCGATGCTTTGGCGCATGGTCATAAGTCAAGCCTTTGCGGTAATTGTTCATTAAACTAGGAAGAGGGTTTCCAACTTATAAGTCAGCAACTAGAAAGAACAAAGATCTGAACTAAATATTTTTAACTATTTTTACCAATTTTTTTAAATTTGATCAAAATTTATCTTTCTGATGACTTATGGCTGTGAAACGCTTTTTACATTGCACACATCCTGTCCCCAAAGAATCAGAATCTCAAAGCTTTACCTCGACCTCGGTGCTAGAAAATGGTTTAGGGATTTTATAAATTGATCAAACGTCATTTCAAATTGGCATTACCATCTTTAATTGAGTAGATAAATTATTCTTTGTTTGTTGTCAAAGCGATAAAGAATGTTTCGTCCCCGCTTCCTAATGTAGCAGTATTGCATCACCATAAAAACAAGACACTTACAAATAGTAATCTGAATTGCAGTTTTCTCATACTTCTTGTGCTCGCTCACATTGGCCCTTGGTTGCATTTACTGCTCCAAAATCCTCCACGAGGGGCTCCTGAAATTCGTCTTCCGCTGGCCCATGGAACTCTTTGACACAACACCTATCGGTCGAGTTGTCAATCGATTCGCAAAGGACGTCGATACAATCGACAATGTCCTTCCGATGCTTTGGCGCGTTGTTATCAGTCAAGCGTTTGCGGTAAATGTCCAATCAACTAAGAAATGCGTTTCAAACTTTAATGTGGGGTATAAAATTCAAAGAGAAAGGTGTATTAAGTTACATAAAAACAAATTGGTTTTCGAATTTGAAATTTATCCAGCAATTGAAACTGCATCTATTTTTGAAACTCATCCATCACTGTTCTTGAAAGACTCCAAACTACAAATTAGGTGATCTTATATCGAATGTAACAGCATTCAGCAGCTTTTCCGCAGATTCGGTTAGAAATTGTTCAACTATTTTAAGTTTTAAGCTTACCAATTTCCCTAATTTTAATTGGCACAATCCCCTAAACTTAGTATTCCCTTGAAGCTGCACGTAAAAGAAAAACGTAATCCTATTTTGGCACTAACTCCAACGTTCTATGTTGTGTAAATCTATGTAAATACGATCACTAACCTTCTGGGGGCTTACAAAATGGACGCATGATCAGTTGAATCTTTAGTTTTTTTAGAAAGAAAGTTTTTTTTAACCGCCAAATGTTATGCCAAGCACCTAAACCGATTTATGTTACATGCAGTGCTGTCGAAATATTTATCGGGCCTGGCTTTAGCCATCGGAGGACTTCATTGCTCAATGAATGTATTCACCAAACTGCTGAGAACTGGTCTCAGTTGGCCAATGGAACTATTCGATACGACGCCAATAGGTCGTATTTTGAGTCGCTACTCCAAGGATATTGACACGGTTGACAGTGTCCTGCCATCTATAGCCGCACAGTTGTTGAACACGTGTTTCGGGGTAAAGATTGTGTCTTAAGTTTTCAACCTCTCCCACTGCCCGATGGAATTGGGAAAGCTTAGATCCCCGGTTGTAAATCTAACCAAGAAATGCATCCTACTAACCAAAACAGAGCACTTTATATAATAATTTAACCTTCTTTACTTTCACTTAACAAACAAATCTGCAACATTCCCCTTTTAACTCCTATAGTATCACAATTTAACCTCTTACCAATCAGCTAAAAATATTCCCCTACCACTCATCATTTAACTTTGGCCTATGACGTTTATTGCCTTTTATTTTGGATCGAATAACGCCTTTACTTGATTTAAGATTCATTAGTAGCCTGCCCATTTTAATTAGAAACACCACATTTACTTTTTGTGCGAGTTGTGTGTGCGAAAGCCCGAAAGGGGAACTGAAACCATTTTAGTTTAAGCCCAGTTTTAATCGGGGGCTATGGTAACAAAACACTCTGGAGATATAGTGATTCCAGAGCCCTTAAAGTTAAGTTGGGAGCTGCCATTACGCTTCGGTTGAACAGTTTGCGATAGAAGATAATGTAGGAGAGCGCCTCATTCAGTCAGCCAATCCATCCAATCGAATCCTCTCCTCGAATCATCCACGTTCCGCTCTTCCCCATTTCCGATCGAACCAGGTGTGCTAGCCTACTTTGCGGTGGTCATCGTCTACCTGGGTGGATTCCAGGCGGCCAAGACCATCCACAACCAACTGCTGGCCATCATTATCCGAGGTTCCGTCTGCCGATTCTTCGACATTACTCCGATCGGGCGACTCTTGAACAGTTTCAGCGGCGACATGGAAGTGGTCGACGAAGAGTTGCCCGCCACCATGGACTCCTTTATGACCTTTATCTTTATGGTATTTGCATAATTGATTTCCCCCCAACTTTTTTCAGTATTTTATTTCTCTTTCTCTTATTGTTATTGTTATTGTTATTATTATGATAACTTTTGATTTGTAGCCTTTAAAGAGTTACGGTTTGTACTCGCATATCTTTCGTTGTAGAAAGATTTTGCCCAGATTCTCATACATATCTCTAACATTCGAAATATCTCTTTATCCCATTTGATATCTCTCTATCTCTTTTTCTAACGCCCATCGAATCAAGTTAGGCCTTTGCAATTACGGCGCCGCCATATCCCTTTTCACAGCCACCTTGCACGCCTCATCCAGAGTTTTCCATCGACTCTTTAACCACATTATGCATTGTCCCTCTGAGTTTTTCGATATCACGCCGAAGGGTCGGATATTGGATCGCTGTTCGAGCGATATCAACTGTTTGGACTTGGTAATGCCGATTAACATAAGAATGGTCATGAGCACGGCGTTTCAGGTAATCCTTTGTCAGTAAAAACCCAAGGAAAGCAGTTTAGTTTTTCAAAGTTTCAAAATTTTTAAAAATTTTTACAAATTATTTGCGTCAATTTATAATAATCTTTACTATTTCGGACGCCAAATCTTAAATTTGTTAAGTTTGTAGTAGTTTTAAAAATCTATAAACATTCCATTGGTATTTTGTTAATTGTTTTGTAATATATATGTTCTATTATGAAAGAACAATGTTCTTATATCGCCAATAACTAACCCTAAAGTTGACCTGTCTCCTAACCCTTGTCCTAAATCCTGTTTTTAGTCAGTCGAAATATGTTTAAGTTACGTCCAGAACTCATGAGTAAATAATTCCTTCGATTTTGATAGTCATCAGCTATATAGGCAGTGTGGTTATCGTTTATTTGGGTGCCCTGATTGGTACCAGGAAAATATTTGTGCAGCTGTTCGGGAACATTTTGCATGCTCCGCAAACCTTTTTCGACATTAAACCCCGGGCACGAATCCTCGATCGTTGTGCGAACGATATATACAAGTTGGATGTGGTATTGCCAGAACTAATACGCGTATTTAACTCGCAAGTTTTTCGGGTACGTTCGCTGTGACTAACCACCATTAAATGAAGTATGCAATAACTAATCCGACTAACTAATATTTGTATGATCTTCATTGTACAAATTCTTTGCCCGTAGCAATTTGAGGCTTCCTCCGGCACTTCACATCCCCAGGCGTAGTCTGTAAATATATAGCTGGTTTTACGGGGCGGGAGCATGTTGTATTCTCATTCACTTCTAATCTCTTAACTTAAGATTCCTTTCCTGTGGTTGTCTTTCCTTTCTTGAGAATCGCATCTGGAGAGCCTTAAAGCTTGAAAAACAAAAGAGCTTACTGATATTTAAAAACTTTTTAAAATTTACAAAATTATTAATATAAACACCAAATCAATATCAATAGCAAAACAATATCAAACTGGTTTACAAAGTGTGTTAAAATATACAATCTTTTCATATACAAGTCTAAAAATCTATTTTTAAAGTAAAGCAAATATATATTTCAAATTAGAAGTATAACAAATGTTAAATTATAAAAGCTTAAACATTATATCAGTTAATATTTTGTTTGGCGAGTAAGCCAACCCTGTATCCTCTAAGGGATTTGGCTGGGCAACCTCTGATCGGTTTTCCTACTCGAAGAGCGCTTTTCGAGCATCGAACGTTGCGGATTGGACGTTGTAATGCCAGTCGATGTGAGATTTAATACCCCTTCCATCCTGAATTGCCTAATCGCAGGTTTCACGTCATTCTTTTCGGATTTGGCTCCTGCACTGGGCAGTTTGCATGCCGCCAGAGTCCTGCACTCGATGCTCCTCGAAAATGTGCTAAGATCGCCAATGACCATGTTCGATACGACGCCGGTGGGTCGCATCCTGTCCCGATTCTCCAAAGACGTTGAATCGGTTGACCAGAAAATGCCGCAGGTCATTAATGATTGCATTTGGTGTGCTTACGAGGTAATTTTTCCATAGCACCAGGCACTAGGAACCGTCTTCAAATTGCTACAAACCAAACAGTGAATCCACATCGAAAGTAACCCCAGTGACATTAACCTTGTACATTTCGAATAACTAACATGAACAGATTAACCATTAATTGGCGGCGCTCCGTGACTTCTCCATATTCCCCCCCTAATTTTCCCTTCACCAAGTAAAAGCGTTCGATCCAAGAAAAGGCAGATTCGTTACAAATTTCCTTTCATCAAAATTTTCCTATTAACCCCCAGCATCCCGTCGCACTTTAGCTTCATCTTTAACCAGAATTGCGTTTACTTACATTGCTATTTTAATATTGGTTAGGTCCTGGCTACCATTGTGGTTATTAGTTTGTCCACGCCAATTTTCTTGGCCGTGATCGTGCCCATCGCCTTCCTATACTACTTCGCCCAGCGATTCTACGTGGCCACTTCCCGGCAGCTGATGCGTCTGGAGTCCGTATCCCGATCTCCCATCTACTCGCACTTCAGCGAAACTGTCACTGGAGCTTCAACCATTCGTGCCTACAACGTGGGAGATCGGTTAGTTATTGTATTATTAAATAGTAATACATATGTTATAATTATATTTTCCTTAAATCCCAGCTTCATTGAGGAGTCCGATGCCAAGGTGGACAAGAACCAGGTGTGCAAGTATCCCTCGGTGATCGCCAATCGTTGGCTGGCCATTCGTCTTGAGATGGTGGGCAACCTAATCATTCTGTTTGCCTCGCTCTTCGCCGTTCTGGGAGGTCAAACCAATCCCGGTTTGGTGGGTCTGTCGGTGAGCTACGCCTTGCAGGTGACCCAAACCCTCAACTGGCTGGTGCGCATGTCATCCGACATCGAGACGAACATCGTCTCCGTGGAGCGCATCAAGGAGTACGGCGAGACCAAGCAGGAGGCTCCCTGGGAACTGGAGCAGGACAAGACTAAGCCCAAGAACTGGCCGCAGGAGGGCCGCGTCGAGTTCCAGAACTTCCAGGTGCGCTACCGCGAGGGATTGGACTTGGTCCTGCGCGGAGTTAGCTTCGACATCAGGGGAGGCGAGAAGGTCGGCATCGTGGGACGCACGGGTGCTGGCAAATCCAGTCTCACGTTGGCATTGTTCAGGTAAGCCATTCATTTATAGTTAAATTTAATAACAATTTAGTAAAAATTCGCAAATACTCGATATTCAAATTAAGAACTTTAGAATGTTTTAAGTAAAGTCTGTTTTGTGTGTAATAAAATACATGAAAAAGAGCTCAGAAACCAATTACAAATTTTAAAAGTAAATTATTAAGAGTTGAGTTAAGATTTATTTTAGTAGAAGATAACAATTTTCTTGAAAAAACACTGTTTATATGACTTGGAAACACATTTGATTAATTTTATCTTATCTTAAAACCTCATGTTTTTCTTTTTAGAATCATTGAATCTGCCGGTGGTCGCATCTCGATCGATGGTGTGGACATTGCCACAATGGGTCTGCACATGCTGCGCTCCCGCTTGACCATCATCCCACAGGATCCAGTGCTCTTCTCTGGATCTCTGCGCGTGAACCTAGATCCCTTCGAAGTGAAGACCGACGACGAGATCTGGAAGGCCTTGGAGCTGTCCCATCTGAAGTCGTTTGTGAAGAGCTTGGCAGCTGGTCTGAACCACGAGATTTCCGAGGGCGGTGAGAATCTGTCGGTGGGTCAGCGCCAGTTGGTTTGTTTGGCGCGTGCTCTGCTCCGTAAAACCAAGGTGCTGGTTCTTGATGAAGCCACCGCTGCTGTGGATCTGGAAACAGATGATCTGATTCAGGTGAGTACCCAAAACATATCTATTTAATTGCTAAATATTAATAAAAACGTATTCCTCTTAGAAAACCATTCGCACTGAGTTCAAGGAGTGCACTGTCCTGACAATCGCCCATCGTTTGAATACCATTATGGACTCTGACAAGGTGATCGTGCTGGACAAAGGACAGATCACAGAGTTCGCCTCGCCAACGGAACTGCTGGCCAATCCCAAGTCGGCCTTCTACAGCATGGCCAAGGACGCCAACCTAGTTTAAGATCCACGAATGTCAACCTGAAACTCCACGAAACTCAAACGGAAGAGAGTGTGTGCCCCAACAACAAACAAACAAACAAACAACAAACCCTAGGAATATAGACGTACGAAATGAAAATCATAGAAAGGTAGCTTTAAGCCATTTGGCAGTGACAACTGGCAGTCGGAAAATGCTCTACCTCATGGATAGGACAAGCAACTACGAATCAAAGCGAGCAAACAAAAACAAAAAAAGGAAACAACAACCGGAAGAAATTAGCAAATACCAACTCAATGTTCATTAGCCTAAGCGAAATTATTCAAGCCAGTTGCGCCTCATCGGTTACTCGATTTTCGTTTTTAATATGTATTTGTACTTACAAAATCGTGTGTATTTTTCTATTGTCTATTGTACTTAGTTTTTTATGGAACAAGAAACCGATGCAAATGAGCGGAAAAGAGCAAAAGTTCAGAAATAAGAGAACTCCTAAGTATGCCACATATGTATTTATGTACTTAACTTAACGAAATTGAAAAATGAGAATGATACCCAGAACTCACTCAAGAATTTTTTGCCTTCAACTGATAAGATCAGTAAAATAAAGGGTCGACGTAGTTAAACCAATATATTGAAACTTTTGTAAAATGTATACTTAAATAAAGTTATAATAACTAATAAACTTAGGGAATGAATAACCCCCACCCAAATCTAAATGAACTATTTTTCTTTTGTGGGAGATAAAAACGCATTGACTGACAATAGAACAAATTACGAATATTATTTCGTAATTATTAATAGTTATAATTTCTATTAGTTTATAATTTTTATTCAAGTTTGTTATTAATGCTGTGCATCGTTTATCAGTAATAATATACGATAAAATCTTGGACATTTTCATTGCAGGAAAACAAGCTTTCGTAGAATTTCCTTTTCAAAAGTCCTTTGGTTTGCGCCTTAATTTTAAGCTTTGCGAAAAAGCTTCCTTTACATTTTGTTTCTATTATTATTGTTTTTGCTATGACTAGTTGCTTACGCAGGCGCAATAAAAGTATCTAGATTAAAACAATATTTTTTACTTTTCACTTAGCGGGAATTTTACTTTTATTTTGAACATTTTTTATAGGCAAGCAAATATACATAATGAAATTTTATTGGACGACATTTATTTTGTTATTCGCCTTCGGTGTTCGGAATAAATAAAAAGTAGGTTGAAGTTTAACGTAAGTTGAGTTTAATATTAATATTTAATTTGATTGTTTTATATCTTATCGGTTATAATCTTTTCTTAGTACTTTACTACTAGCTTTTTGAAAACATAATTACTTGCTTTAAAATATAGTTTCCACACAATTAGACACCGACCTGTTGATCTGAGGTACTTTTATACTGCACATTCCATAAATATTATAAATTGAAAACTGCATGAATTTCAACCTTCGACGCAGATGATTAAAAATTAAATACAGGCCATAGTGTCTTCATCTCAAAAATCCTTGCAACTTTACGGTTTTGCTTTTGACAACTTTAAGCTTTACTCTCAAATTTTGCCTGACTAATGTGGCAGTGGACGGGCCATAAATTATATTTATAAGCCCCGAAAAGCAGTCGAAACTGTTTGGAGACAATTTCCAGCCACTTATTACCCATCCACCTTGAGATATATGTATTTATTTTATATATTTGCTGGTGGCCACCCACTGAAAATGAGCATTCCATTTGTCTTTATTTAGGCGCGCACACAAAATGGTTGCTTGGAGGCTGCATTTATTGACAATAAACAGGTCATAAATTACGAATTGAATGGTTTGAGAATAGGCTGATGATGTTACCAAATTTTCTAAAAAACAGCGAACAACAGAATAGAAGGAAAAGGGAAAAGCCATCGGCTAAGTTTTACTTTGTTTTTAGCAGAGAAAAACGAACTTCAAAGTGGAAGTTGCAAGGCCATTGTTTTTTTCTTTTTTGGGTGGGCGGATGGGGGGGCGTGGCTGCGGAGTGCACTTGAAAACAAAAAGCGTAAAGTTATTAAAGGTTTTGTGTGCGCTTTGTGTGCCCGCTTTCATGTCACTTACACTTTTGGCCATGTTTCAAAGGCCCTTTTAGCCAGCCCCTTCGTTGGCTTTTATGTGTTGCCGGCTGGTCTTTCGCTCGGTAATCTTGGCAACGCCTTTTGCATACATTCTGTCGCAGGCTGGGAAATTGGGAGCTGGGAACTGGGAATCGGGAACCGGGAGCAGGGAGCTGGGAATCCGGGGAATCCAAAACTTCAAGCGTGCGGCAAATTCAATTTGAAATTTTCAAATGTTTTTCTTATTTTCGAGCCTTTTTTTTGCCATGCTTCCCTCCAAACATCAATGCATATATTTTTTTGTTCTTGCTCTGTTTGCAAATTACATTTTTTATGAGGGGTGCCCGGCTCCTGGCTGGAGTGTCAATCCCCGATCCCAGGACATGAATGGGAAGGCGTGGCCCGGTTCCGCCCCTCCTCGAACTCCTTTGAAAGTTGCATCGCCCCCAGAAAAGGAGCCAAATGAATATTTTATTGCCCGCGCATCAGCGTCAGCCGAAAGTGAGTGAAAGATTTTTGATGTATGGCAAGTTGCTTGCCAGGAATTGGCCACCCGCCGTGCAGCAGCAGGCATAGAAGGTCCTCGAGGCTCCGAGGACAGTGGAAGAAATAATAAATCCTAAGCCTACTAGACATTTTTCCAAATTTTTCGATTTTTCAGAAAAAAAATTAAAAGTACATACATATAATATATTATTTTTCGAAATGTAGGATTTAGATGGTTTGTTTTTGGTTGAGCTAATCATAACTGTTTTTTTTACAATCAAATAATATTGTCATTATCTTTGCCTCTGTTGTAATTATTTTTATTAAATTTGGTCAAAGCAAAAATTTTTTTACTGTTAAATAATATCGTCATAATTTTTGTCTCTGTTCCGATTATTTTTATTATATTTGATCATAGAAAATGTTCAAAACTCGACAATTACATTGATTGATTTTATTAAAAGTTTATGAGATTTACAAGACTATGTGTCAAATTTTTTAATTGTTTTTTATTAAAGCTTATTAACATAAAACAAATTAATATATTTAAAAATCTATCATATATTGTAAGTTATACAATTTACAATACACCGTTTTTAGTCCCTCTGTTTGGAAGAGAAGAAAGCTGTTACATAGGCAGGAGAATCTTCTATGGCCGCTGTGGGATTGTGCGTGCCACGCAACTAAACAAAAATATGTTTCGAGGACTCTGCTTCTGCTCGTGTTCCTGCTCCTGGGGGGCAGCTCCTTCGGCAGATCGCTTTGCTCACGCATCAAAGGAGCCATTTCGGATGTGCCATAAGCTCCATGGTGGATGTCATGCGGCGCTTCATTTTCTATGGCTCTCAAGTTGCTGGCTGCATCAAAATGTTGTACCAAAATAAACTCGTATATAAATATTTTTTTATTTCATTTTTCGTAATTGAAAGTGTGAGTAAGTAGGGGGGATATTTTTCTGGGAAGCGAGCGAAAGTCAAGCGAGTGAAAGTGCGTGCCCTTCACTAAAGGAAGCTTATTCCTATTTTATTAAGTTTTTTTTCAAGCAGTTTTAATTAAAATATATGTTTCGCTTAAAACGGTTTCAGACAGATGCAATTAAAAGGGATTAAAATTATTAAAAATAAATGCATGGTACGTGTGGAAAACGAATTTGGTTTAAAGTTTATTTTATGACTGTTTTTATTTTATATTATTTTCTGTATATGAAAGTTAAATATTTGTATATCTGTATTTTTTACTGAGTAAATCCTTATTCATATAGGAATACTTTAAGTCAACTGCTATAATTCCTTTTTAAAGAATTTATCAATCAGAAGGTGTAAATTTCTCGTTTATTTACGAACCTTTTTTTTTCCAAAATAACTCACCACAGCAGATTTAAAACGTTTACCAAAAACTCGAACTGGCGGGCGATGGATGGCCAAGGGAAAACCGCAAATTATCCAAAAACCGAATCACTGTTGGACGCCAACTCCCAAATGGTCTCATTTGGTTTTCATGTCCTGTCTATGATGCAAGGCATATGAAAATGGAACGCACACTCCCGCAGAGGTGACACTCAGCATACGGATTTTATAGCATACTTTTTCGCGCCTCCTTCCTTTTTGGTGTCTGTCTATTTCTCATCCCATCCATGTGACAGCTAGCTGTCTAGGTGCGAGTCTGTGTTGGTGTGAGTTCGCGAGTGTGTGCACTTAAAGAAATCTTGGGTAATTTTACCATTGTTCATTGGTTATTCTCAAACTTCAATGTATGTCAAAACTTGATGAGAATTGTCATTTTTGTTTAGTTTACTTTCTTTAAATTATTTCTTTAAGATTTGTGGTCGCTTTTAAAAATGTTGTTAGTTATATTTATATGAACAAAAGTAAATTTATATTACAACGGACTTACGTATTTACTTAACCAACAACTAAACATGCTGCACATCTCCTCCAATTTAGATTTTTTTCTGTGCATTCGAGTGTGTGAGGCCATGCTAAAATTCATTTGTCAAAAGGATTACCATGGTAATAGGGTTTTAAGCATATCCTGGCAAACATTCACAGCTTTTTTTGCGTGAGACATTTTTTTGGCTCGCCGGGCTTCGTATTCGGTTTTGGTTTCGGTTGGTTTGTTTTGCTTTGTTTATTTTTGGTTGCGGCGGCCACAGGTGGCAGCTAATTAAAAAGCGGGATTAAGCAATTATGACTGACATTTGTACAACACACATAATCGCACCTTACCCCCAACCCAAAACCCAAAACCAAGCACTTGCCTCACCTTCGGCAAACAGATTTCCTTGGCGGCAAGCTGCTAATAAATTGACTGCAATCAAAGCTGTCATAAGTTGAGCAGGACAACGCCCACGTTGCCTAGGACGTAGGACAGATAGCTGAGGTCACGTATGGGGGGTGGGGCAGAGGCAGGGGCTCAAAGGGATTCGTAGGGGGTAGATTTTAGTATAAAATCATTGGTTGAATAAATGAAATTTTTTTTTGAAATGTTTACAATTAATATATGCAAATGAAAAAGATCCCTTTTCATAAATGTAAAACATTTAGTTATAGTAATGCTACTACATTTTTAATTTGACTCTGTGAAAATATTAATTTCTATAGAAACAACTGTCAATTTTAATTTAAAAATTAAAAAATCTTTTTGTAGTTTCTCACTTGGAGTTTGTTGTTTTTTCTACTTTAAATATCCCAATACAATATTTTTGCAATCTCATTCCCAAATAGTTCCGCTGTTTGGAACCCCCTTTAACGACGCCCTTGGCAACACCTACCCGCAGACAAATGACAGCTTAATCGCCCAAAAAATGAAGCCAGGCGAAGACATTGTCCTCTCGAACTCAAGGATTCCTGCTGGCTGCCATGTGTCGCCTTCGCCATCATCTTTGCCGCTGTGGGAAACTAACTCTGCGGAACCCCCGAAAGCCCCGGAAAAACCCTACACCCCCTCCGTCCCTGACATGGGTGAGTCTCCAACGAGGCGAAAATGTACAAATTGTTGTGATTTATTTTAACAGATTTTTTGTTAACCCAAAAGGAGCGAACGGGAGGTTGGATTGGTATAGGAGCATTTGCTACTCTATTGATGAATATGCTGGTGGGTCACTCACATGTGACAGGGGCGGCGGGGGAGGAGGGGTGCCGAGCGGGGGGAAGGGGGAGG